ACCTCAATTGTGTAGGCTGGAATCAACCATGTTGTGCATACGGGCCTCGGGTGGGGGGACCGGACCGCGCGAGCACGCTGGCGAACAGCGGATATCGCACGGCGGCTCCCCCCGGGAATCTGGACGGAAACGCTGGCCAGCGGCCAATGATCCACAGACCCCATCGGTGCCGGCGGCCAGAGGGCCCCCGGGCTTCGGTCGCCTTGGGCGAGACCTCGCCCCCGAGGGGGGTCGACCGTCGCCCGCAGCGGGCGGTTGCCACCGCGGCCCGCGCCTGTGTTGGCATACTTCCGACCCACCGACGACCCTCCAGGGACTTTAGCTCATGATAGCCGTTGCGAGATCTTTACCCTCTCAAGTACTGAGTAAGTTCTGAGTAAGTGATTATGGAATTCTGATAAAGCGACCCCACAGTAGCCTATCCAGGATTTTAGCCACGAGGTGGGACCCTATTCCGGATCCCGATTCGCCCGGCAGCCCGGGAGGCACCGGTAACCATTGGTCATCATAAGCTGATTCTCAACAATGACCGCATCAACCCGGTAGGGAGAAATAAATTTTCTTCTAAGAAAAAAAAGTATATAAACCCCGGGATCTGTCAGAGATGCATTTCCACCAGTCACCGGTCATCGATCGAGATCTACCGCCATGCACGCCCTCTGGACTGCGACCACCCTGCTCGCGTCAGCCGGAGCCCTGTTGGGCGTCCAGGCGCGTCCGACTGACGGCAAGAACCACACCGTCCAGTCGGGATACGATTACATTGTTGTTGGAGGCGGTCCGTCCGGCATCATCACCGCGGAGCGTCTGGCTGAAGCCAACAAGAGTGTGCTGCTGTTGGAGCGCAGCACGGCCGGCCCGACGGTCGGAACTGGCTCCAACTACACCCTGTCGTGGAACGATACCCTAACCGCCATCGACGTGCCGGGCCTGTCTTTCGATGTCGGCAACTTCCCCCAGTGGTCCGAGTACATCTGTACCGACACCGATGGTACGGCGGCCTGTATCCTGGGCGGCGGGGTGACGGTGAACTACATGGTCTTCGTGCACCCTCCGGATCATGACTTCAACGATAAATGGCCGGTGGGTTGGAAGTGGGCGAACGTGACTGCCGGTGCCGATCGTCTCTATGCGCGCAACCCGGGCAGCAGCGTGCCCTCAGCCGATGGCAAGCTCTACGACCAGACCCTCTTCACCACGCTGTCGACCTTCTTCAACAACCTCAACTGGACCGCCACCGACATGAGCGCCCAGCGCAATGAGAAGTTCCAGACCTACAGCCACCCCGTGTGGAACATCAAGGACTATAAGCGTGCCGGCCCCGTGCGCACCTACCTCCCGCTCGCGCTGCAGTACCCCAACTTCTCCCTCCGCATGGGCGCCCTTGCAACCCGGGTCATCCGTAACGGCAGTCTGGTCACCGGAGTCGAGATCGTGAACGTGGCCACCAACCAGACCGAAACCATCCCGCTCGCCCCCGGCGGCCGCGTGGTCCTCTCCTCCGGCGCGCTGCACTCGCCGCGCATCCTGTTCAACTCCGGCATCGGCCCACGGGCGCAGATCGAAACAGCGCAGAAGAGCGGGATCAGCGTGCCCCCCACCAAGGAGTGGATTCACCTCCCCGTCGGCGAGAGCCTGATGGACCACCCGATCTTCTCGATCGTGATCCAGACGGACAAGGACTTCAACGAGCTCGACGCAGCCGCGATCCTTAACGGCACCGCGACCAGCGAGATCACCGCGTACGAGGAGGAGAACGACGGGGTGCTCACGCAGGGCAAGCACCGGTTGATCTTCTTCAGCTCTAACGTCGCCAGTGACGGCCACACGCGGTACTACCAGGGCTCGTGCACGCCGACGGCGGAGGGCGAGGTGACCATCACCACGTACATGACGCACGGGCTGACCTCGAAGGGCGTCTTGGGGCTGGATGCGGACCAGCGCACCGTCATTGAGAAGTCGCCCTACCTGCAGACGGCCGGCGACCGCGAGGCGGCCACCACGTTCATCCAGTCCATGGTCGATGCGATCAACGCCCCCGGCTCGGGCTTCCAGTTGGTCGACTACACCAACACCTCCGCCATTCTCGGCTCGCTCACCGCCGGTATCCACTACGCCGGCACCACCAAGATGGGCACCGATGACGGCCGCTTCAACGGTACTGCTGTTGTGGATACCAACACCAAGGTGTACGGTACGGACAACCTGGTATGTTTCCCTCCCTTTTTGCCCCCTATTTCCCTTGAGTGTACTAACGCAGTTTCCCAGTACATCGTGGACGGTGGTATCCACCCCGATCTTGCTTCCGGCAACAACCAGGCGACCATTATGGTTGTCGCGGAGAACGCCGTCGAGCGTATTCTGGCTCATTAGAGGGGTATGTCCTACCGAGGAACGGAGGGTAGTTAGAATAATGTCCTGTATTTTATCCTGTATGTTATCTGTAAAGTAATGACCTTAGGCAGACTTTATAATGCGCTCGGTCTTCAGTAATAGCTACCTACTTATATACTCAGCCGAACAAATATTTCATTTCTTTCTACACGATGAGCGCTGTAGCCAATGTGTTGTTTAGGCTCTCAATAACTTCAATTATTAGTGCTAAGCCCTCGTGAAGAGTGGATACCAATCTATGTTCAACAAATCATGAACACATTGATTTCTGTACCCAGCTAACAGCCCACGAGCCTGGATCTTGACAGTTTGCCGGTTCTGAACAATGCGCCTTCAACTGCTATTACAGCAGCTTAAAAGCCGACGTACCAACTGACAGTAATACTCAAAAAGGGTTGTACGGTACAGTCGGCATTGCTGCAGGACGCAAACGAGATGTAGAGGACCGTACACACGTGGCAAGAGGATTTATTCATCTTGAATTGCACCGTGAGATCGTTATACGTCGGTTATGGCTATCCTCGACCTCCTGTAGTTCTTCACGTTAGGCCTGTGCTTGAAAGGCAATCAAGTTCTTCACTCAACCTTCACTAGGATTTGCACCCTAAGTCTGCCTCCACACATATATCCACAGTGATGTATACAGTACAACAATTTACCCCACATACCAGTGCTCAACGTGGCTAGTCCCACGGTGGAGACAGCGCGAAGCGAAGATGCGAGCATCATTGGAGGGCTAACCGCCGGCCTTGTTCATAAGCCTCAAAGCTCACCTGCGATCATTATATCAAGATTCTTTCGACCCCGAAAAGAACCTTTTTGGTTCATAACTTACTGAAGAACAATAAAAGCCATTCTGGAGCAAGCATCTAGGTCTCACACAAAAGCACGCACCCCTCGAATCACATTGAACAAATGGACGACCCTCCCCCACCGCACCCCGAACCAAGTGCCTCCGAGTGGGACTACTCTTCCGAAGAAGACCCCCTTGCGAGCATATCCCCCTCAGAAATCACAGTCGCAATCTTCTGCGCCCTGCCCATCGAATCCGTCGCCGTGCGGTACACCCTCGACGAAGAGTTCCAGTGCCGACCGCAACAACGCAATCCCCAAAACAAATACGTCTTCACTTACGGGCGCATCGGCGAGCATAAGGTGGTGCTCGCCCGGCCGCATCAGATCGGTCCCGTCAAGGCGGCCCTGTGCGCCGCGGCGGTCAGCGGGCTGTTCCCGACCGTGCGGTTCGCGCTGATGGTGGGCATCGGAGCGGGGATTCCCGGCAAGCGGGATATCCGGCTGGGGGATATTGCTGTTGGTGTGCCGAGGGAGAATCATCCGGGGGTGGTGGAGTATGATTTGGGGAAGTATGAGAAGGATGGCTTTGTCTTGAAGGGGGCGTTGAACAAGCCACATCCGGTTCTGGTTAGTGCGGATGGCGCGTTGGAGGAGGAGGAGATCATGGGGCGGAGGCCGCTGCGGAGGGTCTTGAGGGAGCTGATGCGAAGGCCCGGGTATGGACGGCCGGAGCTGGAGGATGTGCTTTATGATCCGGGATTTCATCATGTAAACAAAGGGGAGAGCTGTTGGGCGTGTGATGTGGCTGACGAGAGGAAGGTTGTTGCTCGTCCGGTGCGCGCGGGTAAGGGAGGGTATCCGGTCGTTCATCGGGGGTTGATTCTCTCCGGACGTGGAGTGATCAAGAATCCTGAGGATCTAGATCGTCTCCGTCGCGGTCAGGATGATGCCATCTGTTTTGAAATGGAGGCAGCCGGAATCGTGGACGAGATCCCCTGCCTCGTGATCCGCGGGATCTGTGACTACGCGGATACACACAAGCAGGACGGGTGGCATCGGTACGCTGCAGCGGTGGCGGCGGCGTACTGCAAGGCGGTACTGTGCAAGATTGATGGCCCTGAGGAGCTCAAAGATCCCGTGAAGCAAAGGACTGGCGACGCGTTCGGAGAGTGTGATTTCGCAATGTCGCGCCACCATCCTCACTCGGACAATCTGCCCTGGTCGGATGCCGCTGCTGCCGTACCACGTCGCTTGCTCCCAACTTCGGAGATTTCCACAAGCACGTTTTGTCAGGATGCCACGAAATCGCGTGCACCGGCACGTTGGTTCGATGACTGACTCAGTTAAACTCCAGAATTATCAGGATGGATGCGGATCAGTGCTGGAGGCTGCATTTGGAGTAAAGGTCCAGGGACCAGGACCCTTTTCTTGCTAGTGTGTATAGTGTACGTAGTTATCAGTGGACAAGGGCGGAGATTACTCGGGCTTGGTCCCTTACTTACCGAGATTATACCGATTGCATTTAACGTACTTGCTTGTTGCTTGCTTACTGGGATATTTGACCTCGTCTATAGTGTTATTTATTCTCACGTGCCAGGAGAGGAGAAAGGAGCATTGAATTTATACGTTGAGACAACGGTGAAAGGTAAGAGAATCATGAGCTATGAGCGAGAGTATGCGAAGGTCAGTTTCTCCCTGTGGAGTGGCTGGACTCCCTCAGGGCTTGAGGAGCCATGCACTTGTGTTCGGATAGGTGTGTTTGGATGGTAGGTGGCCGCTATACGCAGATAGTGACTCAGCGATCCAACCTTCCGTTGAAGGCGCCAAGAGCGGAATGCAGACCGCTCCGCCGGCGCGGCGCGGGCGTCTTACGCCTCTTCCAGTATTGAGTTAGTGTGCAATACCTCATCCAATCGTATATGCAGACAAGCGAATCGATGATTAAGCCAAGGGAGGCAGTGCCATGCCGAGAGGATGGAAGTCTGGGTGAGCCGGTGAGCCGGCTCTTGTTGCCGCTGCCATGCATCTCGGCATGATACTGTCAATAACCTCTCAAGCATCTCCCTTCACACAGCCTCTTTCGAACCTGGGATTTTGAGGGTTGATCTATCGTGTATAGCATCCACTTGGATAAGAATTGCCAGCAATTCAAACCTCTTACTCCCCACGCCATTCTACTCCCCAACAATCCTCCCCAAAGCAGAGATCAAATTAGGGTTCCCCCCACCCCCGATCCGAACCCCAAACCACGGCTCAAGTCCGGGGTACAACAGCACAGCCCCAAGCCGTCCACATGGTATGACGAAAGCGACAGCAGTATAGTCTGCATAAATGCATCACCATGAATCAGTCGCGTATCTAGCACCACCATAATCCATCATCCATGAAACAAGATGGCTCCGAAAATAGACAGCAAACCCACCGAAACACCGCTACCAACCTCCCACCGCTCCCCCTCCCCCTCGCCCTCCTCCTCTGACCCCTCTTCCTCCCACCCCTTCGCCTTCACTGCAACGCAATTAACCACTCTCTTCAACCCGAAATCCTTGGAGACATTCCTCGACCTAGGCGGCCTCCCCGGCCTCGAACACGGCCTCCGCACCAACCTAACCACCGGTCTGACAACCACCGAATCCTTCCTCACCGGAACCATCACCCTCACGCAAGCCCGCCACCACGCTATCTCTAAAACCACAAGCACAAGCACAAGCACGCAACCCCTCCTCTCCCAGCCCGCCACCCCCGAGCATCAAAATCCCATCATCCCCAAGGATCAATTCCACTCTCGCCTCAGAGTATACGGCCAGAATGTCCTCCCCGAACCACCCCGCAAATCCTTCGGCCGGCTCCTCTGGGACGCGTACAACGACAAGATCATTCTGCTCCTAACAGTGGCAGCCGTCGTATCGCTGTCGCTGGGGATCTACGAGGCGGTCAGCGGGCAGTCGCGCGTGGACTGGATCGAGGGGGTGGCGGTGTGCGTGGCGATCGGGATCGTGGTGACGGCGACGGCGGGGAATGATTGGCAGAAGGAGCGGCAGTTTCGGCGGTTGAGTCGGTTGGTCAGTACCTATCCTATTCCTTTCTTACCTTCGGGTTATGGAGGTTTGAGGGTGGAGGGGGTTGAGCGGGTTGGGTGCTAGAGCTACTGGGTTTGGGTCTGGGTTATGGGTGCTGATTTCAGCTGTGTGCTGATATTTGTTCCCCTGCGCAGAAAGTCGACCGCGAGGTGCGGGTCATCCGCTCCGGCCAGCAGATCATGGTGCACATCCACGACCTCACCGTCGGGGATATCGTGCACCTCGAGCCGGGGGACTGTGCCCCGGCGGACGGGGTGGTCGTTACCAACTACGGGCTGCGCTGCGATGAGTCCCTGGCGACTGGGGAGGCGGATCAGATTGAGAAGGTGAGTGGGGTGGAGGCGTGGGAGCGGGTGGCGGCCAGAAGGGAGAAAGCGGATGAGGGCGTGCTGCAAGAGAAGAGGGTGCAGGGGCTGGAAGAGGAGAACCTCGACCCGTTTATTATCTCAGGCAGCAAAATCCTGGAAGGGCTGGGGACGTACCTCGTCCTCAGCGTGGGTCCGCACTCCACCCACGGGCGGATCATGATGTCTCTCGGCACGGAGAGTGATCCGACCCCGTTGCAGGTGAAGTTGAGCCGGTTGGCGAGTTGGATTGGGTGGTTTGGGCTGGCGTATGTTCCCCCTGTATTTTCGTTCTCTTTGAGGTTATGTATAAGGAGTAGGGGTGCTTATGTGGGTTGGGTAGGGCTGCGCTACTTCTCTTCTTCGTCCTCCTCTTCCGCTTCCTGGCGCAGCTGCCGGGTAACCCGGCGCCGTCGACAGTTAAGGGGCAGATCTTCATGGATATCCTGATTGTCACGGTTACGGTCATTGTGGTGGCTATACCTGGTATGTTTCTGCCCTTCCCTATTTAAATATGATGCGGACCGTGCTGACGTGCGCAGAGGGCCTCCCCCTCGCGGTCACCCTAGCCCTAGCCTTCGCGACAGGTCGGATGCTGAAGGAACATAACCTCGTGCGACAGCTGCGCGCCTGCGAGACGATGGGCAATGCGACCGTCATCTGCTCGGATAAGACGGGCACATTGACGCAGAACAAGATGACGGCGGTGGTAGGCTTCTTCGGGGTGTCCGAGTCCTTTGGCCACCTGCCCACCCACACATCCCCCGCTGCTTGTCCTGTTCAGGTTCCGCAAGCTGTTGCCAGGTTTCCTACCTCATTCCGCAATCTGCTGGTGAAAAGCATCGTCGCCAACTCTACTGCCTTCGAGGAACGAAGGGAGAACGGTACCGAGCTGGTTGGGAACAAGACGGAGATCGCGCTGCTGCAGTTGGCACAGGAGCATCTGGACGTGCCTGATCTTGCTGCCGAGCGCTGTGGGGTAGATGTGCTCCAGGTATACCCGTTTGATTCGGCGCGGAAGGCGATGGCGTTGGTGTATCGCGTGCGTCCAGATACGTATCGGGTGCTGGTCAAAGGGGCGGCGGAGGTGGTTTTGCGCGCGTGCAGGACAGTTGTCCTTGCTGACGGTTGTCTGGAGGATGACGTGCCAGTTGGCCAGTTGCCTGACAGCGACGTGGATGTGATTGAGCGCAGCATCAATACCTATGCCTCGGCCGCTCTGCGCACTATCGGGCTGGCGTATCGCGACCTCCCGGCTGGGGTAGCTGGGGCTAGCAAAGGTGGCGAAAAGGGTCTCCCCCGCTTCGAGGAAATCTTCACCGACATGACCTGGATTGGGTTGTTTGGGATTCACGACCCGTTAAGACCGGAGGTGACGGAGGCGATTCGACAGTGTCATTCGGCCGGGGTGAAGGTGAAGATGGTCACTGGTGAGTGTGCCTCTAGGTGATCAGTCGTTCGCATAACTGACATTGCAGGCGACAACATCAACACTGCATTATCCATCGCCGCCGCATGCGGCATCAAGACCGACGATGGCATCGCCATAGAAGCTCCCGAGCTGCGAAAGCTAAGCGACGAGGAACTAGACGCGATTCTCCCGCGTCTCCAGGTCCTGGCCCGCTCCTCCCCAAGTGACAAGCAACTCTTGGTGCAACACCTGAAGAAGCTCGGCGAGATCGTCGCCGTAACCGGCGACGGGACGAACGACGGACCAGCCCTCAAGTCAGCGGATGTGGGCTTCTCCATGGGCCTGAGCGGGACGGAAGTCGCACGCGAAGCGAGTTCGATCATCCTCCTCGACGACAACTTTCGATCGATTGTTACAGCCATTGCATGGGGACGTTGCGTCAACGATGCGGTAGCCAAGTTCCTTCAGGTGTGCATCTCCCTGACATTCCTTCTCAGAAGACCAATCGTTGATGGATGTACTGTAGTTCCAAATCACCGTCAACATCACCGCGGTCTGCCTGACAGTGGTAACAGCCATCTACAACAGCTCCAACGAAAGCGTCTTCAAAGCCGTGCAACTCCTCTGGCTGAACCTGATCATGGACACCTTCGCTGCGCTTGCACTGTAACCTTCCCTCCCCCTTTCTCAAGCAACCCCACCCAACTAACAACCACCAGAGCCACCGACCCTCCCACCCCCGAAATCCTCTCCCGCCCCCCAACGCCCCGCCACGCGCCCCTCTTCACAACCACGATGTGGAAACTCATGCTCGGCCAATCGATCTACAAGCTCGCCCTCTGCTTCACGCTGTACTTCGCCGGCGACCAGATCTTTGGCCTCGACGCGCACAGCAACAACGATGACCGCGTCCTCCTCGACACGATCATCTTCAACACCTTCGTGTGGATGCAGATCTTCAACGAGTTCAACTGCCGCCGGCTGGACAACCGGCTCAACATCTTCCAGGGGATCCTCAAGAATGCGTGGTTCATGGTTATTAACGTGCTGATGGTGGGCGGGCAGATCCTGATCATCTTTGTCGGTGGGGAGGCGTTCGGCGTGACGCGGCTGAGTGGCGCGCAGTGGGGGTATTGTCTTGGTTTCGCAGTGGTGTGTATCCCCTGGGCGGCGGTGTTGAAGTTCGTGCCGGATCGGTATGTCGCGTGGGCGTTGGGGTGGGTTGGTGTCGGGGTGAGGAAGGTTGTACGGCCTTTGGGGGTTGTGGGGGCGTGGGTTAGGCGGTTGGTTGGAGGGTGTAAGGGGAGGTGGAGGGGGAGGGGGAAGAGGGGGGTGGGGCGTGGAGATGAGGAGATGGGGGTAGAGGGGTGATGTGCGATGCAATGGGTTTGCGTGTTGTCTACGGGTGTTGAGAGTCTGTTGATGCGACCAATGGTAGCGACTTGTTGATGCTCTACGTGATGTGCTACTAGGTAACCCTATTTGCATTGCTCCGAGCCCGCTCAGTGAATTCGTGTTGGCTTACACAGTCTAGATCCAAGGCAGCAAAGATAGTGATCTCTTGTATTCTAGTCATCATAGGTAATACCACCCACTAGAAGCATATATTCTTACTCTCCGTAAAGATATATCCTCAACCCAGATGTAACACTACCCCAAAGAGAGCTACAACCGCCTCAACAAAACCATCTCCGTCGTCAACCCAGGCCCAAAACTGACTGCCACCACTTCCTTTCTCGTGCCCTGTCCCTCCCACCCCCTTAACCGATCCAACACCGCCAACACCGCCACACTCGAGCTATTTCCCCTCGATTCATACACCTCGCGACTCGCACGAATCGCCTCATCCGACAGCCCCAGCGTCAGCTGCGCGCCGCGCAGAATCGTCAACCCTCCAGGATGAACCGCCCACTCCAACTCCCCGGGCGCTACCGACATCATCCCATTCGCCCGCATTAACTCCCCAAACAGTCCCCGCAAGGAAGCAACTGCAAGCTCCGGCACCTCCCGCGACAGCTTCAGCTGGAACCCATACTCCGTAGTGCGGTAGGACATAGCCTCATGCGTGTCCGGGGTAATCCCCGTCCGATAATCCACCACTGCAAACCGTCTTGGAATGCCCCCCGTAAGCGCGAGCGCATTACACAGAACCAGCGCCGCAGCGCCATCACTAAACAACACCGGACCGATACTAATCTCCCCTCCCTTCAATCCTAGCTGCGCAGCAGTAGAATGCAACTCCGCTGCGAGATGGATACTACACACCTCGCACGCAAGCACCAACACCCGTGCGGGCTTTTGTTGTGCCGTGGCCGCCCGCGCGAGCGAGCTCCCCACCCGCAGGGCTGCGAGGCCCCCCGCGCAGCCGACCCCGCTGAGCAAAACACGTTCCGCCCCCGGGGAGATGCCCACAGCCCGGAATACGGCCTGGTCGTATCCCGGAGCTCCCGCGTTGGTGACGGTCACGGCGACGGTGTGCGTGATGGCCGACGCGGGGAGGTGACTGTCGGTTAGGGCTTTGCGGGCGGCGCGGGCGGCGAGCGGGACGCCGTGGCGGTGGAATTCGGAGGAGACCTGTTGCGCGGTGGGCGGGGTTGGCTGGTTTGCGGGGTCGTACCAGTGGGGGTTGTGGTTGAAGCCGATTAGTGCGCGCGAGGCGATGCCGCTGCGGGAGTGGACTTTGAGGAGCGTTTGAACCCTGGTATCGGGTTTAGGCGGGTGGTGTGTGAGGGCAGGGAGGGGAGGTACCTACCATGCTGCATCTGCGGGATAAAGGCGCAGGATGTACTGGCGGAAATCGTCGGAAGTGACGATCTGTGACGGCCATTCGGTGCCCAGGCCGGTGATGGTCAGCTCGTTCTCCCCCGCTCCCGGTGCCCCGCTGGCGGGGTGGGTGGTGCCGCCGGAGGAGAATGTGGTGCCCATTTTGTCGCAGATGAGGTCGCGAGTTGGAGGAGAGTCGATATTTACTTCGAGTTTGGAGATACGGCGAAGCTGCCTGCTTTTGATGTGTTCTTTCCGTGAATGGCCCTTGCATTTGTTCCTTCCATGAGTTTGTCAGAATCCTTACAATTAGGGACGAATACGAGCGTGGCGGTCATGCAGCGAGCTTGGCGGTGTCGCTTGGACCCCTGAACCAGACTACTTTACTTGCGAGCAGAGTGTGATCTCACGCATAATCTGGGTGTTGCATGCAGGGCCAAGGACTGCAAGGCTGCCGTTGACGTCGTGGATTGGGTCGCTAATACATGGCTACGTCACACTGCCGACGTACACGAATCGACTGCAGCCTTCAGGATGATGCAGCGTACGCTCAACTCGCTGTCTCTAATTCTCGGGATCGTCCTAAACTTGAATGTGTCTGGTTCAGGCGGTTCTCCCGACGTCGCCTTAGTTGGCATTGGCCGCGGACTTTCAGGATATCAGGATATAATCGCTCACATACTTTCCAACACTGACTAGCTTACTTGACTCCATGGACAGAGAAGGATATCCTGTCGACTAGTGACTCCCAGAATTGATCAAGAAATCGCGAAGGGTCATGACCTGGTCGGAACTACTGCGATTCGAACAGGTTCGTCCCCGACGTTTGAGTGAGGTCCTGAGTAGCTTTTCATGCTGCTCGAAAGATGCTATGTGTCTCAGCAGAACACGGGATTCAAGAAGCATTGGTACTGCTTGCGCTTTTGGTGAGTCTCGCAGATTCCACCTGCTCCTCGAGTTTGTGGGACAGCGTGATCGCTTATCGCGGAGAAATCGCTGGGCTCAAGTCTGCTTTCGTCGCTTTGTTTCCACTACAGACATTGGGATTGTCCCTTGTTCCATTCTTCCGAGGTGTCTTGGATAGTGGTCAGACTAGTCGAGGGTTCCCGAGCCACCCAAATATTCGAGTATCTATCCTCTGACGTCCGTGCACCTGTCCACTTTCTTGGCTTGACAGATTCCGTAAACCGTCAAGTCACCGGATCAGAAAGGGTGGGCAGTGCACGACCAGTAGGAATTTTGAATTAAGCTTTGGTCTGACGAGTACTCTAATTGCCACTTCAGGCTGCAAACGGAAGGGATACGGGGAGCGGGAGCGGGAGTGGGTCGGGAATGCGGGACAGCCATGGGATGTAAGGGATTTAGGATAGTGATCCATCGTAAGAAAAAACCTAATCGCAGATAAACAAGATACCGCCGATCATGCAGGGTCTAGACGCCGGTCTTCATATCTCGTCTGACCTGAGAATGAATGCTGCAGAGCTTGGCCAATCAAAACACCTTGGTCATCGACTATAAAGGCGTGCTCTGCACACTCTCATCTGTAGTAACAAGTCACTCACCAACGCTGCACTGTCCCGCAAGATTCCCTTGTCCAAAGCTATTATCACCATCCACAATGAAAGCCTCACACTTTGTTGCATTCATTCCCACCGCCGGACTGGTCGCAGGGATGCCCCATCAAGCCCGCGACCTCTGCGCCGGACTTCCCACCACCGGAGTGCTCAGCGCCGCCACCAACCTGCTCTGTGAGAAGATCACCTTGACCAACTCAGGTTGCTCAGTGAGCGTGAAGTTCCCCTGGGATCTACCAAAGAGTTCCTTTACCTTGGAGGATGATACCTCGAAGACCTTCCTCGCTCAGCGCGGCCAGACGATCCAGCTGAACGCCCAGCCAAAAACCGACCACTCCGCCGCCACCTGGACAGGGACCAGCGGGGGAACCAACCCCACGACTTACAAAGTACCCCTGGTGGGCGATCTCCCAGATATCAAGGTGTCGTGTCCTGAGACTTGTGTGGCGACGGACAAGATTTGTGATATCAATGATCCAGGGATGTGTTGTTCGCGGACTTGTGGGGTTAAGCCTCAGATTGGGCCTGGATATTTCTGTTATTAGTTTGAGAAGGACGTCGGGAGGGGCTAAGAGTACTTTTTAGAATCGGTAGCGCCAGGAGAGGTTCATTCGTGGTAGTTAGAGAGATAGTAGTGGCTGTGAAATGATCTTCAGTCTGGTTGTCTTATTGTCTTCTACATGCACAGTTGGCCCCATTTTGCGTGTGACCTACCGATTCGAATGCCTACAGTTGAATGCTGACGCCAAGCCAGAAGAACGATTTGTGGTCATCTCAAGAATCGGTTTATGGAGGGGATGAAAGAGTAGAAAATAGTACGGTTTCTTTTTTACCTGCAAGAGTTGCTGTCTTTGCTGTTCTGTTATAGTCTCCCTTGTTTGACTCTGCTTTCGTGGTGCTCCAACTCATTCAGACTGCTAGCCTGTGTATTAGTGTTTCGGGGTTAGCCTTTCGCGCTGATTCTTGTTACCAAATCGTGAGATATGCAGCACCAGTGAAGAGGCGATGGAGCACATACGAGCATAGCCATATCCTACATGAGGGCTCAAAAGCATGTAAGCTTTAGGATTGGGAGGAAAGCATTCTTCTCCAGAGCATCGTCACCGCCTTCCAGGGGCACGACTATATCTGAGAGAATCCTTCGGCTTCCCTCAGCCCGCCTTCCTCATGTCGAGTACGATTCTATGCATGGAGAGGACTTTCCTAAACTTGGATCTCTTTCGGATAGCTGTGATTCCATATAGTATCTATCTTGTTTGACTCTGATGTTGGCCTTGCATTGTACAACAGCCAGGCAACAGACTCTGTGGGGTGAGTGGGACGCTGTTGCAAACGCGTATATATATTTTTATACACGAGGTGACACCTCCCATCTGTTGCGTAACCTACCGCTCTTACAGGTTAAGAGATGCTTTTAAGAAATATCGCACACTTTCAAAAGGCAGAGTAAATCTAGCTAAGCCTGCGAATTTCGATTGCCTAAACCGAATCGGGAACATCAACTGTGCTGCAGCTGGTCAGGGATGACAGCTCTAAATGTTGACCGCCTTCAACACCATTTCCCACTCTGGGATACTGCCGGCAGATCTCTTCACACACGGCTAGGACAGGCTTAGCCCAGCTACTTACGGTAGGCGGTCAGAAATCACTCACTGGACCGCCCATCTCGTATAGCATTCGAAAGAGGTTTAGCGCCAATATAATTTCCCAGTGGGTTTCAATCAAAGCTTGTACGAGGCGGAAGCTTCGGCTTGAGAGCTTCGAACAGGGGCGTTGGAAAATTGCATTATAAGTTAGACTGACCGCCGTCATCCCTGCGGAGACGCCCCCGGCTGCCGCACGTCGACACGACTCCCACTCCAGCCCTAGCCAAGACACGCCGATCCCAGCCGCCAGCAGACAATGGACCCGACAGAAGCCAAGCCGACGATCCAGCCCTTCACGGGACGGATCGGAGGCAACCAGACGCTGGTGGTGGACCGACACGACCCGGACAATGCGGCCTTGTTGAAGCGGGTGCCCGATGCGGCCCCGATGATGAGCATCAAGGAGGGGTTGAAACCAGGAGGGTTCGGGGAGTTCGATCTGTGGAAGTTCGGCTTCATTGAATGTGTTGGTCTGCAGCCTGCCAGATTTTTCCCTCTCAGAACCAACCCCTCCAACTAACCGTCCTGTGTAGGAACAATGCTCAACGTTTTCATAACAGCCTGGGCCTCCATCAAGCCCAGCAGCAGTAGCACCAGCAGCAGCACCAGCACAACAGCTGCCGGCGTCTACGCAACAGCTACTTTCCTAGGCCCAACAGTCGGCAGCCTGATCAACTGGCTCACCCTAACCCTCTGCATCTTCACCTTCTCCAACGTGACGGGCAGCCACCTCAACCCGACCATCACGCTGGCCACCTTCTTCGCCCGCCTGATCACCCTCCCGCGCGCTGTCATCTACCTCGCCGCGCAGACCCTAGGCGGCACCCTCGCCGGCCTGATGCTGCGCGCCGGCTACGGGTCCCCCAGTTTCGCGGTGGGCGGGTGCGTCGTCGACACTTCCCTGGTCCCTGTGAAGGAGGCTTTCCTCCTCGAGTTTGTGTTCTGTCTGCTGCTGGTGTTCTGGTCGTTCGGGGTGGGGCTGGATCCCCGCCAGGGGCGGCTGTTTGGGGCGGCGCTGTCGCCGTTCCTGGTGGGGATGGCGCTCGGCACGGTCAGCTGGGCATCGGCGTTTTCGCGGGAGGGGTTTGGAGGTGCCGGTATGTATTATTTTGTGGTAGCTTGCTGGGAGGATGGGGTTTCGTTTGGAGTGGGTGGGTTAGGGCTAATCTGTTTTCTTCGGTAGGGCTGAATCCCGCGAGGTGTCTGGGGGTGTATGTCGCGACGGGGTTTCCGGGGTATCATTGGATTCATTGGGTGAGTGGTGTGTTCTTTGCAGTTTGGTTGAGGGGTGGATGGGGTTGGGGTGCTCGGTGGATGTAGTGCTAATGTTGTGCGTGTGTTCTGTAGGTTGCTGCGCTCGCTGCTGCGGTGGGGCATGGGGTGGTGTATCTCTGTGTGCCGCCGTGGAGTGCGTCGGATGTACGAGTTTGAGGGTTGGTATCTCGGAAGATGATGTACTGTACAAAATGGCTTCGGTGGTTGGGTGGGAACCACGCGCGCTAACTAATGGAACATGAGTCGGGATCAATGCTTGCCTATGCCCACGGCCTCTTGCATGATGATGGCTTGCTATTCTGGGAGGGTGTCTAATTGATCAGCAACCCTAATGCAAGATTCTGGAACGATTTATAGACTCCTAGAGCTAATATCCCTTCACAGTTAGATAGAACAACACTTGCTGCCGTTTATTCAATAACCCCAACCCCTTCCCTCCTCCCCAAGATCCAATCTCATTCCCAATAACTCCCAATCTCCCGCAAATCCTCCACCAACGCCACGGGATTATCCAGCCCGGGGAAATGGCCCCCGCGCTGGTGATCTACACCCACACAAGTTAGTACCCATATTAAGCAGCCCAACGCCCCTCACATCGCGTCAAACAAGGGAAAGAACATACTCCGATACAATACTAAATTCCCCGTCTGCGCCACCAACGCCGGCGGCCAGAATCCCACGTTGTACTTGAACGCGCTGAACAGCAGCGGCGCGTCGGTGTGCGCCTTGCTGTAGACCGTGCTGAAGCCGTTGGGGTTCTGCGCGTAGATGACCACGGACGAGGCGAAGGTCTCCGTCAGGTAGTAGAGCGAGACGTGTCGCAGGATCTCGTTGTGGGTGAGCACCGAGGGGCTGGTTCCGGCGTCGGGGTCAGACCCTTCTCGGTTGTTAGATTGGCGTTGGGGATTGAGAGGGTGGGTGCGAGGGGGAGGGGCCGGCTTACAGTTGAGGAATTTCTCGCCGATCCAGGCGAGTTGGCCGATTGGGTTGTCTTGGAGGGCTAGGCCGATTGTGTTGGGCTTAATGGGTTGTGGTGTTAGCTCTTGGGTCCTGGGATTGCGGAATCCTGAGATGCGGGAGGTGAAATGCGGAAAAGGCGTACCTTCGTGGTCTGCTCGTTGAAATACCCCTCGCCCGAGTTGTTCCAGTCCATGGTTTCCGCCTCCTCGAAGGCTTCTAGCGAGTCCAGCGTGATGTTCTGCGCCGCCAGCGCCTCTGGGGTCAACGGAAAGAATGGCAGGAACGCGAGGTGGCCCGCGCGGACGGTCGAGTTGTACTTGCCGTACAGGTTGTAGGCGATGCCTGCGCCCCAGTCCGTCCCAAAGACCGCGTAGGTCTCGTAGTGTAGGACCTGGGTGAGCAAGGTGTTGAAGACCCGCGCCGTGTCGGCGATGGTCCAGTTCACTGGGGGCACCGAGGAGAAGGCGAACCCGGGCAGGGAGGGCACGATCACGTCAAAGGCGATCTTCTTGCCGGTTGCGGTGGTCGCTTGATCGGTTAACTCGTCGATGATGGGGGCAAACTCCAGGAAGGAGCCGGGCCAACCATGCAGGAGCAGCAGCGGGATGGCATCGGAGGCATTTGACTTCTCGTGGACAAAGTGGATGGTTAGGTCTTCGATGGTGGTGGTGTACTGGTTGAATCTGCCAGCAATTAGCATTGACCATGGACCGGCCCAGTGAAAACTCACTTGTTGATATTCTTCTGCTCGCTCTTCCAGTCAAAGTTCGTGAGCCATTCCTGCTGAAAAGATTTCAGGTCGTGCAACGTGATCCCTTGCGCATTTCCGGTGTTGACGTACACCGGCTGCGCGGGCAGCTTCGTGCTGCGGATCTGCTCCAGCATGCGCGGCACCTTTGCCGACAGGTCGACGTGAAACGGATGCACCTGCGATGCATTTCGCGATCGCACGGGACTGCCCTGACTCGATCCCAGAAAGGAGCTGAGGGCGAACACCTGCGCCCACGACACTCGCATTTTGGATTCTGCCTGCCCTCGTAATTGTGGTTTTGACGAATTATGGATGTACCGCAAGCCCGGGCGCATGCGCTCACTATATACTCCTCATCCCTCTCCAGCGAACCCGAGAAATTTGACGTAGAAGCAAAGTCCACGATTGCTAAGCTCATATTACCAATCACAGTCGAAATCACATCACGCATTGAGACCGCTATAGCTGAGGCGGAATACCTCGTATACGGGCCCCACTATTGATGAAGAACAATAAGCGCTAAGCTGTCCCGCTAGCTTATTTTCAGTCATGGAGTCACCGTATTAGCTGGATTTTCCCTCCGCTAGATGAAATAGAGCATAGTCCCTCAGCCGCGTCCCCTGCAGAAACATTTGTCCTGGTGAGGGGCTCTCACAATGGAGTGGGCTTATCTGGCTAATGTGGCCGGGCAAATGCAGGGCTGGCTCTCTTCCTCACAGGTCGGGTTTTGTGGAATGAGTTTTTATGTTGGATTGTAGTTCGTTGGGTCTGGGAGTGAGGGGTCCCGTCCGTGCCAGTATGTGCCTCTGACAAGTGTTCCATGATTAGACCAGGTAGGTTGTTAGGGTATTCCTTTGGAAGCAGGCCAGCAAGGCAAGTGCAGCAAAGCGGAGGCAAGCGGCAAGACCCGTCCGCCCCGCCCGGACAGGACCGATTCCACCCAATCTCCTTCCCACGTTACCACGTTATCACAAAATCATAGATGCAGGGGCATAGAGTGTAAGTCTTAGCAGATAAAGTGGCTCAGAAAAGATAATAGCCGGATAAATCGAGACTCTGGGGTCAAGCGGGACAAAATGCCTGAGAGAGAAAAGATCGCCCAGCTTAATAAGCTCTAAAAAGCCTCTGGTGCTTTCTACTCGTGTTCTGATCCTAGTACACAAGCTTGTAAACACATTGAGGGGATTAGGTCTCACGATGGTCTTTCATCATACCTTAGGACTAAGAAAACGTGCAGACAAAATGGAACCAGTGCAGCTAGCTCGGAATGGGATAATATAGATAGGCTATAACGCTAACGTAATCGAATGAAGGATGGATTGTAGTTCGTCAGGCTAAGAGGAATTGAGGAAGCCCATGCTAGTTTTCGAGTAGGATGCGAGTATCGTGTAGTGTTCAGGTGCGGGGTAGGCAGGGTATTTTGAGAATCGGTAGTCCCTGAGCTGGTGCTGGCGGGCTGAGTACCACTATGGCAGAGAATCGAACGCACGTGTTTGCGAATATAGAAGAGATAGTGAGCGGTTAGCCGCACATACGAAATCGAAATAGAATGTGCTTATATACTTAGGAGAGCCAGATTATTTATTCCCGAAAAGGTGTATAAAAGCCAGCAGGCTTTTCAACATGAACATGTAGTACAGGGTGTAGGTTTTGATTGATTTTCGTAGCCCCATGCTCAATCGCTGAGCTATCTAATCGACGAGGCTGTATGATAAGGCCACCATACTGCCGTGGATTACGATATGCGGACAAAAATGGAGGGAAGAATAAGTGTGGATCATAGGAGGGCTATTCGTATTTGCGATCTGAGATAAAGAACATTTTTATATATTACTAGTCATTAATTTCAACAGGATTAATATGAGTATTAGTTCCTAGGAGTCCTTTTATGTTTGGCGGGCCCCGACTTTAATTTATAAATTGATAAGCTTAGATCCTGTATCCTAATACCTATACTAGTTACTGATATGAAGATATATTTTTTCTCCTCCAGAATCCCACGGACAATCAGACGGATGATGTAGGTGTCCGAAAGCATGTGGAAACACAAGGCATTCCCAATTGGCTTCTGGTACGAGTTGCCAGACACGGAAAGCGTCCGCACATCCTGGCAAGAATGCTCTGCTACTGCTCAGCCTTGCATGTCACTATGCATCTCAATGCAGTCAGCACACCACAATTCTGGACTTGATTTCTTCTCGGGCTGTGCCTCGGGCGGTGCCTCGCAGGTACGGAGTCTTATAAATCCTGACCTCCTTGGCATTTTGCCAGCACCAGTAGCACAATCCTTCAGTTCTATCCACATCTACCCACAACAGTCATGTCAGGATTATCCCTGGGCCCTCAAGGCACCCATATCTCTTTTGACGCATTGATAGCTACTTTGTGGACCTTTACTGCTCTATCTTGTTGCTCTATCATTTTCCGTCTCTACGTCCGACTCTTGACCTACCGAAGGCTTTTCCTTGACGATGCTCTTGTCGTGTTGGCCTGGGCGATGATGCTGGCAACGACGGTGATGTGGCAGGTCGAGGGGCCGGCCTTGTATCATTATTCGCCCGTGTTCAGTGGCAAGACACTCCCGACCCTCGAGTTCTTGGATGCGTATACGCATCTGCAAGGATACTTGGTCGCCTGGCTCGTCTTGTTCTACTCCGGACTGTGGTTGGTGAAGCTGTCCTTCTTGACCTTCTTCTACACTCTGGGTACCAAAATCCGGAGCCACCGCGTGTGGTGGTGGATCGTCTTTGGTATCACGATCGCGTGGTGGATTATCTGCATCGGAATTATCGATTACCGCTGCACCATCAACAGCACCGCCTACACCATGGGTGAGTTCCAATCATCTGGGTCCCCGAATGCACCGGTTGACCTTCACATCCTGCAGCACACTGTGGCTCCATCGACCGTGTGCATCATGACAATAAGATCATCTATGGCAGCTGCGCCGGCGATATCGTGACAGATGCCCTCAGTCAGTCCCCATCACTGCCCCTCGGCTCTGGAATTGTGATTTAATCTCGGGCGCAGTTCTTTCCGTTCCGATCTTCGTCCTCTGGAACTCCCAGCTTCCGCTGCGCCAGAAGATGGTCCTGTTCGCCTTCTTTTTGGCGACGGTGGTCGTTATGGCGGTCGCCATTGTGCGAGTGGCCGTGGGCATCGACTACGCGCAGACGATGGACATCTCGTGGGTCTACTTCTGGTCCTGTATCGAGATGGGAACGGGTAGGTCATCTCGTTGTGATGAGGTTCTGCTTACCCTAACTGACATCTGGTTTTTCTTGGCGAATGACAGCCGTGATGGTCGCCTGCGCCGCATCTTTCCGGCAGCTCTACATCACGTCGCGCAACCGACATTTGTTCGGGAAAGGGCCCAAGGTGAAACAGGCAGTTGATTCGGGCCATCGCCGACTCCTCCAGTTCCAGTTTCAGAACACGGAGCCGAGTGTGGCTCGCGACTCGGAGGAGCCCTCCACCCACTCGACGGAGCATATTCTGATAGGCAAGCTGGCGCACAGGAGTCCCGAGATTAGTATTCCTGTCTAGGAACAGCCTTCTTTGTTGATTTCTGTTTGAGTGATATTCCTTTGAATGGCGGATCAAGCTGCTTGTCAGGTTGTCAACCTACCCTTCCTCCCCGGCCCCCGGCCCCCGGCCCCAAATTTCTGCGAAATTAGAAACCAGCTTTAAGTCCTGCAGCATCGGCCCCCACGTGTTATAAGCGAGTCAGAGAACTGCACATCAACTGGGGGAGGGGGGGGGATTAGGGTGGGGGTTACCCCTCAGTTACCTAATCCTGTAAAGTGCTGAAGCTTCGCCCAGTCCGTCAGCAAGCGCATAAGCACTAAAGCTCTCTCCCCCAAATCAGCTTCATCTCGTTGAAGGCTGGCGGAATGGCATGAAGACACTAAAATCTGCCGTCAATCAGCCTGAACACATCATCGACCACATTTCTACATGAAAACGCGTGCGTGTCTGTTTGCTAGAATAAAACCCGTGTCTGGGCAATAATGTGGGAAATGCCGTGGAAATATGCCACTGACAGGGATTTACGGCGGAAGACATAGATACCTAGTCAGCACTTACAGATCAACGACCTTCTCCAGACGGAAGCCGAGCGGCGAGCTTTGGGGACTCCCACGTTGCTTCGAAAAGTCATCATATGAAGAACTTCTCTCATACTGAGGGTCAATGTTAGATATATTTGAATATTGGTAACCAAGCTAATACCGAAATCCATTATTAGTTATTTATATAATAATACTAGAATCTAGTAGTATTTATCTGGGTATATTTTGAAAAGATTAAAATAAAATAAAAATTTTATATATATCTAGAATTTCTAGTACTAATTAAAAAAATATTTTTCTATAAATAATTTACTTACAATTTTATTATAAGATTAAATAAAAAGCTAAACAGAGTTTAAAAGATAAAAAATAGTATAGACTTTAAAAAATAATAATTATTAAATATAGTATTCTAAAATATAGAAAAATAAGTAGTAAAACTAAAATATTAAAAAATACAGACTAGCTGTATATAATTTATATATATTATAAATATAAAACTGTTTATCTTATTTATAAAATTCTAGGACTGTATTAAACTGTAGTAGTATAGTTTTTAATAATCAAGGACTGCCCAGCAGTTTTTGAATTTAGAACTAAAGACTGGTATAGTGCTGTCTGGTGCAGTCTGGTCCTTAGTCTTTGCAGTCTTTTCCAAGGCCTACTTCTTATACCCCGCAGGAAATACTGGATTAGGTTAGGCAGGAATTATACTCTTTCGGTCCTTATTCAATATGTTTATATTAATTATCAATGTTACATATTTACTATATTTAATCACAGATTATACATCCGAATAAGATGTAAATACTCCCATATGAGAGGGAGTCAGCCAGCAGCAGCCTAGCCACGCCAAAGGTGGTTATTGTCCCTGTTAAGAACATTTTAGCTCGATAAACGGCGAGGCAGATTATTCGGAAGTGAGACTAACGTAGAATGCCTACTTTAGGTTAGTTTTCGGTATTCGGCATGACCTGGACATCAATATCCTATCAAGAGGCAACACGTGTTGGCGTCTTTGACCTACAGCCACCTTTCAGCTGATGACCTTATGCCAGTTGACAAGCCTGCGCAAGGCGCTTTCAGCCTCACAACCAAGGAAGAATCAGGTGTTATGTATAGAACGGGACGCCCACGGGCCGGACTCCCGCAAAATTCGGCCACTTGGCGCCTCCAACTTTCCTTCCCAGCCGCCTAACACATCTCTCCTGCACGGAGTCTTCAGCCGCAAAGCTTGATCGCGAGGATAAATACCGCACTTCGTCCAAACGAGACGACATTCGCAACGGGGAATTCTTTTGTCTTTTTCCCCCTCTTCATCGTGCTGTCCTGCTCCGTAGCGGTCAAGAAAGAGTATAAGCTCTGATCGCACACATGTCTGCTGACGGCATTCCAGACGACTATAACATCCAGGAGGCTTGGGACAAAGCATGTCTTGCGTTCTCCCGCATGACGCAGGTCGACCTGACGGCAGCTCCAAAGCTCAGTGTCGACGAGGTACTTGAGGATATCCGAGGAAAACAGATTGACGAGGAGGAGAAGCACAAGAAATACATCGTTGCTAAGGATGCGATAAACAAAACAGGCAAGCTGATTATGGTCCTCGGCGGAATAGCTGCCCAGGGTGCCAGCATGGTAAGGATATTCAGATCATAGTGATGATGAGGGTGATGCTCTTGCTTTTGATAGATGACGAAATTCTAGGTATTTGCCCCCAGCACTCTTTGCTTCAATGCAATCTCGTACCTTATTGAGACCGGAGCAAATTACAAGCGCATCTTCAGCAGTTTGGTGGAGCTCTTTCTCCGAATTTCAGACGTACTTGAGCGATGTAAGATTTACATGAGATTGGCCCCTGAAGCTGTTGACGTCTCCCTGCGCAAGATCATCAACGAGGAACTAGTCTGCTTCGTGGAGATATGTGCTCTTTCAATCAAGGTCATGAGGGGAAATAAAATGCTGATCGCGCTAAAGGTCTTTGCGTTTGATAGCGACGAGGGTGTCCGTTCTCAGTTAGAGCGCCTGGCATCGCTGGTCGAGCGCGAGTCCCAGATGCGCGCAACTCTGGGATTCGAGTCGCAGAAGATCAGTGAAAGGGTCATTGTGGAGGCTCGAGATGGGACTAAGAAAGTTTCCGCGTCGGTGGATGAGCTTCTGACCTTCGAAAAAAAGAAGGATGCCAACAGTATGGCAAAGCGATTACTGGGCACTATTGACAGCAATCTCGACATGCCCAGCGAAGCTTTCAAAGACATCCAGGCGGTCTACAAACGTTGCCTAAGTGAGCAGGTCCCGGGGAGTGGACACTGGCTTCTAAGCGACCCTCTCTATGCCTCCTGGGCTGATTCCCCGCGGCCGCAATGCTCGATTCTCGGCCTGTCCGGTGCTCAAGGCGTTGGGAAATCTTTTCTGTTTGCGGCCATCGTCAAGCACCTGGAAGAGATGTGCAATGAAGGTGGGGACGAGGTGACTCGCACTTCGGCGGCCTACTATATCTTTGACAAGGACAAAAACGACCCATCGCTGCTCAAGGCGCTACAGGTTCTCGCATGGCAGATCGCTAAAGCGGACATTGTCTACCGAAAGGATCTCAGCTCAGTGCAGACAGCCAGTGTTCATCAAATTGGAAGCATGTGCAATATCTTGTTCGGTAGATCCTCCAAGAGCGACTTGACCGCCTACCTCCTGCTCGACGGGATAGAGCAAATGGACAAACAACATATGAAGCAGTTCTTGCACGTCCTCGACGAATGGCAAAGCAGCCCGCAGGGTTGGTCCAGATTCACATTGCGGATTCTTTTGACAGGTCGGACAGAGATCATGCGCCGAGTCAAGGACCAGCTCGGAGATGGAATTTCGGTCATCGACATTGCATCGAAAAATCGTGATGATATACTCAAATTCATCACCAGCCGAATGAACAAGATAGATGTTCTCAGTGGCGCAACTGACCAGGTAAACTCTCTGCGTGAAGAAATTCTCAACGGTCTCGCGAAGCGTACAGATGGCGATTTCATCAACATCGGACTACTCTTGGACGAAATCAGCACCAAGCAGCGTCCCGGCGAGATCAGAAACATCATTGCTCGCTCCGGAGAAAATAGGTCCGATACAATCGCGCGCACAATTGCGACTCTTAACGATACTCTCAGCGACGAGGACATCTCTGACTTGATTGAGCTCCTTACTTGGGTCATTTTTGCATCACGTCCTCTCGGTGCCAATGAGTTAGAAGCTGTTCTTTTCCTTAAGACCGGCGAAGCGTCTCTGCGGCCTTTGATAGAGAAGTTGCGGGGTCCGTATTCATCACTCTTTCACATTGCTGCCGCCAGAGTTCATTTCGCGTCTGAATCTATCGCGGACTTTCTCCTCCAATCCTCGACTCCAAACGACCCCAATGAGACCCCGCGAGATGCCGGCGATGTCAGTGAAAGCGAGGTGCGAATTGTCCGCCGGTTTCTAAAGTCGGTCTGCGACCCGGCCCTGTTCGCAAAATTCGAATTTGATGAGTTTTTCCAACGAAAGCTCAAAGGAAAAACTGTCCGAATTGCGGTGGATTCAGAGTTGGCGCATCTGAAGCTCGCATCAGCATGTCTGGAGGTTATCTGCTCATGTGACTCGCCAAATCTCAATCCATTGCTTGATTACGCAGTCCAGTTCTTTGGGAAACATTTGGCGCTGGCGGATCCGGCTTTAACGCTTCCTCGACACAAGATTGCTTTGGGCCCGCTGCTGGTCAAGGTCTTTACGGACGAAGAGGTTATAGACCGATGGTGGAGTCACGACCTCTACAACCTACGGATGCACTGGATCTACCTGGACGACTATGCAGAAGTTATCATGAAATGGCTACAGGACTCCGCCGTGACCAAGAACATTTCACAGGAGCATAGACAATGGATTAAGAGTCTGAGTTCGAAGTCGCACCTTGATGCAGACCTGCTCGAGCATGTGGGCAAGGTCGTCGCTCATAAATGGCTTCATGCCTACCCATGGGATAAATGGGATTTTGTGGGCTTTTTCATGGTTATACGGGGGTATATGACAAAGGTGCTATCTGATATTAACAAGGAGTCTATACAGATAAAATGCTGATTGTTTTACAGATCAAGAATCGCACAAACCCAAGCACTGCACGAGCACTTCAAGATCCACATCCGGACACAATACCAGTTTCCGACATTCTGGACGCCGCAGAATGGGCGCAGGCTCAGATTGGTCTAAGGGAACTGGGTTATGAGGAGACCTACAACCTTGCACGAACTCTGCGGGAGTGGCAGAAGTATCAGGAGGCCATTGAGCAATTCAAACACGCATCAACGTTAGCAGAGGAAAATTGGCTATCGCAGTACGGCCTTGCGACATGCTATGCTAGCAACGGTAATCTCAAAGTTGCCATCGACATATTAGAGGCCACAATGAAGAGAATCAGGGACGGAGACTTCGGAAATTTCAAAGTGACTGATATATATCTGCTGTCCATGAGTGACGAACTGGCAAGATGGTACAAGAGCATCGGGCGAGACGAAGTTGCATTGGCAATATATCGGAAGCAGCTGAATGCCGACCTCTCTGATTATCAGACTGCGTTTAACCTGATACAGCTGCTGCACCAGCAGGCGAAGTACACGGACTTGGTGAAATTCCTGCAGTCATTGAAAAATGCAATCGATCCGGACTCTGGACTTGATCTGAGAACAAGGAATGTTCAACGGCACTCACGGAATCAATTTTTTAATGAAGCTCTCTTCGCACTAGCACAGGACGGTGCAGAGTTTAATCTTGTTCTTGAGAGCTACGAGGAAGCCCTGGTTGCTGTGAGAAATCAAATGCTAGAGGCCCGAAAGGCTGACGATATTCTAGAGGAGAGACGCGCGCAACTCAACCTGGTAGAAATCATGATGCTGATTGCCACCCTACGCCAACGGGCCAGCTATCGTGACCCAATTCATGAGAAGTGCGCCGTCGATCATTGGACGCACATCATGGAAATGGATGGCACTCACGACTGGTTTCTTTCAACAAAGCAAGCATCTGTCCGCTCGGAATTCGCACTCTTTTGTTTCGAGAAGGCCATACGATCTCCAGATTTGGCGGCGGAGTATGTCCAGCACCTTGAAAACATAGTTTCTGAAGTTTCCCTCAGGAACGCAGACGACGTTTACTGGCTCAAACGCAGTCACCCAAGCTGCCTGCTCGCTCGGTACCACAGGCTGCAAGGAAACCACGGTAAAGCCAAGAGCATCCTTCGGTTCTACGTCAAACTCAATCTTGATCTCTTGTCGGATGACGATCCACTGAATGACTGGGAGGCATATTTTGGCCTAGCGGTACTTTCCATGTTTGCGGGTGATGAAGCAGACGCCCTGGCAGCATGGTCCTTGATCACGCCTAGTGGTGTCCCTGAAGCTGAAACACGGTTAGACAACACCAAGAAAAATCATCACGAACTTAAGGGCCCGATGGTTTTTTCTTGCAATGGTGACTGTGGCACAGATTGGACGTTTGCCGACAATTTTAACGTTTGCAAGACTTGCTTCGATGTCCAGCTCGACCACAAATGTTTGGACAAACTGCGTGCAGGAACCCTGGAAGTTAAGGTCTGTAACCCGGAACATGATATGCTGCGTGTTCCTGCATACGATGCCTCTGAGCACAAGAGGATGGGCAAAGGAAATGTCAAAGTTGGTGAAGATATTTTGAAGGTGGAGGAATGGCTTCGGCGGGTTCGCAGGGATTGGGGACTCGAGGCTGCCTAAATTGATTTATTCAAGGTCACTGAATTTCTATGCCTACCAAAGAAATGTCAAGACAAATCAGAAAAACTCTCAACTGCTTTCCGTAGAACTTTCTCTGGGGAAAGAAGACGTCTCATACCCGGAGCTTTTTATTTCCCATAGGTCGGGTCAATTCCCGTATTAACCTCCCCAGCTCCATCAGGCAGCATTACGCATATCTCAATTCGATTGAGGAACGTAGCTTGATATGGGCTTGAGAATACTGTTGACGGAGGTATGGCTGACAATGAGAATAGGACCAAGAAGAAGTATCTGTTCTAGGGCTCACTTGATTAAGTCGTGGCTATCGCCGTATTAATCCGACTGATATTGAAACGAAAATGTCGTTGAGTAGAACGGAATATCTGAGGGGATCAGCCACACAACTAGCATATCTGTGCTAATGGGTCTTATCCTCGGCTCTGTTGCTTAACGGAAGTCTATTCTTTTGCGAACCAGTTTGTTGTGGGGAGGCATAATCGATAGGGGAGATGGGATCGACGTTGATGCTGCCTATGTCGGACGGGGAGGTGGGTGACCAAGAAGGGTTGCCGGGTGTTGGGGCATAGCCGGGCGCTGGTGCATATTGCGATGTATTGTCCCACGGGTTAAGCGACATGCTTCGTTGAACGCCATGCTCAAACTGCAGAGAGAACTTTAAGTCATTTTGTTGGGCCTACTGTAACGACAGACTAAAGGTGAGTGATGGTTAGTTGAGGCTTACACCATCAGGCTCTGTTAAGGGTGCTGTTTGCCTGTGTAAGGGCCTTGCGAGCTCTTCGAACCTTCGTGATTAATATTGCAAGAAATATGTATAAAAGAAGGCCTAAGATATTAGTTATATAACAGCCAAGTAAAATAGTTGCAGAACTATCTAAAACAGCAGCAGTTCTATAAAATTAGATATATTAGTACTAGTATAATATCTTAAAATATAATACTACTTCTTTACCTATTATTACAGTGGCTAACGGCCAGGTCAGGTCAGGTATAAAAATATATATATTCCTGACCGGCTTAACCTGCGGTTAACCGGCGGGTCCAACTTCTCAGCAAGTTAAACCTTTTTAAAAAGGCAGTAAAAGAAGACAGAATAATACTACCTAATTTTAGTGTAATTTCTTCCTAGTTTTGCCTAATTACTGCCTTAACTAGTCTTTTTAGGACTAGTACAGGTATAATAGTTAACCGCGGTTAACTATTCTACCTAACAGTTAATCTGATTTTATATCTTAACCTGACTGCCAGGTTATGGCCAGTATAAGGACTAGAGGGTGAAATAGTGTAGTAAACAAATGCCTTATCGTAGGCAGTTAAAATATTTAATTAGGACTAATAGGTCTGCAGTTAGAGCTGATTTATAGAATAAATAGCAACTGCAGGTAATATTAGCTGAATAGCCAATATTTTTAAAGAAATCCCATTGTTCTTCTCTTATATATAGGATAATTAAAAGTAGATTAGTTTACTACTAAATGAACTGTACTGAAAAGCCATGACATGAAGGTATTCCGAGATAAGATGTAAAGACGCATTTCTGGATAGCGTACATACTCCCGTAGATGATGTATAAGTAATAGAATACAATTTGCAGCAAACATAGAAGATAAAGCCAAGGTTATGAGGAGCATTTTTTAGATTTGAAACAAAGATATATGCATAGTTTTGTGGTGTAATGCATCTCTCTACTACCTTTGAAATGAATTCTGATTATCGTCTAGTAACACTACTCTGATCTTTATGCTTTTTAAGAAGTATACTTAATTTTCAAATCTTCTGTGCTAGCTCTTCAATACAGACCAAACTTTCAAAGTTCTATCTATGGAATAAAGGCTTTTACAGGACAATAAAATCCATCTAAGAGCTGTATTCAGATATGGGGGTACAATCTCAACACAGTCATTGTTAATTTAAATAAGGATGGGTATATAATCATACAAACCTGATAGAACAGAAATGTATACAAAGTCAATATATTGTGCTGCCCTTTCCGGTCCGTAACCAGGCTTTCAATATTGTAGTGTGTTTACGGGCATCGCTTCAATCTCCTGCCACAACGGATCTCACCCCTGAGTATATGGTCAATATACTCCCGATTCCCGGATGATTAGAGACAAAGCATAGTCTCTTATAGCAACAAAGCCTTCCAGTGACACAACTCCATATTATCTACTCTGTCTCCAACAGCCCTATTCCCAGTTATACGTGCGAAACCGATGCGGCAACTCCCCGCTCCCGCCCGCCATAGTCACCTCCCAATACTCGCCCTCCAGCTCGCGCTCAAAGAGCTTCTTCCCAGGCGGCTTGGCCACCAGCTTATCCAGAGTCTCAACCACCTGCGCGACCCAATCGATCTTCCGCCCCACCTCCTGCGCCAGCATATTGCACCGCACCATCACCTGCCAGCATTGCGTGAGGTAGTCGCGCAACTCCGCGCGATTGGCGTGGTGCAGCGGATCGTGCGGGACGGGCAGTCGTCGCGCATGTTGGCCATCGTACTCCGCCAGCCCCGTGATCTGCTGTACTAACTCCTGCGGTAGACCCCCACGCACTCGCAGATAACCCTCCACGCGCGCAACGTCCGTCAATCGCGGTCGATAGACCGCCTTTTTCCCGCAGTTCAGAAACACCTCGAACGGCACCTGGCCGTAGGGGAAGGTCCGATTGGTCAGAATGAGCGTAGGACCGGAGGCAGCCGTCTCGCTGGGGCGGTCCGCATCATTCAACCAACCCAGCCTCGCTCCCCGGACCTCGGTGGTGGCCTCCAGCAGCGGCAGGAAGCCGGGCTCCCGGCGGTAGCGGGCGACCTGTGTCTGCCAGTGGAAATGGTCGTCGAGGCCGAAGAACTGGCGATGGAGGTGCTGGGCGACTTCGTTCGAGGAGCCCTCGAAGGTCCACCGCCGCAGCGTGCGTTGGTAGATCCGCGTGTTGCGGTATTCGACGGACCTTTCCTTGTTGGCGGCTTGGCGGGAGGCCGGGTCCCAGAGCGAGGGGATGCTGTGGAGGATGTTGAGGGTCAGGTACATCTGTAGTGCGCCGGCGAAGAGCTTGTCCCAGCCGCGGTCGGGGGTCTGTCTTCTTGCGTAAGTACCGTGTGTTGGCTGTTTCTATGCTTTTTCTTGTTTGGGGGGGGGGGATTGTGGGCTGTGCGTACCATACAATAACATTCGTACATCTCCATCCACTCCGCCAGGTCGTTGTCCGAAGTGGCGGCCAGCCGCAGCACAGGGTCCATCTCTCCGAGTAGCATGAGGCTGCTCACAACCTGAATGTTGTAGAAGGCCCCAGCATTGTCATCCATGAATTTGTAGCAGTCGTTGGGTTGATAGCGACGCAGAAAGGCCGATCCCATTCGCTCGCAGTACGGTAACGGGCATCCGCAATGATCCACGGGCCTGTCGGGGCTACTGCTGCTGCTACTGCTGCTCCTACGGATGTTGCTGTCACCGGTGTAGTCCCGATGCGGACACAGCTTAGGGCCCCGCGCCTTGACAGTCGTTCTGTACGGCCACTTGGGGTGCTCGTAGGCCGTGCACCATCGGTACGCCAAGGGCCGGAGTCTCTCCGCGAGGCGATCATTCAAAACCAAATCATCTGGCTGGATAGGACTACACTGCGCGGGGTATTTCCGCCGCTCGGTGCGGGTGTGCTCTTCAATGGCGCGGGCGAAGGACTCGGCAAAGTAGCCGATCTCCTTGCCCTGGGCAGGCCGGAACCGGAAATAAAGGTCCGAGACGAGGTGGGTTGTGTCCGGGGTGGCTGGTTCCGATCGATGGTGGAGATTCTGGGCGAGGATGTTCCAGCTGATACTGTGGGCTTGGTGAGCCATCTCGCAGTAAGATGGTTGGTGTGGTAGGGGTTATGGCGTGGAGAGGAGAGATGCAAAGCTTTAAGGGATGTAAGATTTGCCAAGCTATTTTTGGGGTGGGCTTGCCGTAGGCCCACTTGTGACTCATGGTCCACATCCGTGTCAGATTAATCTAAATCTGCCTATGCCCGGAGATTGAAGATCTGTCAGCAGTTGTTTGAGACGGGGGTAACCTCCCTGGCCAGGTTAGAAGGCAAAAGCCTAGAAACCATACCTGAGACCCCTGCAGTGTATTTCGGTATGAAAGAGCATCTATACAAGTTGGGTCCAGTAAACGAATCATGTCATGTTACAATTGTGGTTTTTCTAGTAATTCTTTAAGTCATTTTACTCAGTTGTCAGTTAGCTGGCCAGGGAGGTTAGTTTTAGACAAATCCGTGATAGACTCAGGGTATGCTTAAGATGAGCCACAACTGCCATTATATGACAGTAGAACGCTTGTCTACGGTCGCAACATGAAGAGGTGGAATTACACCAAGATTAAAGCTCCTTTATTCCAGCTACATAGTTGAAAGTCGAGACCCTGACGCAGCTGACTTTGAAAAGCTCCGAGGATAAGCAGGCAGGCTTGGCGCAGCCCCGCATTTCAGGAATTCAGTTAAGGCCATTTGACCTCCCTCTACCCACGAAATACTTGTATTGTCTGCATCATTCATCCTTCTTTATATTCGTTTAGCTGATTCTCCAAAATATCGAATATGACCTTCCCACCCACCCCGACCGGCGAGACCAGCTCCCACGCCGGCAACTGCCACTGCGGCACGGTGCAGTTCCATTTCATCCTATCGCCGCCACTACCCGAGTACCCGACTGCCAGCTGCAACTGCTCCATCTGCTCGAAGAACGGGTATCTACTCGTGTACCCGTTCCAGAAGGACTTCGTCATCGACAAAGGAGCGGAGGTGCTCAAGAAGTATCGCTTTGGCGACCGCAAGGCGACGCACCAGTTCTGCAGCGACTGCGGCAGTAGTTGCTTCATCTGGCCGCCTCCCATGGAAGGTGAACCGATCACGGCCATTAATGTAAGGAGAAAGTTCAATCTTGTATACGTGTTGCATAGGTGGGACTAACCACAGGCTCCACTTAGGTGCGGCTCCTAAAAGACTTTGATACGGAGATACTGAAGATCAACAAGGTTGATGGGAGGTCATTCCCGCCGGAGTACAAGGCATAACTCCGCAGATCTATGTGTTGCGTTGTAGGGACATTCAACCCTAATGTATACTATCTATCTCATCCTGCATATAATACACTCCCTTCTGCTCACAGTTGCTGTTATTGGTCTGATCTGCCTAAGTGTATCGGAGGTAATATAGGGTCGCTTTTCTCTGTGGCCCTGGGGCTCGATTGTTGATGGACCAAAAGTAGGATCATCAGGTGTACCGGAGACAGTACCATGAGGCTGTCTTTGCCTTTGTCCTTAGCATAGGACTATCAACTGTCTATGTGCTCACAACAAGATTGTGACCGGAGAAACGAAACGATTAGCACCTATCATAGTGTCTACAGCAATGAGCCGCAAGTGAGATGCTAGACGCATGCTGGATATTCGAAAACAGGCGATGGACAGCTCGGGATAGCACAGCCTTGACCCGAGACTAGCCATGTGGATTGAGGATCATGGCTATGTGGGACCAACCGTGAAAGAATGAGGTATAGAACGGACTTGGTTGTCGAGGACAATGGCGCAGGCGCCCAGTCTACAAAGGACAGCCCGCAGAATGTGCAGCACAGAGTCCACCGCCCACGGACGCATTCGCAACTTATTTTTCAGTACAAAGACTACTGGACCTTTGTTCTGTTGCAAGTTTATTGCCTTTCTGCCTCATTGTGCGCCTTACGCAAATCGCCGCTTGGGTTCAATTCCTTTGTCTTTGCTTGGCAGGGAAAGGGGTGTCAGCATGGCATAAATAGAGCAACAGGGTCTTCGAAACAGGCTCTTCGAAGCTGTGATATTCTGCTATAGCACAACCCACCGTCTCCAGAACCTCGTGTGTGTTTGAAGTTTGTTTCCCACCCCAGGAAGAGCAGCCTGTGATTCACGTTCGCATCGGCCCCAGACCTCTGCACCACACCTGCAAGCCCTATCCGTCTTTCCCCGAGGACTGTCAGACACGCACAGACAATCATGACTCCCTGGAACCTGGATCAGCCTCCCAAGCAGAACCAGTCCGCCAAAAAGCGCCGGCCAGGCAAGAAGTATCAGGTCCCCAAACAATGGTCCATGTACCCTGCGCTACACGGGAAAGTGCAACAGCGCCTCGCGGACGCGGGCCTCGCTTACTTGACCTTCCATCCGCATGATACCGACACCGGCAAGGTCAGGGACTATGACACAACCATCATGGGCCGCTTCGTCTGTCGCAACCGCAACTGCGAGACGGGCGGGTGGTCGAGCAAAGCCGTCGCCATCAGGATCCGCATGTACCCGGACGGCAAGTACAACGCGCGCGTCTATCACCAGCGCTGTAGGGGCTGCAATGCCCTCAGCCGGCCGTTCCTCAACGCATCGTCCTACGCCGAGCGCGTCGCCTATCGGCTCAAGAAATGGCATGGCATCCTGGTGACCCCGCCCGCCTACGGGGGCGCTTCCCAAGCTCCTCATAATGAGGAGCTGTGCGAGGGCTGTAAGGCGGGTCACTGTTTTGCAGGCAAGCGCTGGCGAGGTGAGGATGTTGAGGAATTGAGTACGGCGATGGCGGCGTTGTGATCGAAGCACCCAGGTGTTACCTTAGGGGTCAATCTGGTACTGGTGCTTTTCTGTGGTCTAGATCCATTACCAGCCACATAGTCCAGTAAAATTGCAGGATATCCCCTTGAGAATAGAATCAGAAATCACAACTTATGAATCTAGAAGGTTTCATGTGACGGAATTTGTCTATGTTCATACTCCCAATCCACTTTCACGCCCGAAGTCTATCACAGTAGCTAACTTTCTCCCATAGACCATGACTCTCCACTACCAATCAATTCACCTCTTATCCAGGCCTACGAACGGTCCAGTCCATGAAAAACCGATACCAAAATCCCGACGCGAACAGTAAAAAGCAACATACAACAACAACCACTCGGTGCCACAGCCCTAAGCCTTCTCCTCCGATCTTACCTCGCAGCCAGCTCAACCCCACTTCAGAAAAGCGTCCATTCCCAGCCGCTACGGAACCCGAAGAGGAAAACCCCTCAGCCCCCGGGCCGGACCCATTTGCACAGACCTTAAATATCTGATCGACAGATCGTTGCACCAACAGCCCGACCATACGCTTGTTCTCGCCATCATCCTGGATCGTCTTCGCTCGGATCGCCTTCTCCTCCAGATCCAGCCGATCCCGCTCCGCCTGTATGCTGTCCAACTGGCAGGCCAGATTCGCTTCCAGCAGACTCTTATTAGACTCCAGGATCGTAATCTTCTCTTGCAGGTCGCGGTGCAGATCGTCCAGCTGCGCGGTGCGCAGCGCGTCGCCGATCGTCGTGGCCAGTTTCCCTGCGACAGCCACGAGGTCACAGACCCCCTGTGCCGTCGTGGGGAGGCGATGTACCGCGGTGTGCCGGATCTTGACTATGGTCGCAAGCATCGTCTCCAGCTCGAGATCCGTCGGACGGAGCGTGCCGTCGGGTAGTCGGGATGACCATTGGCCGAGCAGCCGCGTCCACTTGCTGAGTTCGACCGCCGCGGCGCAGTCCCAGCCCCGGATTGTGAGCTCGTCTGGTACACATCGTTGACAGAAGTCGAAGATGCATTCCTCCAGGACTTGTTGCACGGTGGTTAGAATTTGATGCTGGGCGTGGTAGGGTAGATACAGCGGGAAGAGCGGGGCTGGCGGTCGCTCGGGCGATAGGCTCTGATCTGTAGGTATTCTGGTCAGTGGAAGAGTCGAGACAAGTAGCCCTGCGTAGAGCACACTAGAAATTGGCTATAGGGCGCTGTACCTGATTCGTTTCCCAACTCTTGTTGTCTGACTTCAACGGAATTGACGGCGATTGGTATCGAGGCCATGGGAGGCTCTGATGGGAGGCCCAAACCGCCTTTCCCTTTCTCATCCTCGTCTTCCTCTTTACGCTGCTGTGCCTCGTACGTCTCCGCCACCTCCTGGAGAGCCTGTGCATTGGAGTGCGATGCTTCTTTTTCAAGGGCCGCATGCTGCGTCTGCCGCACGGAACACGGCTCAAGGAGACCGGGAAACTGCAACTGGGCCTTACTGCTTGACTGAAACAGGCCCTGTTCCAAGAAATATTTGACCAGAGGCAGGGCCCGCCAGATGTTGTAGTTGGGAATGAGAGCTTGCAGTGAGCTTTGGTGGCTTTCTAGATGCGCCCGGATCGTCTTCGTCTTGCGGATGTTGGCGTTCGTGCCGCTGAAGATCGCGCGACACGCTAGAAAGATCGCGCGTCGTTCGGAGCTGGGGATTTTTTCCATCGCTGGATGAGCTTTGCTTCACTAACGTCTGTTACCTTTGAGATTGGGGAGTGGGAGGGATTGAAATGGTCGCGGGATAAATGCGCGGTAATGGTGATTGCAATTTGAAGCAATGGAAGGACAAAGAAGTGATAGATTTCGTGGTTGTGAACCTCAATGTTTCAACATGTTTTGACCCGGCTACTAAGCATCATCACCACCTTTATACTGTCCACGGCCCCATGACGTTGTAATGATTAGTCCTATTCGGGCTTCCAGAGTCAAGCGTCTCCCTGCGGCTGTGAACTCCACGAGGCTGGCCCGCTATACTCAACTGAGCACGCCACTTCCAATTCTTAAATGCGCTCAAACCACAAGTACGCGCCTTCTTTCATGGATCAGTCGACTTTGCGGAATTTCATGTGAGAGGCACTGCCATCGATTGGATGAGAAGTACTGGTTCGCATGTCGGAAGTCGCAGCGGACCGCAGATGCAAGTGTATTGTGCCTTAGCGCCGGCGGCAAACAGGCTGGGGAAGCGTGCACAGCCACAGGAGGGGTTTCCAGTTGTATTGAATGTATCAAGTCTGCTATGCTGCTTAGCATACCCATGTTTAAATCGTTGTCGGTGCGCAATGGAGGATAGAAGCTATTGAGCAATAGGGCCTGTCTTGCGATAGCCTACGGATACAATCTTCGTCTTGATCCCAGCATTACTTATTATTCTTTGTGTCTACTCCCTTTCATATTTGTGTACGATATATCTTGCACTATTGCTTCTTTTTCTAGATGTACTTATCACGTCATTGAGCTCCTTGCTACCTACATCCATGCTCGCAGCAACGGTGCTGCACAAGGCACTTCATCTTGTACGTCATCTCACTGTTCATACTGGACGGCATGCGCCACACAGCGCCACACCGACCCCCTGCCTGCAGTAAGCGCCGCAGTCATCTTGCATAAATGCCGCCATTTCCCACCAGTGACTCGAAGGCAGTGCAGAGCTGCTTCCAATCGACCGTCGCAGGCTGCTTGCAGGCGTACAAGTTGTATTTGTTATTCAGTGAGCTCATTGACCCAGCTGAACTAAGCACTGCCGTGTTGGCAGAAAGGCCAGCAGGAGCACCGACATGTTCCCGAGCCCCGTGGACCCGAAACAAAAGTCCAGAACTATATGCCCACCGAGGTGATCGAAGTACCCAACGACGGCGATTTTCTCGTATACATGATAGTCCCCGCAATACGTTGGTCGCTGTGTGAAGCAATCGGTCTTTTGGGACGCGTCTCATAGCCCTGAACCGCTATGGCTTGCAAGAAAAGGGGCGTTGCTTTCATCTGACCCCCTCTAAAGATACAGGGTGTCTGTGAGATGAATACGAGTAGTATTACACCCGAACTATCAAGTCTGCTCCTGCTATCAGGTCATTCCCAGATCGCATAATGTTGACCTATCCAGTATAATCCTCGTACACCCATAACCTCCAGAAGACATCGTGCTAGCCCTACCCCTCCAACGCTGCTATCTCTGCCTTATAAAGCCCCAAGCCCTGCATCCTTGCGACACTCTGCTTCGCCGTATACGCAGATGGCTTCTCCTCGGTCGCGACAATCGCCCGCCCCGTCTCCAACCTCACACACTTGTGGACCCGCGCGTTCACCCTATCTACATACGCCGCAGACTCTCCACCTCAAACTCCGACGCTGTCGTCCCAACCACCAACTGCACCAAGAGCACTGGCTTAGCCAGCCCATGTCCCCCGATCAACGTCGCTTTCACCGCAGGGTGCGCTGTGATCTCCGGCTCCAGCGACGAGGCATGTAGTCCATCACTCTGCGAGAAGGGACGTAGTCGTCCGTGCGGCCGACAATCTGCCACAGATTCTTGTGGACAGGGTGTGGACGCCAGAGGTCGTGGGTCATAAACCGCGTCGGGTGTAGGTAGGTCTGGAAGATGACAAGCTCGTCGTCTGTATCTTCAGAGGTGGTGTCGCGGACGAACACTAACTCGTGCAGCCCGTCAGCGGTCCGGGGCTCGAAGGCTGCGCCCTGTTGCTGCGCGAAGCAGCCACAGGTAGGCGTCGGGGTCGCGGTGCTCGTGGTGCGTCGCGAAGTACCCGCCTGATATAACCATGTTGATGGCCATGGGGATGTAGGGGGTCAGCAGCGCGGCGGATTTGGCGGCGAGCGGGGCCCCGGCGTAGATCAGGAGGTTGAGGCTGCGGAGCGCGGCTAGGCCGGCGTCGGAGAGGCAGAGGCCGTCGATGAGGGCGGGAGGGAGGAGGGTACCGTCTATATGGGTGCTTTGGAACACGGAGATAATGGTGGCGGGGGAGAATGCTGCGGACGGGCCTAGCACGGCGGTCATGTTTACGTAGGCTGTTGCGGCGAAGATGAACATCATGCCGGTTAGCTATGGAGTTGTTAGTATGGTTAGTCAGGACTGTTGTACGGTTGAATAGGGGACATACGTACAGGGAGGGGATAGGGGCGAAGGGTCTGTGGTTGGCGACGCGGTGGACCATGCTGTCCTTGATGCTCGGGGAGGCGGCCATCATGTCGATCGAGGCCATCATCCGGTGCGTCCAGGTCACCGGCTTGGGGTTTCCGGTCGTGCCCAAATTGTGGAATACTAGCCACGGGTCGTTTTTGCCTTCGTCCCATGTTTTGCTGGATGTGACGGGCTCCGCTTCGGTATCCCTGAGGAACTCCTCGAGGTCTGGGATGTCGATCGTCTGAATGTGCGGTGCGTCGTGCACGATTGCATCTACCTGGGCTTTCATGGTTGATGGCCGCAGGTACACGGTGCACTTCTGTTGCTGCAGGATGCGGCGTTATGCTTCGGCCATCACCAGTGAGGAGTGGAGGATAAGCTAACATGCAATCAGCGGTGTTACTTAACCATGCGCGCGCTATGCGTAACCTACCACTTTTTGCAGTTTCGCTGCAGCAAATGCGAGGATTGGGTAGCGGAGATCTTTGGGCCCAGCGTACGCGAACTTCTGGAATGGCTCCGACGTCTCGGGAACAAACTGAATTCGTCTACTACATGGAGAATAGCGTGAGAGGGTGGGGATGGAACAGGGGAACTCAAACACTTGATGCGCTACCCGTGCGGCTAATGAATTAGGGCTGACGCCTCCAAGGATCGGCCGGTGGCGTTAGCGAATGAGAGCCCAACAGAACCCACAAGGATGAAAAGAGTGATTGGCTACGCGATTCATGATGTTGTGGTTGGCCTTTGCCTGCTCAACGGCACAATCAACTGTAAGCGCTGATCCAAATGTAGGTAAACTTTTCGAGGTTCTTATGGTAAGTGGGCCTTAATCGTATGACAGCCCTGATCAACCCACCCGCTGGGCTGGCAGGCAATGGACTCCAGTAGCACCCTATATTCTCGCACCCAGCCGCATTCCCTAGACACCTACCATGCATCCTGTATAAGAAGGGCTTACTAGTTGTAAAGTTGGACAAGTGCTAATTGTTATAGCCCGATGTCATGAGGTAGATCTCCCCGTTGATTACCCGACCGGGCAGAATAGCCCTAACTTGTGCCAACTTTGAACTTGTTTTTATCTTTACTAGTGCTTATATCTCAGCCACAACCATACTCAGGCAAACCTAGCCGTCGCATTCTCACCCATCAAATATAGAAGAACGTCATGGTGTAAAAACTTCCAGCATTGACGGCATTGCATGATTTGACAGTCTTAGACCTAAAATTGTGCAGAGACCGAGACCGCGCAGAAGATAGATCCCATCAGTGCTTAGCATTGAAAAAAACCTCTTGGCTGCAACTGGACTCAATATACCGATTACACCGGAGGGCGAAGAGGGGCATCACCCGTCGCTACCCTACCGTCGTACCATGGCACCTCTCCTGGAAGGGATGAGGTAGAAGACCATACAGAACAACTAAATCCTCAAACCAATTATCCTAAGAACAATATGTGATATTGATCATTTCGATCGGCACACTACTTGCACCATCAGAATCATTACATGCGTTGATCCAAAATCCAAAGACTCCGCTCAAATCACCCCTATACTGTACACCTTTAAGGCAGAGCCCCATTCCGCCTAGTTCGCGTTCATCCACCCGTCTCGCGTAACAACACGAGCCGCGCAGGAAGCTCTTTCAGCTCCTCCCGATCTAAACGTTGAGACTATTTGGGGTCTGTTTGAAGGGTCCCGGCTTCGGAATGCGAGCCCACTGGGTCGTGGTCCGGTCGGCACCCCGAAGGGTGGGCGGAGTGTGCCGGATCTACGCCAAGAGCGCAGCCCCACTGCGAACACTATCGTACTATCTTTGCGTGAATATGGAATGTAAGATGAGATGATTTTAGACAGACGCTCCTGGGGACTAATATAAGAAATGAAGTGAAGATCAGTTTGGAGAACTCGTTACGAAGAAAGCTCGTGGCAAATGAAATGATAAAACAAGAAAAGAAAGAACAAGGGTGTCCAAGGAGAACTGCGACCACATCAGATAATGTGTTGCTTCTGGGCAAGCCAAGAATGGTGGCAATGATTCTGCGAATGTGTGGTAATTATGACTCGCCTTGCTCTCCATGTCTTCTAGACCCCGCCGGATATGATACATTCCACGCCTCATCCCACTGAGCTTCTTCCACCGTCAATCGATGTGACGTCCTCGGGCGAGAGTAAACCAGCCACTCAGCGACTTCTCCCTGGTAGGTAGATCTCTGCCGCAAGGGCGAGATTTGATTTCTGGCCTCACTGATTGAGTTGGAGGCGGGAGGCGCGATGCACGAATATACACAGGGTGCTATATTCGAGCAACAGTAACTCACGTCACACTTCGGGTTCCCTGTTTCAAAGGAGATTTGTGTAGCCCCACTCTACCCCTCTTGCTGGCTATAATAATCACCCTGAGCCTCGACTTCCTCCAGGTCTGTCCATTATTTTCTCCTTCTTGAAGTAAGCTTGTAGGCACGACTATCTCTGCTCACACATTCAAAATAGTCCACCCTCTAGAAGAACTGATAGAACAAATCTTGTAACCTTTCAAGTCTCTCCGCCTCTAACACACTCATCCAAGGACATAGTCCAATTGATACCGCCCAGGACTCAGCCTAAGACACTTGCCATCATGAGCGGCCGACCCTATATCTTTACCCGCGATGAGGTGTGTGGAACAGATGCATTCCACGTATCCCATGATGGCCAAAGGCATACTAACCTATCATCCCCAATATAGCCCCTCTCCGAACAGGAACATCTGATCCTCGACAACTACTCCCCCGAACCGCTGCGTTATGGCCACGCTGAGAACATTGTGCACAAGCTTGACAAGGTCAACCCCCCTGTGGCATCTTCAGAGTAGAGGAAGTGATCGCTGACAGTGACACCAGCAACGGAATGATTATGATTCCCCCGAGTGGGTCTTCAACTCCGGTCACCAAAAGCCGGACGAAGGCGCCCACCAGACCGGGAGTAATGCGGGCGATGGTGCCAATCAAGAGCTAGCATATAATGATGATGCGAGTCACGAGATGACTGATTTTTCTTCGGTGAGAATGGACTGGACTTTTAAAGGGGATTGGCAGATTTGAGGAAAAGAATATATCCGGTCGGGTTTGGAAGAGTTGCTTAGGAGGATGTGGATCCAGGTACAGTACACGGGCCGCGAGGATTGTCGATTGAGTATACGCTGAAGATATAGAATCAGCGAGTCAAGAATTGCATCACTGGAAATGTCGTACAAAAGTCACACGTCATCTCAGATATAGATTGCAACATGATTAGATTATTCACTCATCTCTTCAAGGAACATGTGCTGTTTTCACCGTACTCCCGGTTAGCTAATTGGTCTTTTCAGCTTTTCCTTTTGTTTTCTCCTTGCTCTTTAATTACCCTTTTGTACCTATGACAATGAAGAAGTAAAGCGATACTGCAGAGATGAATTGTTTCTATCACTTCCCATAAGCCCCCGCCCTGAGCCACATTATAAACAGTGATAAACTAACTAGTGGTCAATGGATTCGAACGGAGACCGGCTTTATTGCGTAGACCAGTAACTAGGAAGCCACGCTACTAGGCGTCACGCCTGCCTGCTCATAAAGAACAGAGCTTGGTAAGGTGATCTCCTGCGGAGGTTCCGCGATCCCTCGCCGCTGCAAAGAGCAGAACCACAAAGGCACATTCCTTCCCGGTCACCTTCCGTCTAAACCACAGTGATTATCGCAACTCAGCCATCCCAATCTATTAGCAAGCTATTGCTATGCGTTTACAATAGTGCTACCATATGATGACTATGGGTCACTGAATCTCACACCTGCAAGTGTCCAATCCTAGGTGTCCGCCAGATTCCGGACTCGGGATTTGACCGGCAATATGATACATCCGCAGCTACTTCCCGAAAGCCCGATTTGCACCAAGGGCATGGGTTCTGCAGGACTGGTGTCAAATAGGCTTTGAATGATTGGGCTATGCGACGCTATTCGGGCCCTGGCATAGGAGCCCGGAATGGCAGGTCCCGATGACTCAGCGGAAGTTGAGGCTTGGCGCAGCCTGCCCAGCTTCGACTGCGGAGACATGAGGCACAGAAGCACGGTCTTTTGTGAGAGGGCTCTGAATTCCGATGCCAGATAAGTGAGGAAGTGCGCCTTTTGTACCGTTTTGGGTGCTGTTGTTTGAGTGGGAAAGTGTGCTTGGCTCCATCGGGATTGTTTCTGTGTCTGTCATGGGAATACTTTACGTAGATCAGACCCCAACCGTAACACGAGGAGCCTTCGACATGGTCCAGAAGTTGCAGTTGTCTAGGGGTTCACGGATAATGGGAGCATCAGATTGAAATAAGATGAGTGTGTGTGTTATTACCTAATTCCTGACTACATACACGGCAGGAAGGACAATGTGGTGCCGAGAGCTTGACCGTGGTGCCTCGACCCCATGTCAGCCTGACACAAGATGGCATGTAGATAACGAAGTTGCACCATTTGCAGTAAGGGTTCGTCGAGCCGCGATATGCAAAAGCCATTCCTAGAAACATGCAGAGGTAGATAAGCATGTCCCACGACTGGCGGTGCTAGCCACGATAGTGGAGAGAACAACTCCGTTAAGGCAACAAGATTCCTCTCCAGACCCACAATGTGCCTTGGTTTACGCCGTGGCATCAAGGCCGGTCGGGCTAGCCTAGACGTACGTCGAGCAGAGTTGAGACCTTGTCGATCTTCTTCACCGGCGGTATACGCAGCGTGCCTTCCCAGTTCGGTCGTCCTTAATCAGTGAAGGACGCTCTTCTCGGACCTATCCCCTTGGCGAGCAAGTATAAATCCAGCGTGTTTGCCCTTCCCAAAGCCCTCAATCTACTACATTTATCACACTTCTACAGCCCGCACACCTAGGCATCCATCAGTATGCATCTCAACTTCCTCTTCATCCTCTTCGCGGCCACAGCCCTAAAGGCCACCGCGCACCCCGGCCCGCACGAGCCACTCCCTCCGGCAGCCCTCCACCGCCGCACCGAGCTCCTCAAGCGCTGCCCCGGCCACGCCGCCACGTTCAACAAGCGGCGCATGGCTGCGCGCGACGCTCTCACCAAGCGCTGGGCGGACGGCCACAACCACAACGCCACCGTTGAAATCCACACCGAAGCCCCCTTCTACGAGACCATCCAGAACGAGACCTGCGTGCTGACCCCAGAGGTTACGCGGGGCCCCTACGTGTGGCCGCGCTCGCAGACCCTGCGCCAGGACATGACAGAAAACCAAGCCGGCGTGCCACTGTGGCTCGACGTCGGCGTGCTGGACATGGCCACGTGCGCGCCGCTGCCCAACGCGCTCGTGGACTTCTGGCACTGCAACGCGACGGGCTCGTACTCGAGCTTCACGGGCCTATCACCCAACACCCCCTTTGAGGAGCTGTTGAGCGACCTCAACATCACGGACTATGAGCTGGGGACGACGGATCTACATACCGATGAGACCACGTGGTTGCGGGGGATGTGGCCAACCGATGAGTCGGGGGTCATGGAAATGAAAACGATTTTTCCGGGTGAGTGTCAACATACCCTTTCTCTTCTTGATTTGAGCCTTTGAGAGTGCAGGGGGGGAGAGCTAATGTTTCGAATTTCCGGCAGGCTTCTACGTCCAACGGGCAATCCACATCCATGTTCAGGTACACACGGATTGGACGCTCCGCGCGAACGGGACGATCACGTCCAGCCACACGGTGAGCACGGGCCAGATCTACTTTGCTGAGGAGCTGGAGCGCGAGATCATGGCGCTTGAGCCGTACGTCTCGCATACCCAGATCAATCGCACTACCAACGTAGAGGACTCCATTTTCTCGCAGGATACGGAGGGCGGGTATAACCCGGTGATCTCCGTGGTGCCGGCTGACGGCAAGGATGTGAGGAATGGGATGATCGGATATATTACCATCGGGGTTGATACTTCGTCGATTGAGCGGTTTAGCAAAGGGGATGTGGATTACGGGTTGTAGGTGGGTATTTCAGAGACAGATGGGGTGGGGGGTGGTGTAGAATTGTTGGGTGGAGGGGAATATGGCCTAGTGCATCGTTTCGCCTTGTGAATCTTAGAAGAGAAAGAACAGGTAGCATCAAATTTCAAGATGACCATACATGGTTTCACACCGTCTCTGGTATGCTGGACCCGGATCGGGGCAATTTCGGCATGGGTAGGCCGAGCGGCAGCTGCCTTCTCCACTGCGTTTTCACCACTCACCCCCCTTGCACCACTGTCGTGACCAAATCCATGCCGCAAGCAATTAGAAATGCAGAGGAAGCTAACTGGCAAGTGACTGCGTGCGGCGACTAGGAAAGGCAGGTCAACGGGTAGACGAAGGCGAATGGGCCGGGCGCAAGGGAACGGAGAGACGTCATGATGTTGCTCAGGTAGGCGAATAACCAGCACGGAGGTGTCAGTATCTGGAGGATTCAAAGGATACGGTGAAAGCACCAAGGGCCGGGTAGCCTCAAGGAGATGGATCAGACCAACGGATGATTGTCATGTACCGAATGCGCCGCAGTCCCCCGGTTGGCCGTCCGCGACCGGGAAAGGCCTCGCGGAGAAGCCTGAATTCGGGGACAAGCCTTTGATCAATCAGTCTTTCGTTCAGTAAAATAGTTTGCTTGACAAAAGTCATAGGAAGGAGAGTACTCTTCGCCGTGAATGCAGAAGAACCCTCCCCTGCTTACCTTTCTCTAGGGCACGACGCCGGTCATGTGATCCATATAGAACAAAAGACGTCGTTCCTTTGGGGACCCAGAAGTATCCGGCGATCTCCCCTTGGCGAAGATTTATCAACAGAGTTTGTCTATGGCAATAAAGAACCGACTTCCGGACGTACAATAGATCCTGCTGGGACGCATATTGCTGCGATGTCTTTGTCCATGAGGAACGACTTTTGCGCCGTGCCCCGCCAGACAGCATATAAAATACCCCCTTCCCCACCGGGCAAAACCCGAGATCAAAGTCTGCGAGAAGGGTCTCTCTGCGACACTGTCAACTATCCACTATGTACCCCCAGACCCCCTATCACCTGGGCTTCGAGTTCGTGATCCGCGAACACCACCCACCCAACGAGACCCCGGACGACCACGAGTTCAGCCGCTCTCAGGACCCGCTCCCCGGCCGCTTTGGCGAGAAAGAGCTACGGCTGCGGGTGTGCAAGGGCCTGCGCGTAGGGTCCGGGTACTCGGCGCAGGTGGCCGTGGTACAGGAGGTGCTGAGCGGGCGACCGCCCAAGCACGCGGGGTCGCTGCACCGGGACCCGGACGAGCTGGGCCCGCGGATGGTGGCCAAGCTGTACGACCCGCGGTACCTGGGCCCGTCGTCGGGCCGGACGTGGACCCAGGTGGTGCACTTCATGGACGAGCAGTACGTGCGCGAGTCCGCGGCGTACCGTCACCTGCTGGACCACGGGCTGCAGCAGCACATCCCCCAGTACTACGGGTCGTGGTCGACGCACACCGCCGACCCGGCGAGCAAGGAGCCGTGCGAGGTGCGCCTCATCCTGACGGAGCTGGTCGAGGGCATGGACATGCGCCAGCTGCGGGCGGAGTCGTTCTCGCTCGCCGAGCGCCAGACCATCATGCGACGCATTGTGACGATCGAGTCCGAGTTCTACGCCTGTGACCTCCGGCATTGCGATATATATCCGCGGAATGTGATCATCGCCCGGCCGGATTCCCGATATAAAAAGGCCGGGAAGGACAAGGCTGCTGGCCCGCTGCGCATCACGGTGATTGACTTCGGGCTCGCGCGCGTCGGCCGCTCGTGGTTTGATGTGAATTCGGGCAACTGTCTGAGCTCCGATCTGCTCCCGGGGACATATATTAGCCCCATCGTGCGCTGGTGGCAGAAGGATGCCGAGATGGAGTCGTGGGGTGACTGGGTCACTTGGGATTGGAACAAGTGGTTGGCGGACACCTTCAGCGCGGATCTTCCGCACATCACCCGTTGCATGCTCAAGTGGGTGCATCCGCTGAAAAGGAAGGATCCGTTCTTCAAGCAGTTTGAGAAACGTGGCTCGTGTGACGCGTGCTGATACTGGTCTTGGTAGTGTGGCTGATTGCTAGGTTTCAGTAGGTATTGGATTCGTAGCCGTTGGTTTCCATTTGACAAGGCAAATAATTATGAATATTATCGGAGAACATTATCGGAGAAGAAGAGTAGCACGTAAGGAATATTGTATGCAGGGCCTACAGGTGGCAATACGAGAGCCCTAAAGCCTATGTATCATCCTTTAGGGTAATTTGGACGGTCCTCATTAAGTTCAGTAGGTGATCAGCCATAGTGATTGGGCCGGGGTTATAAGCCCAAGACACGAAGGTATAAGCAAAGTAATATGAGATGCAGTATTGGCAAGCTATGCAAATCCTCGTAGTCCGTGTCAAACAAGCACTCAAATAGCCGACCCAGATTGTGCTTGTTATGGACTATGCGAAAGGGAGCACTTACTCGGAGAAATGCTTGAAGAGCCACTCACCTGGTGAAAGTGCTTGCACTATCAGGTCTCCTTGGCCTATTCCCATCCAAGGTCTCACTAAAATCCCCATTGACCCAATTATGCACTATTTCCAATATGGTTTGACTAGAAGTCCATCTATCGTCATTTGGCTCTCGACCTTGATCTTTTGCCTCGGATACCGTACTTAGGAACCATCGGATGTCTTATCATCGATGTGGTATTCTTTACATTAGCTCATTCTACGATAGGCTGCCCGTGCCACATTGCAATAGCCCTGATACATTCATTTCAAATCAATCCTACCTTTATGAACCTAACGGAGAGCCCGCTGCAATAACCCCCAATTCTCCAGCAGTATGTCTATCACCTCTTCAAGCAGGTAGAAGCATCCTGCCGGGCTTCTACCCCCCTTTCCCCTTGAAGTATCAATCCAGTTATTTGTCGGACAAGGCGCACTCAGTCATGGATATGAAGTACCCCAGGCACTGATATCCCTAATGGTTCTAGTATCTCACGCTTCGAGATTGGGCGATGTGCCTAAACCTTCATGAATATAATTTCTCTCTCGTGATCCAAAGCAGGGTCATGCCCTAGCCAACAAGTATATATCTCTGTCTATGTACATCCAAAGCCCTCCCCAAAATATTCACAAGCAAAACCGACTTATTTCCGACAAACCACCTCCGCACTCGGAATCGCAATCCATGCATCCTGATCCTCGCCCCACTCCCTCCACACGCCAGAAATGCCCTCCAGCTCCTCCGCCGACGCAAACCCATTCTCGACCGCCCCCTTCGCAAACGCCGACTTAACCGCCCGCTCCTTCCACGTCCCACTCCACCAGCTCACCTCCTCGGGCGTCGCAAAGCACCAAGCACTCACCTTACACTCCACCGCCCCAGCATCGAACCCCGCCCTCCGCGCCCAAACATGCACAAACCGCCCCGCATTCGGCTCACCCCCATTCTTCCGGGCCACAGAGTCATACAACTCCTGCCACCTCCGCAACCCCGGCAGCTCGGGGTACCACATGAACGCCGAGTAATCGGCTTCCCGAGCGGCAACAATGCCCCCCGGTTTACACACGCGCCGCATCTCGGCCAGCACGGCGACGGGGTCAGCGACGTGCTGCAGGACCTGATGGCAGAAGACGACGTCGAAGGTGTCGTCCGCGTAGGACAGGGCGTTGGCGTCCCCCTCGACGAAGTCGATGTTGGTGAGGTTGCGGGATGCGGCGAGCGCGCGGGCGTCCGGGAGGATGGCGCCGGCCATCTCGAGGCCTGTGACGTGGCCCTGCGGGACGTGGGCGGCTAGGTCCACGGTGATGGTGCCGGGGCCGCAGCCGATGTCTAGGATCTTGTGGTGTGGTTGGAGGTGGGGAAGCAGGAATTGGGCGCTGTTTTGGGCGGTGCGTTGGCCGTGGCTGCGGAGGACGCTCGCGTGGTGGCCGTGCGTGTAGGTGGCTTTTTCGGTCATTTTGGTTTCAAATTGGTTGAGGTATGTGGCTTAGAATGAAGAGAGGAAATAGGATTGTTTGTGAACAGAGAGAGCTGCTTTGTGTGTGGGTTTATGTTGGTGTGATGGGGGTATGAACGGTGGGTTTATATAGTGCTTCTGTTGCGGTTATTCGAGGGCCGATATCGGCGGGCTGCATACGCAGATGCATGATGTATGGGGACGGTGGTATATGCGGCGGTTGTGCATGATGACTCAGATATGCTAAGTCAATGGGTAAGCGGACCGGCCATGTAGGCCGGCCGGCCACCTGGTTGGTTATAAGGGTGACTTTGATGTCAAAAATATTCATAGATATAGGTGAAAAAGCTATGAAATTTATTTAGAATTTCTTATATCTATCAAGGCCATTCAGGATTTGTATTCATTATATTCGAAAGCTTCTAGAACTATTATTCGCTCATAGTAATAGTTATGTATAGTGTGAGATAGATACATCCTCCTAATAGGTATACAGAAGCTTTTGTAAGGTTCGAAGAACTAATTCTTGGGTAAAAGGAAGAACATATAGTAATTGTGATTATATACAAGTTTTCGTAGCGTCCAGACTCCTCTAGTGGAGTTGTTGCTGCTCGAAAAGTAGCTATTCTGTAGGGGATGCACAGGTGGCCGGCTGGCTTACATGGCCAGTTCATTTACCGGTTGTGTTAGCAGTCCGTGCTGCTGCATAAATCAATACATTCTCATTGGGTGGTTCGGTTAAGTATGACTTATCAGTGTTGCCTGAGGCACTAGCTACTAGTCGCCCCCATTGATGCCTCAGGCAGCCGAGCTATATACACCATCCAAGATAAAGAACAGTGTTGTATTAGATATACGTCTTTACCTAGACAATTAATAAGAGCTCCTTGATGAAGCCACATATTACTGTATAATTTCAAGGTTCTGTACTGCGTACTGTATGTTCAACTGCCAGCGCCACAAACTCCACCCCAATATCATGCAGTGAACGGCAAATCGAAACAAGGCCCCGGCTTCTGCCTGCGAGTAGCCGACCTCTCCACCTGCGATAATTCTCGGGCCAGCTGATCCATCCGCTCTTCCTCTTGCTCTCGCTGCAGCTGCTGTTTGCCTGGGACTGTCCCTGTAGCGGTAACAGCAGCATCCGCAACCTGCCCCGTCCCCGCCGAGCCCTCCTCACTCCTCTCCCCCTTCTCCTCCTTCTCCTCCTTCATCTTCATCGCCGCCCCAACAGCAGCAGCGACCTTCTCCTGCCAACCCCTCTCCTCCCTCTCCTTCGCGAGGACTGCATAATGTGCCCTCCGATACACCCCCACCGTACTCCCCAGCAAGCCCAACACCTCAAACCCAAAAAGGGTAGGAAGTGCATACCCCAACTGGGGATTACAACCCGCGGACCACACATCAACGAGCACCTGAAACGCCGCATGCGCCGGCAACGCATACCCCCACCGATAAAAGGCCGGCGCCAGCTCAAACGGCAGCAGAATCGAGGTCACATTCGCCACGATCCACGAGATGAACGCCATCGGCACGAAGGGCGCGGGGATCCAGATCGTGAAGAGGTCCAGCACCAGGAAATTCAGGTGCGCGAAGAGCCACAGTGCCAGCCAGGTGAGTACGAACTGGCCCCCGGAGACGGACCATCCGTACCGGAAGGCCCAGACTGCGCCGGTTGTGGAGAGTGCGCCCAGCATCGTGTAAGTTCCTGCAAGCAGTTGGCGGATGATTGCTATTCGGTGCGGGGCGACGGCTGTGTACAGGTGGAATTGTTGGTAGACGCTGTTGATGTATCCTAGGTAGAAGAATTCTTGGATCATGATGAGGATTATTACCAATGTGTTGTAGATCAGGCGCGAGCCTTGGGTGGTGGGTTGGAGGTTTGTGGAGGTTAGGGTCCAGGGTTGGGAGAGGATGCTGAGGGCGGTGGTGAGGTTGGTGGTGTTGTCGAGGGTATCTGGGGGGATGGTGCTGGTGTAGGCGCTGCGCGCGGCGTTGGAGAGGGTTTGCATGCTGGTGTAGATAGCCGAGTCCACCACGGTGGAGTAGCGCGCTTCGTTCCACACGAGGGTGAGCACCTCGTCGGGGGAGTGCCGTGCGCCGCTGGCGAGAGCGGCGGCCAGCTCGTTCGATGCGTTCGGGGCAATGTACAACCCGCCCCAGTAGTCGATGTGGCAGACGGCGGCGGTGATGGCGTCCGACTGGGGATACTGCGCCGTCGAGTGCTCGGTTAGGGTTGGGAACCCCGGGCCCTGCAGCTGCTGGTACGCGGCGCGGACAGCCTCCCCGATGGCGCCGCCATCGTAGTCCACGAACACCACGTTCAGATTGTGCACATGCGTCGTCTGCTGGAAGAGCGAGCCGAACAGATAACAGAATAGCCCCAGGAACAGCAACTGCAGCACCAGAAGGTTGATCCCCGCCGCTTTGAGCACCGCCAAGCGCAGCGATCGCACCGCCGGGTCGTGGATGCTCAGGTGCTTTTGCCGTCGGGCGCGCGCGTAGAAGGTCATCACGTCGGTCGGGTCGCTAGCCAAGCTGTAATTTGCAGGAACCTGAATTGCCGTTGGAAGTTCGCTCTGGGTGGTTTAGCAGTTCCTAATAACCTACTGCACCGAGGAAATGGTGGGGCGGAGGTCGGGCTCCTCCTCGTCACTCGGTGCTTATATGAATACGAGCGCGCCACCAACCAGCGTTTCGCTTAAAGAAGCGGTCTTGCAATCCCGGCATTCTGTTCCAGTCTAATTGTCCCGTCATATTGGAACTCCCTCCAGCTCCACAAACCAGTTACCCTTTCGGGATGGCTGTAGTCACGTGGAGGTAGTTGCTTGCATCTTAGGGCTATGCCCAATGCGGCCATCTGAACTGCGCATAGTGGAGTGAACACGAGCTTTTACTAACCTTTACAGAAGCAATTCTAAAGCCCCTTTTGTACTGTACATGCGCAGCGATTGCTTGTTGGAGATTTTTCACCATGGTAATAATTAGAAAAGTGTGACTGACGGCCGGCTTACCGAGCAGCCTCGCGGTTTCGAAGGTGTGCCAAGAGCCTCAACTCTGGCATCCACGTCCTGGTAGCGGAGTATGTATCTTGAACAAATGCACTTACTTCCCCACCACGATAGCGCTCACCACCTTTAATACATGTCCTACAGTTGCTTGAAGCGACACAGTTGAAGCAGAACTAGCGAGTCTCAACGGTTTCCAATTCCAAGCCGACCTTCCTTAACAGCTCCATCCTCACTAACACCATTACCATTACCCACACATCCAGAAACGAAGCAAACAACCCCAACCCTAACTCACCTCATGCCCAACAACCGCATACCCATCCTTCATCCGCATCCCCACACCCTCACCCTCATTCCCCCCGGCCATCTGCCCCGGCACCCCCTTCCCCAGCTCCAACCCCACCGAACTCGGCACCATCCCCTCCGGATCATCCCCCCTCCACGCCCCCAACCCCATATACGCCGCGCGATGCAGATTCAGCGTCTCTTCCACCGCCCACTGCTCCCGCATATACCTCCACCGTCCGTTCCCGCGCAGCCAGCCCACCACAGAGTCCACACTCAGCCCAACGAGGATAATCAGCCCGCACACCCCGACCGTCAGCGCAAGTCCCAGGACCGAGAAGTTGGCGTACCCCGCGGCGTTGTGCACGAGCTGGTTGGTGCACTGCACGCGCGCGTAGCTGCTCAGCGGCGCCGTCACATTCCACCCGACGGACGACTGGTCGAGCAGCGAGGTCGCCGGAAAGTTCTTGGGCGCGGTGGCCCACTCCACCGCCCAGGCTTGTTCCTTGGCCAGCGAGGTGGCGAACCAGGTTGTTACTTCGGTTTGCCATTGGGTGGGCGGGATATAGAATTGAATGTTGCTGTAGGCGATTGATGAGGCTGCGTTCTTGGTTAATTGGATTGGGGTTTGAGGTGGGGGGGGGAGGGGGGAAGAGTGTGGAGAAGAGAATTGTGCTGGGGTGGATAGGCTACGCACCATTTAACGCTGCGCCGCCACGGCCGTTTACGTTGGAGTACATGCTCCGGTCGTTGTTGCCCGACACAAATCGGCCGATCGTCGCGATCTGGTACACGTTGAATCCGAGGAATTTGGTCGGGTCGATGGTGAAGGTGGACAGCGAGGTGCTCAGGATCCCGCCGAGCTTGGTGCACCCGTCTGGCCCGGGTCGGTTGGGGTTGCAGATCTGGTACTGGTCGGTGCATACTAATAAATTCACCTCGTAGCTCTTGGTCCACATCGACGAGGTGACGTTTGTCCCCTCGATGCTGTAGTTCTGCTGCTCGAGAGCGGTCATCCACGGGTCGTAGCTGGGTTGCAGGTAGTTGATATTGTTCTGGTTGAGCATCATCATGGTGATGTCCGCATCGGTTTGGTTGATCGCTTCGGTCGGCTTCCATGACTCGAGGCCGTTCAGGAGTCCGCTGGGGTCGGATTTGGCGAAGACGGCGCTGCGTCGGTCAGCGTGCGGTTCGTTTGAAATCTAACTTGTGATACCAATACTCACCTCAGTGTGTAGCCGACCCCATCCACGCTTGGGATCGGGGTGTACGAGAATGTGTAGTTCAGGTACGGTTCACCCATATAATACTGATATCCGGCATTGATGTAAACAATCTGGCCCCAGGTTGAGTCGTTCTGCACGCTGCCGAGCCCGGACCCGTGCTTGACCGGGGCACAGGTGGTGACCCGTCGGTATTTGATTCGGTTGTGCGGGGGTGCGTTGATCCCAAAGTCCCCGTGCGAATCGAGTAAGCCGGTGTCCATCTGCAGAGCCGCGTTGCCACCGTCCGCGCAGAGATTGGGATCGTACGGACAGGAAGCATTCGGGTTGGTGGTAAACGGCAGACTGGGTCGGATGTAAGTGCTGCAATCGAGCTCGTTCGCGTCCTCTTGGTAGCAACGGCGGACGTATGTAGCAGCGTCGTAGGTATCTTGCAGACTCTTGGTGTTGCTGACGGTCACATCCGTGGCGTTGAACGAGTAGCCCCCACAGCCTGGACCGATGATGAGCGTCGACTTGCCGGCCGCCTTGGTGATGTAACTGGTGAACAGACCAGATACACCGAACAGGATAAGAACGAGGATGGGCAGGAGTGCCAATGGTAGCGATCGCCCGACAGCTCTGAACTTTGACGCTGTTCGCCCGGTCTCAAAGGGAAGAGTGAGCAGAGCCCAGGCCGCGGCAGCTGCCCCTTTGTTGCGCAGGATGACCTGTCGCTGGTAGTGGAGTGCATCCCGCCGTCGATCAGGGGCTGTAGTCCCAGTTTGATGGAGTGTAAAGCTCAGAATACTCCAGAACAGACTGCCTGCGAGGGAAACAAGTATAGCCAGAAACGCGCTCAGAATGCCGGAGTTGGTCTGCGACAAAGTCAAGGTGGCTCCCCGGATCGCTCCCTCGGACCAGTTGATCCAGACTCCCGTGTAGGTGTAGAGCGCCGCAGACATGGCCTTTATTTTCCGCAAATCGCGTGCGAGGACTCAAAAACCAGAGACAGCAGATCCTTCGGTAGTGATGCTAGCTGGGGTCAAAGTTCAGACTTTGGGTTATAAATGTTCAGCTGCAGGGACGTGGACCTGCTCAAAGAGCCTCCTCTCTTCTACGTTCCGACGCCATCAGGCAGCGGGGGTGGAATTTATGGCATTCTGGGTGGCTTCACATGCTTGGAAGAGAAGGCTTGAGCAGACACCTATTTTGACTTTGACCGGGGTTTGACTTAAATCCAATCGCTTGCAGATGCATATTTCGCTAGAACGCTACATTTTCATAGTAGCGCGTGTAGATGGCTGATGCCACCAAAGGGGAAATGCTGATCGATGTGTTGGAAGTCGGAAGGCATTGGCCACAGGTCGGGACTGCAGGGTCTTTGCTCGTGTTCGTGCATGATACGAGGCTGACGCCTTCAATAGTGATTCGCTGGGCGCCCGGGCTCGCTCATGCGATACCCCGGACCCAACCAGGGGTAAAGCGCTCTGTCACCACACCACAGTGAAGTTCGAGCATGATTGTCGTGTGCGGTCGCTGTCCTTCTCTGGAAGTGAATGGGCCGAGTCCTGGAAGCCCAAGCGCACTAAGGCAGCTACAAGTCAGACTTGTACCATATATTTATATCATGGCCGGCATGCCCCACGTCTCCCACGTTCCACCGCGTTCAGTACCTGTCCCACGACGCGGTTGCGGCCGAGCTTCTGGGCTGTAATTCCGGCCCAGAAACAGCAATGATGTGTTCCATGCGAAAGGACGATGTTTCTCCGTCCCTAAGAACAGCCTCCCACGAACTCAAGATCTAGAGTCAGAGCCTTATCGTGAATCCGGTCCCGAAGCCCCACTCCCCACATCGAGTCTAGATGCTTGAAAGTCCGTGAAGTATTCCCAAGAGTGCGCTTTCGATCAGTCAGTTGATCTTGGTGGCTTGTTGATCCTTCTCGAGGTACTGCAATACGAGATGTGGCGTTGCAGGCATCCCATCAGGCTATTTCTGACCAGCAGCGCATAACGTATTGGAATCTACAGACTATCAACGGTGGTTTAATTGGAGGGGGTGTGGGGTGCGGTATAGTAAGTTCAGGCTCCGACCGTACAGAAAAGAAAAGCAGTCGACAGTGTCGCTCGCTGCATATAGATTGTCGAGGTTGTATTCCGCGCACAGCAACCTCAAGAGTTCAATAATCGATGGTGAAGTTGATCAACTTTTTGGTGAGGCTAACAGAGTATGTGTGCATGCATGAACTGCAACATGTCTCACATCACGCTTGTGGGCAGCTGAATGCGACCGTGAGTAGGGTATGTCCAGAAGCCCCGGTTCGCGGGTTGGACGCACAGGCCAGTCTGTCTATCTTCGAATAACTCGGGTGATGTGCTCCAAGTACCTTAAATACCGCGAACCACCAGGCTGAACTGGAGACCGCCCTATTTGCGAGGAGTGAATGATGGGTGGTTGATGTAGAGGTGGAACCTGAAGGTGGCCTGACAGCCTGGGTGCCTGAATCCTGGATGCCTGAATCCTGGGTGCCTTGATGCCTGAGATATATACGATCCAAGGCGGTCAACTTCCTGGTCCTCAGCTGAAGAGGGCGGAACTTCCGCTTTCCACAACCCGTCATCGTCAACATCTGCTCCTGCCCGGGCTTGCAAAGTCGATTACCCTACTTTGCTAACCAGCCATTATCTGCTCAAATGAGAACAGGCTACTCCGACTGTGCCTCGGCTATCTTTGCGTGTTACCTTCCCCGGGAGCAACGTCTTGTCCTTCAAGCCTGACTAATGACGGGATGCCCCTGTCGAACAAGAATCATACTTGTCAGCGCCATGCTCGTGCTCGACCATGAGCAACACGGAGAGTCATTGCAGCATTATTCTCACCAGGCATGCAGTAGCTTGGCCAGCGTTAGTCAACCTGGCTATGATCGGTGACAAGCCCGGGATCTCTGCACGAATTATTCCGAGCTCAACACTGGGAGAGCATGCCGCAAACGGATGGCTTCGAGACATGGTTGTCCAAGGGACTGCGCATAGTGATGATCGGATAATCATTGGCCATGGAACCGAAGATCCCTGAATAATCAGGTACATGAGTGCCTGGTAGCCCAGCGCCAACAGTCAATGCGGCATCGGATCGTCCAGGCAGAAGCTAAGCCATTAGCTTGACACTAATGCGTGTCGTCTCATTCGATCTGCTGTCCAGAGCCTCATCCCTCACTGTCGACACCGCCTTCCCCCTCGTTGAGATCGCACCTTTCAGTTCGACATGTTTCTGCCACAGAATCACCCGCAAGGTAACGAGCATACTCTCACGGCATGCTCTCACAGCCTGCACAAAAGCGCCGCTCCGGTGGCAAGCGATCGAAGACGGGCTGTCGCACATGCAGAATCCGACGAATTAAATGTGATGAGACGCCCGAGAAGTGTCGTAATTGTTCGTCCACCGGACGGCTCTGCGACGGGTACGAAGTCTATCGCCTTCCCGTGGCAGCCAAGCGCGGGAGGGACCTTTTCTTCTCGCTTTCTACCCCAGTCAACACTCATGTTCGCTGGGCTGTAACATCAGACCAACGTCGCTGCTTCAAGTTCTTTTGCGACCGCACCATCACCGATGCTCTCGGGTATTATGACTCCCAACTATGGGAGCAGTTCATGTTCCAGATGGCAAATCTCGAGCCTGCCGTGTGCCACGCCGCCATCGCCTTGGGAGCGGCTCACCAAGAAGTGGTCTTGCAGGGCATCAATTCCCCCGGCGATGGTGCAAAGCGAAGAGGCGTTTGGTATTTCTATGCCCTCGAGGAGTCCGCTCGCGCTTTTGAGCTCCTCCGTCGGCGCAATCCTCAGGACCCGCAGATGCGGCAAGTCACCCTTCTCTGCTGTCTGCTCTTCGTGTACTTGAGCCTGTTGCAACGAGACTATGACACTGCGTTCCGACATCTGCAAGCTGGCTTGCGGGTATTCCAAGAGTCTGGGTCAGGCCGTGGCAGTTCCCTCAATGGTTCTACACTCGGCGGTGCCGGAATGAATCTCCCTCTCGTCGCGGCCTTCGCGCAGCTCGAAATCCAGTCGACGCATTTCAATCCTCGTGGGTGTTCACAACTCGGTGCCAACTCGGCCCCACGCAAGCACATCTTCCTCAGCCGCGACCGCGACCGTGACCTGCTCGGACAAAGCGTCGACGACCTACGCCTGGCCCTCCAGCCCCTCGATAGTGCCATTTACCAATTCTTCCACCGGTGGGGCACTGCATCTGCGGAGGCGATAGTGGCTCAGGACTCTGACTTCCAGGCCACCCAAACCAACCTGCTCTCAGAGGTCTACCACGCCACACACTTCCTTGACGACTTTTGCGCCCTCAAATATGCCACCCTCTCTTCAAAACACAAGCGCGGCGTCGACCTGCTGCGACTGCACCTGATGACATACTCCGTGGGGCTACGGATGTCGATGGTAGCGCACCTCCAGCCGGCCCAGGCCCAGTTATTCACGGCCGACCACGTGGCCATTCTGTCGTTGGCCCGCACGATCATCGCCCAGTTCCCCGACCGGCCCACGGTCATGGTTGACTCGGGCGTGATCCTGCCGCTGCGGGTGGTCGCCGACTCCTGTCCGGACCTGCACGTGCGCTGGCAGGCCATCCAGGAGCTCCGGGCCTGGCCGCACTACGAGGGCGTACGCGACACCGTCCTCGCAAGCACCACTTCCGCCGCCCGCTGGCGGCTCGAAATGCGGGCGCGCATCAGCGCGGAGTTGTGTAGCGGGTTCGGTGATGAGGGCACTGGGGTGGGGAAGGAATCTTTGGAGAGGATGGTCGACGAAGAGCTGCGCGAGCGAATGACGGTGCTCACTGTTCGAGATGGCGATGATGAAGGCCTCCGCCAGGCAAGCAATCAAGCGGACGCGGAGCTTGCCCAGATCCTGGCGTCGGCGCCCCTCGGTGAATGGTCGTGCGCTCATCAGTTGCGGCGACCTATAGAATGATATATTGTTAACACTGTCGCAACCTGGTAAGATTATACCAGGGCTTTTCGAGATTGACAAGACTGTTGATCGACCAGGGAAGGCTGTCAAGTCACGTGGCCCCTCCACGCCGTAATGCCTTCCACATAGACTCTTTCTCTCTCACGCAGCCTGAAAACAATAGTAGAAACCATCTCAAGCATACAATCCACACATGCGGTTCCCGGGCGCATATCTCATGTTATGCATTGTAAGATCTGAGTGGGGGTGTCCCAGTCAGTCTCCGAGTGTTTCCCGGGTACCGATGCGCGCAAGGGCACTCGATAGGGTGGGTGATGGAGCCAGGAGCCTCAAGGTGTAGGTCAAGACTTAGGTCAAGACAGGCTCAGATTGATGATTGATGGAGTCTTTCCAGGGCCGTCAGACCCATGAAAAGACCACCTTTCCGTCCCACCACGTGTATGGCATGTTTGAAAGACGACTAAAATGCCGCGCTTTGATTTACCGGGGCGGAGGTATTTCTAGGCAATATAAGCACAACGCCGGCATTTCTGATAAGAAGAGTTCTTCTGAATGAGTCCAGATAGTGGCCGCGTGCAATCATTCCCTAAACTCGTATGTTGACCCGGACAATCCAGCGGGGACTTGAAGAGACCATCTGCGGTCGCCATGTCCACCGCATCGGACCCCCATTCTTGGCGCTCGGCACTTTTGCACCCCATTCGAGACGGGAGGGGGGGCAAATGTCTCTGACCATGACTAGCAGGCCGTCCTTGGTTTAGGGGAACAGACGCAGCAGACAACCGAGTCCATCGCGATGGTGAAACAAACACCAGGAGAGAATACGAGCCGGTCGGACATGGTCCGAACGGACAAACCCGGTGGCAGCACCGGCTAGCCCTACTTTGGACGGGAGGCAGTGGGCAGGATCTCCTGTGCTCAACGCAGCAATGCCCTGGCAGCGTCGGAGATTACCACGCGTATTGAGTTGTGAGAGGCTTGCACTGGACGGGGAATATCGCACAAATCATGTTCATCAATACCACAGCCTGATAAGCACTTTAAGAGTCTTGGCATGCAAACTTGGCCGCCATTAGTAAGCACCGTCACCATCCTCGCCGGCCTTGTGCTGAAGCTTATATTTAGCATTCTCGATCTTCACGACAAGCTTTGGCAATCTATCGCAGAACGAGCGCGAGGAACTAGATCAGACTATCTCAATGGGACAGGTACGTAAGGCGTTTGTGAATAATTGCGCCTACAACGGGCCTGCAAAATCCAACTGTTGTGTGAAACGCAGTGGAGCAGGGCAGTGGGGAGGGTGCGTGGGTAGTGGGTACACCCAAAACGTTCAACGGAATCACGATTGGGATCGTGTCCCACTTCCCAAAGCATGATTCATGACATGTAGTCTAAGTAAAATTAAGTATTCACCTCTAGCCTGGCCTAAGACCAGGCTAAAGGGGAGGGGACGGGGACGGGGGCAAGGCCTGCAGGACTGACAGACACCCTGCAAGAGTGACACCACGGATGAAAAATTCCACGTGTCGACGACTGACTGCCATCTCCACCCCTGGCAAACTGAAACGATGCTCGGGCCTTGCACTCCTGCAACCGTTGCACACTACCAGGAGAAGTCCAGACTCATATATACGGATTCGCCGTCTCATAATCCCCCCCCCCCGTCTCCGGTCCTCCCTCCGGTTTGCCCTCCGGTTCTCTCCCTCCCGCTTTCTTTTCCCCCTGCAGGTTCGCCCTCGGAATCCTTTCTCGCTCGCAAATGTAATCCTCCTTCTTCATTCCTTCTTGGAAACTTCCTTTCTCTTTCTCTCCTCCGCCCGGTCTCTCTTTTTGCATCTTTTCCCGCGGTTAGCTGGTCTTTCCGCCCTCCATGGATGAGATCTGGGAGAGGGATCTCTCGCCGGAGCGGATAGCCTACCTGGCGCAGTCGCGAATTCCGGGCATTATCGCCTGCAACACGATTCTCCTCGTGTTTGCGACGGCCGGGCTGCTGGTACGGCTGTTTGTTCGCGTCCGATATCTCACGGGGATTAATGTGGATGATGTGCTATGTATAGCCAGCTGGGTATGTGACCTTTTCCTGTCTGTCTGCTACGCATCGCGATCTCGGGTCGTCGATCACTAACATCCACCTACTCGATCGTCCAGATCTTCACGTTCGCTCTATGCTTTACCACAATGTGGAGTAAGTATTCCCCCGAGCCACAGGGCAAACAGCGCGATCGCATGCTAACCCTTGCCCGCGCGCAGTGACCCGATACGGCTTCGGCAAGCACATCGGCACGGTGACGCGCTTCAGCGATCGATCCATGTTCCTCAAGGTAACCCTCTCACTTCGAATCTCCTCAGACGCAAGCAACCGTACCTAACACCGGCCCCGTGGGGCCACGCCAGCTCGACTTCGTCACGATGCTCACCTACGTCCTCGCTTTGGGCGCCATCAAGATCTCCTTCTGCGTGCTGTACCTGCAGATCTTCCCCGGGCGGAAGTTCCGGATTGCATGCTGGTGCCTGCTGGCGATCCTGATCGGCGAGACCGTCGCCGAGACGTTTGTGGTCATCTTCCAGTGCATCCCCGTGCACAAGGCGTGGGACGCGACGGGCTTAGTGGAAGGCTACTGCGTCAACATGACGGCGCTGTACTACTCCAACTTCGCAATCAAGCTGGCGACCGACCTGGCGATCTTTATCATGCCGATACCGAAGCTGTGGCAGCTGAGAATGACGCGCGGGAAGCGGATGGGATTGGTGGTGATGTTTAGTTTGGGGTTGTTGTACGTGCTCCACCCTTTGCCTCTGGATGTCGCTGCAAGTAATTGACAAACAATGATGGACAGGGTCTGTGTCACCAGTATCATCCGCGTCTCGTACATGAACTCCTTCGCCGTCGACCACACCTGTACTTCTCCCCACCCCCCCTCTCGCCTCCGACTGTTCTATACTGACAAGAGAAGGGTCAATGGTCAACACGGAACTCTGGTCCTGCGTCGAAGTCGCCGTCGCCCTCTTCATCGCCTGCATCCCCAGCTTCAAGACCCTCATCAGCCACCGCTTCCCCGTGCTGCAGCGCCTGCTCGGCCTTTCCAGCGAGGGCGACTCCGCCGGCCCCTCCAAGATGTACGGCACCGCCTCGCGCCGCACCTTCCCGGGCCACGGGCCCTCGATGAGCATCAAGCTCAACCCCGTCGCTGGGGCGGGCCACAGCGCCAGCAGCAGCCGCGCCGAGGCGGACTCCGGCAACGAGTCGCAGGAGCGCTTCATGTTCCCCGAGGGGATACACGTGGTGACGAAAGTTAGTGTCAATGAGACGGTTTGATTTTTTTTCACTTGGCACGCAATGTCGTAGCAGGGCCGTAGAGGATGAGCTGTTCGACTATAGTAGATGGAATAACTCTGGGCTCAGGATTTAGCCAGTTGGCTGTAGGTGGCCGTTCCCGTATCGAGGTTCCTGTCCAAGCTACGGAGCACGGCGGAGTTAATTAGATAGGGCTTCAAGCCGGACGGTGGGTGCTGCGGAGTGGGTCCGTCCGCCAAGACCGATTCGAAATTGATTTTCACTCGTAGTACTAGACTAGAATCCCCCTTTGCGGGCCTGCGGCCAAGGATTTGATGACACTCTCGCAACCCGTGGATCCCTCCGGGGCCCGGACAAGATACTCTAATCAGGTTAACATCCGCGCTAGTGGCCTTGCGACCACGTCTGGAACGTTGGGTGGGTTTTGGTGGATGGATGGGCTGATGGTTTTTTGTGATTCTGCTCTGTGTCGAGGTACGCTGTTTCTCTGGGCTCGTACGAGAGTGCTTGTTTCTCTTGGATTCTGTAGCTGGATGTTGTTGAATGTTTCTGTGTGGGTAGAAGCGGAGGAACATACTTTATTCCAGTTTATCTGACTACCATCCACTATATCTTTGGGGGCGAAGGATGTAGGCCCTTGACTTATTATTCAGAACTGTTCATTGCCACTACTGCACGTCTTTAGACCTCTGCGCAAGTCACCGGGTGGCAAGCGGGGCGGAACTGCTCGACAGTGAGGGACCTACTGTGTAGGTAGTAATCTATGTCAATCACGCTAGTGCCGCACCAGGGGAAAGTCTAATTGGGCGTGCGGCCCGTCTTGGCAGCGATCGGCAGTGCCTGGCTGCCTGCCTGCACGGCTGGTCTGAATTGCATGTCGATACTAGGTTGGTAGCCTTGATCATGCGGAACTGGAATAGTACGTGGCTCTGGTCCGTACACTATATACATGATTGCTACTTGTTCTTCGCATTCAGACGGTCTTTTGCTAGGCGAGCATCTGCTATCAGGACCTCAAAAGCAGTGGTTCTCTTGTCTGTTACGTACAATATATATTGCGCAAGCGTTGGACAGCAATCCCACAAAAAGCACCTGGGTATATCCAAGCCAAAGTTAATACCCTTCACCTTTTATTTTGACACAGTCCGAACAAGGGAGAGATCAAGTTTGAAAGAGACACAGCAAAAAGAGAGACGATAGAATTTTGCTGTACAAATGGCTAGTATGATAGATAGGTCGATCACTCAAAAAAGAAAAAAAAAAAAAAAAGAATTAAACGAGTATGTCTTATCTGTAACATTAGCGACCCTGCTACCTTAAAGGCATGGGGATGGGTCACCTCTAACGATAGAATTCCCCGAATTGCGGCAGCCTCACGCACTCGCCCACACTTGTCGCGCAAACAGGTATAACATAGCATTTGTTATAGTCATGCCTCGAGCGCCGACGGGGTCCTACCCAAGCGGTATAAGTGCTCTTATATCCTCCGTAGTGGACGCGGTGCGTTTGGCATGCCCTTCTGCGGGGGTGTTGGGTCTTGCATCAGTCACCGAGACTGGGAGAATTGGAGCAACGGCAAGGAAGGCACGGAGCAGAGCGCGGTCCCGGCCTATTTGGCCTATGAACCCTATCGGACTTTTTCCTTCTACCTGATTGCATAGACACTGTTCTGCTCTGTGGAAATGGCTAGGGTGCGAGTTACAAACGGAGCGCACAACTTGTATATCGCGCAACTCATAGGCCAGCAGGTTGGAGGCTCGGTGCGCTACAGCCGCCGAATGGAGCTACTGCATACGGCTGGCAGGGGTCCTCATCCTTGCTGTGTATGATATATCTGAGTCTATCGACGACAGGAGACGAAGTCTGAGGATGTGAAATATATCAAACCCTTTCTGGGAGGAGTTCAGTGCAAGCAGTTGGTTGTTGCATGGGGGTGGTGCTGTTGCTGCTGCTTCTGCTAGAAGCATCTTATGGCTACAGGCAGAGAATCAATGCGATAAGGTCTAATTGCGTGTGTGAGTAAGAGGCTGCGTTGAGCCGGGACATGATCTGATATTACGCAGTTCTAGACACGATGATGGACTACAGTTCCATTTACACGTGACAAGTGACAAGTGATGCCCACAGTGCGCAACCATCGAGCCTAAGGAAACCGGACTCCCCCTCACTGAACAAACACGGCTGTGTAAGTAGCATATACATAAATCATACCATTTATCAGTCATATCTAACAGCTCATGGAATTTAGAACACCCCGCGCTTCCTCCATCCATATACAGTACACCCGAAATCTACAAAATGAACAAGAAAAAAACCAAAGCCCACAGACACGCGTCCCCTTCATATCGAATTCAAGAACTGCGCCACCAGCTCATACGCCTCCTGCTTAGCCGCCGCCCCCACCGTCCCCTCCTTAGTCCGCTTATCCCACCCGTGCGGACAGTGCTCCATGCGCTTGAGCACGACATTCCGGCCAGGCAACGCCTCCACCGCCGCCGCCATGCGCTCCATCTCCGGGGCATAGGGATCCTGCGCGGCGGTGATGGCCGCCAAGTTCCGGGGAAAGCGCTCGGGGGCCGCGAACGCCGGCGAGATGCGGGGGTCTTCGGCATCCCCATCGCCCTCCGGAAAGTAGCAGCGGTGGAAGAACCGCGACAGGCCGGCGGGGATCTTGAGCCGCGTGGCATCGTCCGGGGCGGCCTTGTCGGCGAAGTCCTCGACCAGGTCGCACGAGGGGTAGAAGGCGACCGTCGCGAAGATGGCGGTCTCCGGTGGGAAGTCGCGGACCGCCGACACGGCCAGCGCCATGTTGGCGCCCGCGCTGAAGCCGGAGAGCGCCACGCGGCCCACGTCGTAGGTGCTGGGGTCGTGCTGGACGTGCCGGATCACGTCCTCGACGTCGTGGAACGCCGCCGGGAACGGGTGCTCCGGCGCCAGCCGGTACTGCACGTCCACCACCGTGTACCCCGTGTGCGTGGCGATGAATCGGCAGTACTCGTCGTCCGTGCCGTGGCCCGCCAGGACGAACCCGCTGCCGCACATGTTGATCAGCACGGGGCTGGGTGATGGCAGGGCCTCCGGGGACGGCCGGTAGATGTGCACCTTGATCGTGCGCCCCGCGTCGCGCGACGGCCATCTCGCCGTTTCGTCGGGGTGCGAGCGCGTGACCGTGCCCATCGCGGCGCGGCCGACGCCGCGTAGTAGCTTGGCGGCCCAGGTCTGTGACGTGCCTGTTAGACCCATTTTTTTGGGAAAGGTTGTGGGCTCGTGGTGGGCACTCGGGGTGTATGTCTGCGAGAACAAGGAAGCATTTTCCGAGCAGATGAGAGATGCACCGATGCAGGGGTGATGACTAATGGTTCTATGTGTTCAGTTTACTCCTACAGAGTGACTGAACGGGAATCCGGATTCCAGCAGGCGGGGTACGCTCGATGACGTCGCTTTCTCCCCGGCTCGGAGATTTCGGCTGCGGAGAGCTTATCTTATCGCGACCTTATCTTATCCGACACCACGGTACTGTTCCGGAGAGATCGTTGATGTCATACTCCTCCCCTCCCATTCTTGGGTTGTCATCAGAGTTCCAATCGGTCACTAGATGAAAATGTTTATATGTAATCTTGCTGTTGTTTTCTGCACCGGCGGTGCGTGATGTTCTTAAGGTTTGAGATGATTATATGTGCCTTGCGACCGGACTACTCTGCTAGCGACTGTGCCTAAGCAGACTGCGTAATCTGAAATGACGACAGCTGGTAGATATTTGGTCCTACTAGCTCGGACTGAACGAAACGACGGAATGTATCAAGACAAGTTCAAGGTACGGATCGACATCTGCAGTCTATAACGTTCCACAGCCGACCAGAATCGAATCCGTCACTCGAGACGATAAACAACATCCAAGAAAAGCAAATGCATTCATCCGCACACATCAAGCAATTCTCTTCCAGCTAACAGGCCCTCAAAGTCCCCTCGCACTCAACGCCGCCTTCATCGTTTTCTGGAATCCAAACACGTTCTCCGGCGAGATCATTGTATAATGCGACCCCTGCACCTCATGGAACCGCGGCTCCGACCGCGTAAAGTCTCGCCACAGACTGATGAACTCGTTGAACCACTGCTCCTTGCCCGACGCCACCTCCTTGATTGGATTACAGTAGAAGACGTCCATGCTTGCCACAGACGGCGAAGGCTCGTAGTCCACCGCCAGATGATGCAGGTTCTGTCCCACCTGGGCCCAGTTCGCCAGGGCGGCGGGGGAGAGGGCCAGCTCGGCAAATCTGTCTTGATCAATGTGACTGAGAACACGAGCCAGGATCCTGTCCTTGTCAGTGGCATCGTGGAGCTCGCTACCCAGATCCACGCGTTGGCTCTCCGACAGCAACTCCAAAAAGTTGCACAGATCCAGCAGCGCGGTCTTCCAGTCGACCTGCCGCATGCGCTCCTTGATGTGCGGCGGCAGGTTGAACGAGCCCAGGAATTTGACTGTGTCGCCGGTGCGCTCGAGAAGCTTGGCCAGCTCGAATGCCACCATCCCCCCGTACGAGTACCCGGCCAGCGCGTAGGGGCCCTGGGGCTGGTGGCGCTTGATCGCGGCGTGGTATTGCTGGACCATGTCGCTCAGCGAGGTGGCCAGGGCTTCGCCGTCATTGAACCCGGCGGCGCGCAGGGCGTATATGGGTCGGTCGGTGAAGTACTTGGCGAGGTTCATGAAGGCCATCACCTCGCCGATGCCGGGGTGGGCGAGCCAGATTGGGGTTTTGGATCCGCGGCGTTGCAGGGAGACGACGGGGTCGTATGCTGAGGTTGGTGCTGAGGATGAGGCGGAGGTGGATGCGTGAAGCACGTCGGCCAGATCCCGGACGGTGGTGTTGCGCATCAACGTGCTCAGTGGGATGCTGCCTGGTTGGATGCAGGTCAGGTCCCTCTCCACGTGGCGCTTCAGTTTGATCAGCTCAATCGATGTGATCCCCAGGTCGAGAATCGAGGTCTGCACCCCGAACTCCTCCTCCGTGGCGTGGTCGACCGAGTGGATGAAGATGGCGAGGAGTTGACGCTCCAGCTCATCTCGGGGTTCTTGGTCTGTGGTCTTGCGGAAGAGGGCGAATCGCTCCGCTCTTTCTTCGGCGGCGCTGTGGTACTCGCCCCGCTCATACGCTGCCTTGATCTGTGCGCGTGGGAGTTTGCCCAGGGAGGACTTCGCGACGCTGGTGCGACTCAGAGGCAGGACCAGAGGCCGAGAACCGGTCATCTCCAGACACGCCTGTCGAATGGCAAGGACCGTCTGTACATGTGCATTGAGATCCTCGCGCTCGTACGAGGGGAGGTATACGATGACGACTTCCTCCGTATGTCCATCCGGTGGGAGCGAGGAGAAGCAGCACGCCGAGCCGTACGTCAGCTGCGGGACCGCCTCGTACAGGCCAGCTTCGATGTCAGTCGGATTGTATTTGATGGCGTTGATGTTGAGGACATCTTTCACCCGGCCTTTGAGGAGCAGATGGCCGGGCTCAGTTTCGTCGATCATTGCCAGATCTCCCGTAACAAACCACCCGTCGCTCGTAAAGGAGGATCGTGTGGCCTCTTCGTTGCGGAAATAGCTCCGGAACACCACTGGACCGCTCACTTCCAAATGGCCTAGTGTGCCGGCTGGCAACGGGAGATTAGCCCCGCTGCCATCAGTAACTCGAGCCTGGATTCCGGTCATGCATCGCCCCAGCGACGCGATTGCGTAGCCGTGATGCTTGTCGTTCTCGGGGAATCGGGTGTTGAAGATCGCACCGGCGCATGTCTCGGTCATTCCGAAGCCGGGGACAATTACATTGCGGGGTACCCCGTAGCGAGAGAGCAGGGTTGCGACTTCTTCGCACATCTGGGTCGTGTTGGCTTCTCCGCCTGAGGTAAGGTATTGCAGAGAGCCCAGGTTCCAGCTAGGATTCTGAGGGCTTTGCTCCTCCTGCTTCTGCTGCTGCAGGGTAGCGTGCATTCGCGCGAGGAAGAAGTTAGGAGCGAACGTCCAGGCCACGCGATGTCGCTCGATAAGGCTGAGCAAGTGTCCAGGATCCATCAGGACGTCTGGTGCCTCGACAAGGACTTGACTGTGCCCTGTGAAGATGGCTTGCAGGTGGATCTCGACCAGCCCAGCAACGTGATCCAGTCCGACCCAGCTCAGGAACGTCGTGGATGGGGCGATGGGCATAATGCCGTGTTTGCCGGTCACGGCCGCAGTGATCTGCTCGTGGGTGAGGGCAACCGCTTTGCAGCTCCCTGAACTCCCGGATGTGAGCATCAGCACGGCAGTCGCGTCCGGTTGAGGATTTGGGGCAGTAACCCTAACTCTATCATCCGAGGAGTGCATGTCGTTGTCTTCCACGTGCAGCTTTTCAACACATGTAGGGACAATTGAATCTTGGCCCTGGAATGCAGGCAGTAGTCTGGTGGAAGTCAAACATGCCGGCGTGCTAAGGAGCTGAGCCAGATGTTTCAGGTGGGCCAGTCGTCGGTTGGTGTTGTCGGGGAACGGCGTCGACATCACGGGTAGATACCCGGCCAGTAGAGACGCCCAGAGCCATAGTACACGGTCCCAGTGATTATCGAAATGCAGCAGGACGATGGATCCTGGTTTGTATTGGAGAGCAGAGCCTGCCTGCCGCGCGAGATGCAGCAACTGGGTATAGGATATCTCCACCGGCTCGTTGGGAGTCCCGAGGGGGTGGATGAACAGTGCCCCGGCATCCGGCCTGGCAGCAGCAGCTTCCAGAGCTTGTTGAAGTGTCTGTGTCATGGTCGCTGAGGGATAAGACTGATACCATTAGCTAGGCTGTATTCCGAGGTCAAGCTTAGGATAGGTACCTAGTTTAGTGCTTCAATTGGTGGATGCGTTAGATTCTGAGCAGTCCTTGGACTCGAGACGGGTGGAAAAGAAAATCTGCCAGCCAAGCTTTTGCACGAACAACGGTGAAAGTGGAGCGTCACAAGAAAGTATGCCAAGTGCACATGGGTGGGATTTGAATCCTTGATATACCTTGGTACACACGCATAACATGCCGATATCCGCGACCCCATTGGAACTTCTAGATGCCAGGTATGGCCATGACGTCTGGACACCAGGGTGTCTTCCCTAAGAATTCTCGTGGTGTTACCTCTAGAAGCACCGCGAGAAGGCTTTGATCGTATTCGATCACAGATCCACAGTGTCAATAGAACAATAAGCCTCGATGTTACGACCCTTTCAGCCGCATGTGTAACCGTTCGATTGTGAGTATCCGAGTATCTCGAGTTGGATGCTGCGCAGGACTCGCTTTGGGAGGAGTCACGCGGCCGTCTGAATCGTGCGCCATTTAAGAAGTGATATAAGAGTAGCGGTCAGAGCAAGACGAGCTAGAAGCATTTAGCTCGCCTGAAAGGGGCGATAGTGATATTATTTTTTGACAGTTCTTCACAGCCTCGCCCTCCTCACCCGTCTGCTACTACTACTACCGAGGCATAATGTCCGTCTCCGACCACGATCTCATTCGCAACGCCATCGCTCACTGGCCACTAGCCCTGGACCAAGCTGATCCCCGCCTGTTGACCGAGGCGTTCGCACCGGACGCTGTGATTCATTATCCACCGCCGGTGGGCACACTCCAAGGCATTAATGGCTTGAAGAGCCTGATGGAAACACACTTCCAGGGTGTCATGACGTACCATTGCTCGGGCACGCAGGTCATTCAGTTGCAAAGTCCCGTCACTGCTACCGCCCGGACCTACGCCATCGGCATACATTTCTTCCCGGGGGAACCTGGCCGGACACCGCGGAGGATCTATGGGTACTACGATGATCGGCTGGTAAAGGGCGCAGAGGGATGGCGGATTGCGGAGCGGAGGATTGTGGAGCACCTGCCTATCGATGCCTTCTGAGGGGGACTTTGGGCGGGTTACTCGATTGCTATATGCAATGGAGAGTAAGATTTGGTGTTGTCTGGCCCATCTAGTGGTAGGGTCTTGTGCCCGGGATTTGCCGTTGTCATGTTGTGCGCTTTTAGACTCAGCGTCCTGGATTATGCTTTGAGAATGAACCTGATATTAAATCAGCCCAACATGTGTAACCTCTTCCGTAAAACTGCAGGGGGCATCCTTGCTCATAAAACTTGCCACTTAGCCTGAGGGATATGTCTATCTTGAAGCGATTGACTAGTAGACCCGGCGTGATACCAACTCATGAGCACTGACGAGACATCCTTCTGAGCGTGTTGGATAACCCTGTTAAGATTGCGAATTGATTGTCAATCGTCGGGGTGTATGTTGTCAATGATCAGCAAGCCACGTCCGGTCAATGGAGCATTCGAACAAGTCAGCAACGTCGCACGACGAAGCAACTCTCGTATAGTCTGTAAGCAACGATGCGGACAAGGCAAGGATACCCCAAATCCTGAAATCTTATCTCCCGTCAGCGACAACATGTACCTACGGATTTGCTTAACTCCGAATGTGCTATCCAGCGCTAGCAACCCGGACGTGGGCACGGCATCAAATACGGCTCGGCGATGTCCTAGGCTGATCTTCAAATATCTCCCTTTCATGTTGTTAGATAAGTATGTACAGAATTAGTCACTGATTTGACAAGTGGCCGTGATGACACCGCATTTAGAAGGCTCACTCATCTCGATCAATCTGTTATGGAGTATCTGAAATAGGGAATTGGTCTCACATTATCGGTCACACATACGACCTCCCATCATGGAACTCTCAAGATCTCGAAACTAACACTGACCTACTTGCATGCTGTGAGACTATTCGTTCTCGACGACGAGATAGGTAATCAGGCTGCGGGTCGTCATTGCACCTCCGAAGGGACTGCAACGCATCGTGTTGTGAGAATTGAGACTCCCCAATGGGGTGTCTCTCACAACACGAGGGTAAGGTGCTTGACAATAAGTGGTATAATATCATCGTCGACTGAACATTGTTCCTCGTGCTCCAAACCGTCTACCTTCCCTTAGTATGGCTGAAGAGAGATTGTAACAGCATTAAATTAGGCCGCCCATTATGCAACTAGCAGGAGTAGAGTGGAAACGTAACAGGATAGACACATTCAAATATGAAGAAGAATATTGTTCAAGGCAGCAATTGATCCTGCAAATGAACCTGCCTCCACCAACGCCAGTTCAATACTGCTTAATTAAATGCCGGGACAAGCACAGCGTAGAATAAAGAACTATGTGTGTGCATAAATCGGATTGTTAGGGGGCATAAAACCTCCAGAGGTATCAGTTTGCTAGCTCACGCCCATACTGAGCCTTCTTAAGCTATATAATCAACACTCACCCATTGCCAACCTACCTTCCCTGTGCTAGAGATCTTAGCTTCTCTGTTGAGCGGTCTTCCCATTGAGCAAAGTACCAATAAACTCCAACCCATAGCAGGACCTGTCCAACTCCAATCATGACCATGAAGACTACCCTGACCTCAATGCCCCCGGACGAAATCTTCGAGCTGAACGGCGCCTATGCTGCGGAAAACAGCCCACGCAAGGTTAATCTCAGCCTGGGAGCCTACCGCACAAACGACAACCAGCCGTGGCCTCTACCAGTGGTACGGGAAGCCGAGAGACAGCTCTTGGCAGAGACCGACCTCTCTCGGCATGAGTACACGTCTATCCAAGGTGATGTGGCCTTCCTCGAGCTGGCCAGGGACTTGCTCTTTGGCCTGAAGAACCGTTCCGTCTTTTGGGAGAAGCAAGGCGCGACCAAATCGCGTATCGCCTCCGTTCAGACCATCGCAGGTACTGGCGCGAATCACCTCGGGGCCCTATTCCTGGCAACGCATCTGAAGCCCCGAGCCGTCTGGCTCTCGGACCCGTCGTGGGACAATCACCGGAGAATCTGGGAGCTGGTTGGCGTTCCCTGCAAGAGTTATCCTTACTACTCGTCTTCCACGCACTCCGTCGACTTTGCTGGGATGATGTCCACGCTCGAATCTGAAGCGCAAGAGCAGGATGTCATTCTTCTGCAGGCCTGCGCCCACAATCCGACGGGGGTGGACCCCAGCAAAGAGCAATGGAAAGTCCTGGCAGACTTGGTAAAAGCCAAGCGTCTGTTCCCCTTCTTTGACTCCGCGTACCAGGGTCTCGTGTCTGGGTCCGCCTACAAGGACAGCTGGTCGATCCGGCACTTCCTAACCGAGAAACCCAACATCGACTTCTGCGTCGCACAAAGTCTGTCCAAGAACTTTGGTCTGTACGGGCAACGAGTCGGCGCGTTTCATTATGTTCTTGGGCAAGGAACGCGGAACCGCCTTGATGTCATCATCAGCAACCTTTGCCATCTCATCCGCAGCGAGTATTCGGTGGCTCCCACCGGTGGCAGTCGTATCATTAAGAGGATACTTTCTGATCCCGCGTTGAGTGCGCAGTGGAGAAGCAATCTGAGAACAATGAGTCAGCGTCTGACAGCCATGCGACACGCGCTGTACAGTGAGTTGATGCGGCTTGAAGCCCCAGGCTCGTGGAGGCATATCGTTGACCAGGTTGGACCCCCTATCAGCATTGATCGCGTCACACGTGTCTGACTAACCTGTTTTCCATCGTAGAACGGCATGTTCTGCTACACTGGCCTTACCCCGTCGCAGGTCGAGGTCCTCAAAACCAAATACCACATTTACTTCCTGAAGTCTGGCAGAATATCGATCTGTGGCTGTAAGTTACACTGCGTCCGAGACACTTCTCAATGCGAATACGAGCACGGCTTCCAGTCGGTAACGTTCTTGGATGTTCTAATTTTGTCGAGAGCAGTGAGCACAAAGAACGTCGTATATGTCGCTAGAGCCATCGACGAAGTCGCGAGAGATCCTGTGATAGTGTAAGTTGGTAGACCACCGCGACATGGTTCCCGGGATTGTTTCTCCCATCGTCATAATGATCCATTCACTTTACGCGAGATCCTGTTTCACGACTTCCCAGATTCGAATGAAGAACCGAGTGTGTGCAACGCTAACTGAAAAGGCTCGAGAGGAGAGGATCGTGGATCTAAAGAACGTGTTGGGAGGCAGAGGGGCACATTTATACGAGCGGTACGACGTACGTTGACTGGATGCAAAAAGCAATATGAAAACGTGGCCCGAGTCGAAAAAGATGGCATGACTCCATTCATCCGGTGGGATATTATCCGGCACAAGGGGTTTATTTTAGTTATACCGGTGCTGTCAGTTAGTGAAAGCATTTGCTTCTGTTAGATTCGTATGGCCTTGCAGACCCTGTGGTTTCTACACGTGGGGTCCCCTGAGACCCTGCATACGATGCCAAACCAATCCTGTTCTCTTTGCATTTACTTGGCGTTACTGATTTGTCTGTCTCTGTTCTTTGACTTCGTTTTCGTGGTTGTTTGCGAACATTTGTCCACGGTTTAATCACACCCTTGGTAGAATGGCTTGGCGGCAAAATATACCTCCATGAAGCCTAAGAAGCCGAGTGAATTCTCCGAGGGCTGAGCCGACTCAGCCAGCCCAATGTCTCAACTCGTTTATATGACAGCATCATTGGCTGGCATTTTCACGAGGTCAGATCGCAAGGCTCGGCATTGGAACAATGTCAGGTCAGGCAGACCAACTCCCCTCACGAAATCAAGAGAGGGAAGATAATGCTCGTCCGGCCTCGGACTCGAGTTATCTGGCTTCATGTAGATGATATAAACCGCTTCATATCTGCCACACATACTAGAGGCCCCTGCCCCGCCTCATCAAATTGATCGATACAGGGTTGATTGCATCCAGCGCCATAGCATACAATAACTTCACATCATGGCCACCGAACTACCAACAACGCAGTCTCCATACCACACCTTAAGCCAATGCCTCCTCTTCCAAAACCAAGATGAGCACGACTGGTGGCATCGAGCGGCACCCGTGCTCGCCCAGATGCTGCAGAACGCCGACTACGAGGTCCACAAACAGTACCAGTACCTGGCCTTCTTCGCTCAGCACGTCGTGCCCGCACTGGGTCCATCCCCGACCAACCCGCGCCCCAGGCAGTACCGGGGCGTTTTTAACCTCGAGTTCAGCCAGAACTTCCAGGAGTCAGGCTGCATCATTCGGCTCGCCTTTCAACCAACAAGCTACCTCGCCGGCAGCCCCGGCAGAGACCCATTCAATCAACTCGCCACCCCGGAGGTCCTCGCCCGATACGCCCAAATCGACGGCATCGATCTCGACCTCCCACTCTACCAACAACTCGTCAGCGACCTCATCCTGACGAAACAGGAAGAAGACCGCCTGTTGTCCACAGAAAGTCCATTGCCCCCAGTCTTCAAAACCCAGAGCGGCATCGCCCTGGATCTGCGCAAGGAGGGTAAGATGACCGTCAAGCTGTACACCTTTGTCGTCAGCAAGTCGATGGCGACCGACACCCCAGCGTCGACGCTGTCCCTCGACGCCGTTCGCAAAGTAGACCAGGGTGCCACCCGCCGTTTTGAAGCCGGCCTGCAGCCCATCCAGGCCTTTTTGGACGAGGGGCAAGGCACGCCGGACGCGATGATTCCCGCCTCCCCGACCTCCTTCCACCCGCGCGGCATGATTCAGTTTGGCTGCGACCTGGTGGAAATCGCGCGCACGCGTTTCAAGTTCTACATCCACGACTATATCGTGAATCCGGACCGGCTGGCCGAGCTGTGGACGCTGGGTGGCCGGCTGCGAGAGGAAGACTGTCCCGGCATCGAACGCGGGCTGGAGATTCTGCGCGAGCTGTGGTCGATCCTCGAGATCCGCGAGGGATATCATCTTCCCTTCGCCTGTGCACCGAAAGCGGGGGATCGCGGGTCGGATGGGAAGATCACGGCGACGGCCCAGCAGCCAGCAGCTGCGGAACCAAGCAGCTCCAAGCCCCGGTTCTACTACGATCAGCAGTTCATCATCGTCAATTACGAGATCCACCCTGGCAATCCCTGGCCCGTGCCCAAGGTGTATTTCCCGCTGTTTGGGATGACGGAGACTGCCGTCATCGACGCGGTGGGTGCGTTTTTTGAGAGGCTCGGGTGGGCGCAGCAGGCGCGCGTGTATCGCGAGAATATGGTTGCTTGCTTGTGAGTTGTTTCTTTCTTTCACTGGGTACCCGTATGTTTCCTATTGATGATATCCCGATACTGCTGGTGAGCGATGTGGATTATGTACTGACATCATCTTTCACGCAGCCCAACTCGCGATTTGGAGAAGACGACGGATATCCAGGTCTGGCTTTCGTTTTCCTATTCCCCAAAGAAAGGGCCGTATACTACTGTGTATTACCGGGACCTTTGAAGGCTCAGAGGGTTTGTGAGTTGGCTGTTTGAGCATTGCTTACCTCTCCTATGATATTGGATGTTGCTCTGCGGGCGGAAATGTGTCTATACTTGGTTTTATGTTTCAATAATCAAGAATGCACTTGGATTCTGATTCTATACTTCATGGCTTTCTCGACTGCCACCGATTTTGCTGGGCATTATACCTCATATTTTCTAAATGAGTAATGTAAATCGAATATCATAACCCGTTCGTTCTTGCTGCCGGCTTTCTTCAGTACTCAGAGGGGCTTGATTTTAGATCGCTGGTTTGTCATCAACAGGTCTTCAATGAACTACGCTGTTCATTTTCTAGTCAGTGGAAACTCCGCGAACATTACTGGTGAGATGTCTCCATGTAAGCCTGTTGAATATGTTGCATGATACATAGTCGACATAAATGTATGGCTTGGGATAGAGAGGCTTTACGACTGTAGGCCTGCGTAATTCTAGGTGCAAAGATACTCAGATCGCAGCAAGCTTGGCCAACTCTAGTGTTTGACATTCCGTACATCTAGTCTGCCGTGCTACCTAGAAAAATACGAAACAGTAAGCTATCTAACGTCCAGTCACACAACCTGCGTCAGCGATCGTCCCAGTCCACCACGCGTCTCATAGCCGAACCCAACAGGACCCCAAGAATACTCTAGACCACAAACTACACCCGACAGATCCCCTCAGCATCCCAGTCCTCACTCCCAACCCCCATCCGCACAATAAACAACCCGTCCGGATCCCACCTTTGCTTGATCGCGTACAACCGTTCGTAGTTGTCTCCCCAAAACGCCCGACGCGAGTTCGGCTGCTCGATGTCGACGACATTGTAGTACACCCCGAGTGACGGGACCTGCAGAGCACGAACAAACGGCAACTGGCTGTTTGTCATGGCCTTGGTCAAGGATGTTGGTGGGAGAGCACGTCGGATCGTCAGCAGGAGCTGGGCCTCGCGCCATCCAGGGAGCAAGGCGCTGTCGACGACGTCCTTGTTGGCTTTAACTTGCCCTCCGACGGACATCAGGATCTCCACCGAGTCTCCGACTATGTGTTCCAAATGGGATAGCACGTCCATGATATGGGATGTCCCATTGGGCGAGAAGAAGATGTCCTCGGAGATCAATACCGATCCTTCAACCAGTCCGTAGCCTCCCCCATTTAGCTGGCGCGGGATATTGAGCCAGGTGGACATCTCGGGGTACACTGTCAGCTCCGAGGTGTACGTCAAGGCTACGCCCTGAGCTTCGATAGCATCATGCATCGTACTGAGCTGCTTCTCTATCGGAGCTGTATCCGTGGTGTTAACGAAGAGAACGTGTGCCTCCAGCCCCGCGCGATCTTGCAGGAACCGCGGCACGATGATGGCGCTGGTCTTGTTATCCATGCGTTTCAGCGCGGGGAGCAGGTTGGTGAGCTCAGTGGCGATGGCCCAGATGGCTTGATCCCCACCGCCATTGGTTCCATTCTGCTGCCGGGGAAGATCCGCCGTCAGCTGGAAATGCACGGCTGGGACGTCAGGATACGTGCGGATCGTGGTGCGGACGACCACGCCGAACGTGCCTCCGCCTCCTCCGCGCAAGGCCCAGAAGAGGTCCTCGTTCTGGTATTCGTTCGCGATGACTAGGTCACCCTAGCATGAGGGAACTTCGTTAGCGCTCATCACACGGCACCAGGAGGCCAGGTATAAGGGATGGGGGGAGGCACCTCAGCAGTAACAACCTCAAATTCCAACGCATTATCCGAAGCAATTCCATACGCCGGGCCCAGGAAGCCCAGACCACCGCCTTGCACAAACCCACCCGTCGCAGCGACAGAGCTACAAGTGCCGGTCACCATATTCACCCCTTCTTTCTTGCCGGCGGCTAGGGCTTCGAGCCCTAACACCCCGGCGCCGATGATGACCGCTGACCCACGAGACATCTCTCCTCCCTGCGGCTTGAAGTCTGACAGGAATTCCATCTTCTTCAAAAGACTGACGTTGATCTGGAAGGACCCCAGACCACTCGATCGGCCGATACCGTCGTGGCCGGTATTCCGGATGGCGAGGTGCAGGTTGTTGTGGCGTGCGAATCGCACCGCTTTCTGGATGTCTTCGGCGGAGTGCGCGAGAACCCCGTACACAGGGATGCGGCCCTGGTCGCAGGGGATGGCGCGGGGCGTGTCGACGAAGCAGCTTCCGTTGAGGTATTGCTGTGTTTCCCAGGTCACTGACTGAAGTGCACCTGCAGAGGATTACTGGGTCAGTGGATACGTCTCTCGATAAATGTGCACTTGCGATGCCGCTTTAGAAGTGAGATAGGATAAAGTAACCACCTGCTTCCGCGATGCGCCAAAGGGAGTCTTGCGTGGAGTTCCTGGCGAAAGCACATCGCGCTGGATCGTATTCCCTGCCATGGCAGACCGAGCCAGTTGGTCGGATCTGGATCAGATACCCGTTGACGGTGCGGTTCAAGGCATCCCACTCGTGGAATGAAGGCCAGCAGGCGTCGCTTGGCAGACAGCGGCAGTCCTGCGAGCGACGGGCTGGGGAGGAACTCGTCTCTCTAGCTATGAGAAACAGTAGAAGCCAGATGATAAGCATAGTAGAAGATGAAATAGACATCGTAGCTCTATGTGAACTTTATACTCGCTCATTGATCTGCCAGCGCCGAGCTGCGGTGCGGAACCTTCATAAGTAGAGTCTTTCCTTGATCAGGCTGCCAATCTGTCTATGTAATTTCACGCCGACGAAGGCAGACCTCGACATAATTCTCCTAGTGGACAGTAATCGCAATCTCTACCAGAAAAATCCATCTTCTTCTCGAGCTTAGCTGAGCACCCGATGAGTGTGAATGGAGCCTTTACGGACTATGCTGGTTGAAGTCTATAAGCGGAATACGAGTAAGTCGTCAACGAAGTCAATCACGAGAGTTTCAGGTTCTGCTGACTATATTCGCACCTGTGACTCGGAGTCAAAATAGAAAAATTTCATGGCTAGTGCTTCGGAAGTAAATTCTTTTTCGCGAGTTATACTAACATGATGCTATTCTAGATTATTCCACCCGTGTTAGGTCGCCGTGTGATCCCAGATCTTTGTGCTACGGTAACGCGCATACATCTCGTGTTTCAGAACAACTGTTGGATCTTCGGCCTGGGATGATCCTTTCTGGACCGAGAATCAGATGATGAGGTTAAAGACCACAGGAACTTAACCCCAATGTCAAACTGGGTTGCAACTGGGTTGTGTTTTGGGTGGCAGTTGCATCCTTGCGGAGGTCTGGAGTTATACAGACTTGGATTTCAATGACACATTTGCTTCTTTCTGATCATTAGAGACTAGATGTAAGAAGGGCTAAATAAATTGCATAGGTTTAGACATGCTTAGTGCTCTGAGTCAGGATGAACAGGATAAACCACCGGAATATGGGTCACTATACTGGACGAGCATCTGTCCAGATGTATTAGTCAACCATACATATGGTAGTCTTCTTTCCTAGTAAAGGCAACATCCTTTGCGCTAGCTAATTAGTTGATATTGTTGATGTCATTCTTTCATTCACAGTCAACGTGACTTTATCCAAGACTATGTTCAGGACTGCTGAGTGGGCGCCATTTACGAGACCGATTACTTGCAAGCGAGTCCAGTCCTCAGGTAGCTGGCCGGAAATTGTTGGGAGTCCGCTAGACAGCGACAGCTCCTATCAGTTGTTTGTGCGCTTTACTCAAGTAATAACTCCTCCAGTCATTTATGAAGCACACCTACAATTGATCTTTTACCACAATAGTATTAAAGAGTATACGTAATGCACATACGACCACAGGGTGTGGAAAACAGGGCTTCCCGTCCGCTCAGCCGTACTTAAGCCACACGCCGGGAGGTTAGTAGTTGGGTGGGTGACCACCAGCGAATCCCTTCTGTTGTATGTTTTTGCTTTTGCTCTTGTAATCATTTCCTGTTTTAGATCGGGCTTGTCATGCCTGGGCGTACGCCTAGGCGGTACTAGTAGGCCAAGATGTGGAAACTACAGTGAAATGCCAAGATTGACTGCTGGGAAGAAGAGTCGTTCCAGTCTGTCATTGACGACAGTCAGGACTCTGCGACAAAGACGCATAAATTTGCACGGAGTAGGTCGTAACCACTGCTGTGAACTGCATGCTCTGCTCTGCTTGCTGAGTGGGTACCTTGCTTTCAGAATTTGATAATCAGGACATCCCGTTCTGCCACGACGAGACCAAGACTATTGCCGAGCGCAAGACCAGAATTCAAGGCACTATCAGCGTAAGTAGGACCCCGGACGAGGGGTGTCCTAGATGGATGTTGACGTTGATGTCTTCCTTCTCCCTAACCGCCCAGTCTTTGACTACTGAGAACTCTCGCATCACCATGCGGCTGGCTGGCGTCGCCTCCGACTTGACCACTTTTATTGACAGCTTTGTTGCTTGGGCTAAGAGCAAGGAAGGCGAGCTGACCGCCGAAGTTGAAAAGATCAAGAGAGATTTGATCGACCTGAATGGCAAAGTAGCTCAGTTGGAGCTTGCTGCCCGCGCTTTCAATCATGTTGGCATGGGGCTGTTGCCCATCATCGAAGTGCTTGCTGCTGCTTTTCCTCCGTACGGGACGGCTATCGCGGTAAGTGATAGCCTCAAGGGACCTTCATGAGGCAATGAAAGGGTGTCTGGCCATAGAGTCTGGCCGGGTTTCATGGGTAGATTGGTGGACTGATTATCGCCGGCGCGCAACTTGGTACGACCACAGCCCTGATGGTTCGGATTGGCGGTGAGCTCCCTCCCCCCCTCTTTCCAACAGTTGATCGATGATCAGGCGAGGTAAAAGCTCGTAGCTACCATGCAAACAATTGCTCAGAAAGAGAGAAAACAGAGTGGATTGGAGGCAGATCTCGAAACGATGGGGGAGGCCAGGGAGCATCTCGAAGGGATGCGTGGGGCCGATCTCAACACTTTCGGTGGGACCATCTCCTCCATGACCATTACTCCCGAGGCCGCCATCCAGGACGCTACTCAGATTCTCCAATAGCTGGAAAATGGAGCGTCTTAGGAAGTAAGCAAACACTCCCCTCCCCCGCGGTCCTTGGACCCGACGATCTCATATCTTGCATCCCTCCTTGCGGTTGTCTAACAATACGAAACACAACACATATCCAACCTTCCTATATGGACGTCAGAATAAAGGGTGCCACGAGCTGTAAGCTATGCCCATCTCCGTCTCTGACCGTCGAGTGTCGCAGTCGAGAGTTCGTCTGAACCTTACTTCGGTTATTTCGGCATAGATGCGTCACTAGGCAGCTATCTGAGGGAATACGAACGGGGCATATCCCCTCTCTGCTCCGTCCAAAGATCAATGCCTGAGTGAAGACTTCGCACCGTCTTTTATAGCCTCTTGTGGCGGGTGTTTTGGATGAGCAGACTTTGTGGATACTAGTCCCCTTTAGTACATACGCGCGATGTATCTCGGCTTGTACAGGAGACAACGCCAGTTAGATATAGGAGCAGCCCCTCCGTAATCCGTATTCTCGTCATGGGGGGCTTCTTGTAACAGAAGATATGTTGCACAAATCCTTTCTAAGAGCGGGGCTTACCAATTTGAAGGAGGTTTGGATTACTTGCAAGGAGATAGAGCTATACCCACAAGTCTTTCAAGTCAGTTAGAATCCATTCGACATCTCGACAGGTGAAGCTATAATATTTAGTTATAATGACTATGTTAGCCCTACTCCCAAACTTAACTATCTTGACGCAACAACTTGATCATTAAAGACAATTTCTACAAGATAGTATCTTAATAGTACCATGCTCGAGCCCAAGATGACAATATACCGATATAAAGAAGCCAATATTATATAATTCTCAAGCTCCCAGGGGTAGTTCTGAGATTACTAAGCTCTCCATAAAGGGTAACATGTGATCTCAACGCACTTGCGCTAATTTCGCACCCCCTGCGAGCTGATGCCTTGATCGTCTCAATGACAGCCGTGGACCCTCACCTACACTACGTGTGAATGATGAATTACCTTTAGGCAAAATCTCCAGCGCGGTCCGCCTTGCACCATTCTCACATCATCTTGCGCCGTACGTCGTAATTTTGTTGCCTTGCCAAGTGCATCGGTATTGATGCAGGGTTAGGTTGAATGGGTGGTGCCTAACTTCTTAAATACGTAGTTGCTATTTCTATAAATTCAGCCAGCGACCCTCTGCCTTGTTTTCACGCAGGTATTTTGCATCTCGGAGCGTTGATTGCTACCTTTCCTCGAATCCTCGCTCGTTCGAAAACTTCACCTCGTGTGAAGCACCGAAGGATTTACTATGTCGGTCACTGAAATCGGCTGTATGCGTGTCAAGCCTGCACTCGAAGTCATAAACGAAGACACTCCAGAGGGCCAGATCCTGAACAAGCTGTACAACTACGTGGTCTCCGCGCCGGGGGGGCCACTTCGCGTATTCTGGGGTATCGAGGTGGAAGATCCGTCCTACCTCTGGGCATTCTTCGACTGGGATTCGCTGGAAGCCCATGAAACCTTCGCCCGAACGTAAGTAGACAGTATAGCCTCTTTCCATACCGCCCGTCTCCAGCTGACAACAACACCACAGACTGGGCCAAGATGCCGTCAAGGAGTTGCCCAAAATCTTGGCTCGTGGCGGGTTCACGAAGCACATTACCGCCACGCCGTCTCTGCCGGTCGCCCTGCAGTCCGCGGTCACCCAGGTGGTCTTGGCGTACTTTGCTTCGGACCTGTCGCCCACCGTAGCAGACGCAGCCGTTGCACGTCTCAAGGACTGGGAAGGGAATGAGATTGAGAAGGTCTCGGGTATGGAAGCTCTCAGTTACGGATGGGGCCTGGAGAAGGACTTGCCCGTTAGGGGCGGCTCAGCAGACCAGAGAGCATCAATCTTTCTATCCGTGTTTGGGTTCAATGATGTTGATGCACAAAGTGACTTTAGGGAGTCTTTGTCACTTGAGAAATTGTTGGGGCGGATCCAGGCCACAGAGGGATTCATCAAGCTGGAGGCTTTCTCCGTCTGTTTCCGGTCCACGAGCAGACACAGTTAGGGTGACTCTCGGGAGATGTCATGTTTTCTCACACAGTGGCTTGTGAAAGCGCAAATATCAGTATCGTCTAGGCAATATGAATTCTATCAATCAAATACAATGGGCGGGCTGTATCAGGCTCATTAGCATGGCATTGAGAGCTCTCAGGTTCGAAGGGGTCCGACCATTCATTGGGCAAGTGGGAAAATGTTGCAAGTATCGGCCTGAAGGCTGTGCTATGCTAGGTAATATTCCGCTTCCCTCTTCCCATGACGCGAAATACGTTCAGGTTCTCTACAAAATGGCGTGGCACATTTCATTGAATAGGAGAGAAGAACAAAGAAACAGGCATAATTGGGAAGAAAGGAACAGATGACAGACTCCGGGTTAAGTTCCTCACCTATCTATATTGATCTAGATCGAACGAAGTCCTTCAGCTTAAAAGACATATGTATTTCTTTATATGGCAAAAAGAAAACACTACACAAAGCAAGAAGAGAAATACTCCACTTTAACTCTCTGATCTTATTTCAGAGCCATATTCTCCGGCTCCTTTTTCTTTCTGTCAATAGTTGCATGCGAATACTTCATCTCCAAGCGGCAAGCCTATATATGTTGCCATGCATCAGTGTTGAAATGCTGTGAAAGTAACCTCAACAGGTCATGACAAGCACAACACTGGTCATACCCAGCGCTGAAGCCTGCTCCACTGACCTCGTCCAAGCCTCAGATGCCCACACCACACCCCTTGTCAAAAACACCACCAGACACCATGCTGGGCCTCGAGGACCTCGCCATTCTCTTTGTGTCATGCAGCATCTCCTACTGCAGCTGGTACTTTTCCACCGGTCCACTCCGTCGCTGGGCCCGCGACACGCCCCATGGCCCGCGATTCTTGCTAATCTACGGCAGCTTTCTCGTGAGTGTCGCCTCGAACCAACTGTGGTCGAACTACCTGACTACCCAGCAGCTTCCGCTGGTTCTCCGAGCCTACCATCTTCAGCAACATACTGCGCTGGGCAACCATATGTCGACTTCTTTGAACATCACTGGGGCGCTGACCGCCCTTGTTGACGTGGGGATGCTCATCGGGAATCCGGAACTGGCAGCGTGGCTGCTCAATCCGTGGTCCCTGCTGGTGATGAACATTCTGTGGGTGAATCTCTTGATCTCGAGCTTTTTCGCTCTTGAACTGGCGCTGACAGTTATCTGGCTTCCAGGTGTTCATGACGAGTAGATTGAAGATGTTGTGGGTTGACTGCACGGACAGGCCAAAATGATTGGGCCTGACGTTGTGCAAGCCTTGATAAGCATGAGTTGCTATTAGGATGAGTTGCTTCTTCTGCTCTCCTTGCTATTGGACCTTTCGTGGATGCTGGACTTCACATGCTAGCTTTTCAAGATTATTATACTCAATTGAGTTAATTTTAGACCATATGATCTTTGCGATCGATATCTGAAGGGCACCGTTCCGAATGGGTAAATAATGAACTCGTATTTCGGCGTGATAGCCGGACAACTGTAACTATAGCCATCTAGTTGGGCATCAATTGTTTACTAACATGCATCTTTTGGAGAGCTACTGATGACGCTATTTACGCCCACTCGCAAACGACTTATTGGGGGCAGTGCGCACCGTCCTAAGCCTGGCTTGGCTGTGAATAGGATCTGAATAGTCGTCCATCTTTTTAGGGCTCAGTATGTGGGGCTGGGAAGATACAGCTCTTTACATGCCATGAATTACCCCGCCAGTCATACAGATTTGATACAGTTTTGTATCAATTGCTTCGGGCTAAATAACCTTGCCCGACTTTTGCCAAATCCCAATATTTTGGAAACCGGGTATAAGGGACCTACGTGTGCAGTGACCGCTACCCATCCGCAGAGCTGTGAGAGGCCTGCCGACTCTGCCGCGCAATCATGTCGCAGCAGTTGCATGCGCCTGTAAGCTCTGAGCTCTGTATTGGTCGCATCTTTTGCCTTGTTGCATCTGAGTAGAATAGACCATTGAAAGCGTACTAACCTCCTACCCCGCATGTCTCATCAGAATTCCCTCTGCCTAGCGTTCAGAGGAATGGCAAACTATAAAGACTACATCCTCCATCTCATCCCTCTTCTTTCCTTTGCAGACCTCTAAGACATCACCGTTCTCTCCAAAGCTGCTACAATGACTAGCTCCTCGTCCCGTTCATTGCTACTCGCAGCCAGACCTGCGCTGCAACTGAATGTTCTACTTGGAACAGGGGTCTGGCTGTCCATCATATTCTCTGGCGCGTTGAAGCGGGTCTTTCAGCTAGCCCTCTCTGAAGGCTATGCGGCCGCTCGGTATACGGGAATCCCAGGCCTTGACACGCTGACCTCCTTTCATCGCACCGCTCATCTCACCACCAGTGCAGGGGCCCCGACCCCGCGAACGCTGCAAATCGTCCACCTCTTTTGTGGTCTGGGGTCTATTTGGACAGCGATGATCCTTGAGACCTGTCGGCAAAAGTCATTGCCCCAGGTTCTACGCCAGTATGGATGCCTCCTGCCACTTGTTCCTTCAATAATCAACGCAAAATGCCCCTGCTTCCCTCTTTCACCATGCGTCGGTAGCAAGAACAAAACTGGGAACACTAACATGTAACCTCTCTGGGACAGTACCCTCAAATGGCACCTGGCCAATATGTGGATTGGACCGCATGTGATCACCCCGCTCTACTGCCTCCTCCACCTCCAACCCCCCGGCACTTTATCGGGGGATTCCGAGGATACCGTCCGCAGCAATAAGCCCCTAATCGACTACCTCGTGCCTCTCAAAGTCCTCACCTTCGTCCTCCCAGTAGCCCTCATGCATCTTCCCGGATCGCAAAACCCTCCCGACACGGTGAAAGTCCATCTGGCGATGCTAATCCACACCTGGCCCCTCTGGGTCGTGGGTGCTGCGTATCTCGCGCAAGAGCGCAGGAACCGCATCCTCGTGCGGCCCACCCCCTCTGCCCCACGGGAACAACAGCAACAGCTCCGCTCGGTCTACCAGTGGGCATTCTACGCCGCCTCGGCCTCCCATCTGGTGACGATGTTCTGGTGTCTCAGCCTGGGCGAGGAGGCGTCTGCTTCAGCACGGCTGCAGACCATGTTCGTGCCCCCGCTGCCGCGCACGGAGCAACTCATCGCCCACCCACGCGAGCCCATCTACTTCGTCACAAAGTGGGGCAATGCGCTGTGCGCGAGTGCCGTCTGCATATGGGCGTCGGTCGCGTATCTGCGCACTTGTAAGTTGCATGCTGCTGCTGCTGCTGCTGCTGTTCCTTCGATGCCCCTCTCGCTATTGGTGCTCAAGCTGTCCTGGAGGATGGTGGTGCTGGGGCCTTACGCGGTTGCGGTGCAGCTGCTTATTTGGAAGCATGATGTCCTCAGTGTTTGATTAAATGAGGGTGGCCAAGGGCTTTTCCTCAATTGAAGATTCTCGTGAAGGGAAGGGCGAGGGGGTGCGAGTGAGGAGAGCAAAGCGATGCACGGTTATGACGGTTGAGGAGGGCAGGAGTTGAGGACAGCGTCGTAGCTTGCCCGGACGGGGAGGGGCGTTGTTCTTTCTTGCGGTCGGGAAGGAAACACTGGGTCGAAGATCGATCGCAGCATTTACGTAGAGTATACCTAGTACTCACCTGGACATATATACGTATCTACTCCTTTGATTGGTTGATGTATTCCTGATACACACGAAACAGCCACTGCTTGGGGAGTCGGACTCGTCTGCAAGTTTAATCCGCAAGGCTAGGATGTGCAAGCGATAGAAATAAACAGGGCCTGGTCGCATCGATGCCAGCACTTGTGTGATTGTTGTGCATTCATGCCTTCCTTGGCTGCATCGGGATCGACCCCGCCCCGCGATCTCCCCGGCCAGTTAGGGTACATTCCTGCTGATCCGCAGGGATGTAGTATCTGCATCCGGTGCTTGGGCCCCTTAGCCATGCCGACCGCCGATCGAGATCTGTTTTTCTAGTTTGTCGCCCTACTACTCTGCATGGGTTGTCTGGCCGTGATGTCGGGGATTAACTTTCGGGAAGGGTGTTGGGGCGGTGCTGGAAGGTGCCTTCAGGCCCCGTGAGGCGATTATGACTCGTAAGAATTCACACATCAGTAGTATATCGCTGCGGAGATTTTTGATGACCCATGATATGCTTCGCGGTCATTACGGTTACAGTACGATACAGTACAGAACCAACGATACCCATTTGCATGATGCATAGCTGCAGGCGGGTGGCGGGCTGCATACTGACGTAGCCAACTAGGGTTCTGCATAGAGAGGCGCGCCATGGGCGCCTCGACTCGTGTCGATATTCACGTCTTGCAGACATACGAGGCGGGTCGTTATCACTCGATAACCTCCATGTCAGCTGCTGAAGCTGGCTGAATTGACCAACCGTGGCCTCGGTTTCCTACACTCGCCGGTCGAAGCACTAAGGAATAGCTAAGCAGGCTTTGCTATAGTACCTGTCCCATATCACCTTCCCCGTACACAGGATATGAATATCGTCAGAAGCTTAGTATGGATCATTGCTCAGAACTAGTGACTTCAGTATGTAGACTCCGATTTGGGTATTTCCAAGATGCATAGCTGATCCCAAGATAAGGGTTCCCATATAGTACTAGATGAAAGTTCAACCTTGCAAAGCAGTCGATATAAGACGTCATAGGTGTATATGGCTGCATGTTAAACCTTCAAGGGTCGTAAAATATCCAGAGCCCCCGAGAGTACAGAGGGGCCATTGCCACATGCAACGTTCCCTGGATGCCTCTACTCGCGGATCCGAGATTGGATCTCGATGGTATCAGTACCTCATGCGCGCATGGTGACGCAGTACTTGATAATAACTCTTTACTGAACCGAATCAAAGATTCCCCTCTTTCACAACCCGGAGATAGAACTCAAGGTGCGGGGACTTTAGATGCTGCATCCGCAGCTAGCTTTTGCGCCAAGAGCATCACCGTGCACTGAGCTCTGGAGCAACATGGCCTGCTAACAGTAGCCTCTTCGAGGGCAAGAGGGGATAGATCTGCTCAGATGACTGTCCTGGTTGATCCACCTTGACCAGTGAGTGCTCCGGGTTATCATTGCATCATAAAACCAGCCAGAGCCATTTATGTAGCATGACGAAGATTGGCCGAGTAGCTAGCAAGCAGAACATTATGCACGCACATGCCGCTTGTCGCAGGCATTGACATCGAGAACACTCTCAAGCCGGCAGGTATGAGGGGTAGGTTACGTGTCATGAGGTGCCTGTGGATTTCCATGCCAACCAGATGTATGTGTAGGACATGCATTCGATGAGACCCGGATATCAAGTCCCAAATTGAGTGAGGAGGATGCATGACGAAACGTCGAGGGTATAAGACAGTGCCCCAGGACAAAACGAAGGATTCTGAGACTTCCCATAGTGCACGTCGGAGCCTAGCCAGCCATCACCTTCTGCTCCTCTGTCGAATTTACTCTCTCCGCATTGCACCGCCTACTAGATCTTGTTCTCTATGAACTACAAGCGTCAGAAGGCCCCGGCTTTGGCGCCAGCCCTCTCACCCGAGGACGCCGACCTCCCTGGGGGCCAACACCTGCCCCTGTACAATCTCACCTCAATCCGACTAGAGCTCCTGTGCTGGCCCGTTTCCCTCATCTGCCTGGTCCTAGTGCTACCGATGTCCAACAACCTACCCCCGATCAGCCCCAGCGTGGAGCCCGCCGCGCTAGCCCGCCACTACGCGGCGCACGAGGACGGCTTCCGGGCGGGGGTTGTCCTTACCCTCCTGTCCGGGGCCAACTACCCATTCTACGGGATCGGGGTCAGCAACATTTTAGTCCGTATCCCCGGGGTGAATCCGGTCATGGTGATGACGCAGGCGGCGGCGGGGGTTGTGGTGGGTGCGTGCTTCATGTTCTGCGGCATCTTCCTGGCGCCCATCAGCTTCCGCCCAGACCGCGACCCTGCCCTGATCCAGCTCCTCAGCGATCTGGGCTGGCTGTTCTACATGCTGTTTCTCCCCGTCATGTACGTGCAGGACTTCTTGATCACCTCCCTCATTTTCTCGGACCGCCGCCCGATTCCGCTCGTGCCGCGCTGGCTAGCCTGGGTCAACTGTGTCCTCCCTCTGGGCTGGTTCGGCGGCTTCGGCGTCCACTTTGTGCATTCCGGCCCCTTTGCGTGGAACGGCGCCATCAGCTTCTGGCTGGCGAGTGCCTCCTACGCCGTTCAGATTGCTACTAATCTGCCCGTCTTGTGGATTGCGGCGGGAAAGATCCCGCCTGGGGGGTTGATGACTGTTGAAGGCGCTCAGAGCACTTTCTAGGGCTGGATTGGTAAGGCCGGTAGATGGGAACTGGGCGAGGCAAGGCAATTTGTGAGTCGGTGCATTCATGTACTGTACTGTTCAGCTTAGCTAGCACAAGAATACCTGAGCTACTGACTGGACCCTTTCCGCGGAATGCTCCGGATACAGTATTTACCGCTCCAATTCTATGGACATCCATAGATGGGGACTGGTGAATGGATCCTATACAGATCACGATTGTTCGGGAAATGCTTTCATGAAACCTGTACAAGATTGTACAGGGTACTACTGTACTGTACTGTTGCAAAACACCATAACTACTGAGCCCTTGCTGTACTAATTAATAGATTTCCTAAGATTCTAGTTGTGCTGTCGGACACCCACACCTTTGTTAGGATATTAGTTAAGTAGAGACTTATCACATATATAAGTGGCTATCATAAAATACATTACTTCTGCAAGTGCACATTGCGAGGATTGCTACAATAGATCGGTGGCTCTAGATGTCGCCAATCCAAGCAACTACTCATATAGTACCTAGCACTACCTAGTACTGTGTGCTCAGCCTGCATTTGAGCGGCTCTAACAGCACTGTCTATGATTATGGGTAACACCGGTATAGTACCTCCAGTACGCAAAGGCATTGGATAATATTAAACATAAATTACCACACTGATCAACAAAACTAACAAAGTGGCCAGACATGCTCCGCACACGAGACATGCCTCGATACCTGTGTCCATGCACACACGTATCTGTCCTGCTATCCATCAGTCGGGAGTATGGTTACACACCCCATACACGAAATTGCCTTTCTATCACTTCAGCGCCAGCATAGCGCAGATCTCTTCCAGAGCGGGTCCAGTTTTGAAACTCGCTTTTGCCGCCTCTCGCTCAATCGTCAATTGATGAGTCAGACTTCTGCAGGCATACCGCACATGCCCGAGTGACTCTTGCTGCATGAGTAGGGCATTGAAGGGCAGGAGAGGCTTGGCGTCGCCTCCGTCCTGGAGTGTGAATCCCCACAGTAACTTGGCCACGGTCAGTGCAACGCTATCCGACACGAATGGCTGGCCCGGACAAAGCCTCTTGCCGAAGCCGAATCCAGCCGGCGCTGGAAGAGAGGAGTTTTCGATCCAGCGCCGAGGCTGGAACCTCATAGGATCGTGATAGATGGTGCCATCGGTGTTCAGGGCGTACTGGAATGGGATGATGAGTGCGTCACGGGGGATCCGAAACCCACAGTATACGTCATCCTCTGTCGGGGCGTGCAGAAACCCCAAGGGTAGCATTGGATGTAAGCGGGCACATTCCTTGATAACGGCATGAAGATAGGGCAGGTGCGGAAGGTCGGTTGACGTGGGAAGCCGGCTGCTTCCTATTCTACCATCTATCTCGGTCTGGACCTGGTGCATCTCCTCGGGGTGTGCGAGCATTATCTTGACGACATTGCAGAGCGTGAAGGTTAATGTTATCGAACTGGCCATCTCCAATTCCATCAAATAAAAGGAAAAGTCTTTCTGGGCCATGTGCGTCGGCTGCCGCGCGTGCAACGCCTGTGCGAAATTCCAAAATGGATGCTGCAGCGCCGCTTCGACCCTTTCACGGGTCTCGCGTGCAGACTCATCCATCATGGCTGCACTCTTCTGCCTCAAGACCCACATTATGCCGGGGACGGACTGGAAAACCGGGAACAGGTCCAGAAATACATTGAGCGGGGAAAAGCTTCGTATGACTCGTTCGAATCTCGCCCTCTGCTCACGGATCAGGTCCACCGTCATGGAGTCGAGGTCTGCCCCATAGAGCAAGGAGAAGAAGAGTCGAACTGGGACCATGGATAGATGGTCTTGGATATCACCCCCCTGAATTATCTCGTGCATACAAAGCGTGGTGGATGCGTCCAGCAATGTCACGGACGCCTTCGGGACCTGCGCGTTGAGTAGAGGTAATCGCATGCGATGGCCAGCTTGCCATCTATCGCCATACGGCATGAAGACTGAAAGGAGTTCGTCCAATCCACTCCCGCCAAGTGCGATCAATCGCGGTCGACTGCTGTACAGGGCTGCTCTTCGTTCGAGGAGATCACGTACGCTAGTTCGCGCGCCGAGCAAGATAGCAGTCCGCGCCCCAACCTTGAGACTCACAATAGGACCAAAGGTTTTGGTCCACGCACTGAGTGTTCCCAAAGGATCCTCGCGGCGGAGCTGCAAAATATTCCCAAAGATGGGCAAAGGCTTTGGACCTGGGGGCAAAGGTCGCCGGGGCAAAAAGCACCACCATCGAGACGCCGCAAACGAGATGATGGCAAGGAGAAGCAAGAGTAGAACCGTCATTGCAGGGATCAACTTGTAGTTCAGTCATACAGTATATGGTCGGAAATATGGCTAATACTGATGAGAGGTCGAGTCTGATTCTTCTGGTCTCAGAACAAGACGTCAACTTTTAAATACAGAAGCCTCCTCTACGTTACAGAGCCATTCTTGAATCAAAGATCATCACTGACTCGCGGGGTCTGCCGATCTAGCCTTTGAGGTGCTTGCCCCCCGCTCTAAGCGCCGCGTCGCAATGAGCATACATAAGATCTGCTGGGACGGTTGCATTGGCCTTGTAGCCGATCACCTGCATGATAGGGGACTCTCGTATATGCTTCCTGCACTAGCTCTGGGCCATCCTTTCCTTGCAGAAAGGCAAGGTGAAACGTGTATGTAAAAAAAAAAAAAAAAACCACATGCCGACTCCGTATACTCTGATGCACCTCACCAGCTGCGCACCGGCGCACTAGCAGTGGAGCACCCTAACGTAGCGTCTCGAGGACCGGGGCCGACCCATTTTCGCAATCAAGACAGAAGATTCGTATTGTCAAGCTCGAAAGGTAGAGGATAGAAATTCGATGCAAACAACAGAAAACGGGGGAAAGAGGGAGGCTGAAAGCAAGGCAGGGAGTAAAGCCGCAGAATCCGGAGTAGAGGCGGTGAAGAGCCCGCCTGTTTGGTTTGTTTGCGTGGCTTGCCATCACTCCGTCACGTGCTCTTATTCCCATCCCCATCCCCATCAGGTCACCTCTCGTCATCATGATACCCATCCTATTTCCCTGTCTGAGTGGACTTTAACCTCATTCTTGTCTCTTTTCTCCTTGTTTAGCTCTTTGTTAAGAAAGTTTACGGTGGACAGTGTAATACAAATACGATACATTCACACCTATCCTGTTTCTTCTGCATCTCATCTGACTGCCTTGATATGTCCCACCACAACCTGATGCCTCTCTACTTTGCGTCTTGCTCCTCCTACCTAGAAACAAACGATCATCCATCGGGCTAGCTGAACCTCGATTAGGAGGGCAATTGTGGCGATCATCAGCAACTCTATGCTTCGCCTATGGAGGGGTTAACACCCGCTCAAGCCGCTGCTCGTAGGCTCAGGCAGTGCAGCTCCCCAGTGGCCCTCGGCCCGCTTCCTCCTCAGCATGACGGAGTGCTTGGGATGCCTTCACTCGGCGGGCTACAGTACTTAAATCATCTGGTGCAGCTGGAGTGTTCCACACTATCTTCTTCATTGTGCGATGCCCGCTGTCTGAGCAAGAATCTCTTGAAGACAAGTACCATATGGCAATTCCCTATCGCGACCAGCAACCCGAAGCCAGTGGTTGCATGAATTCCCAATCAGAGACAATGCCTGATACATCCGGACCAGCCAGCTCGGTGCGTGCAAGGCCCCTTCACCCTCATAAGAAGGAAGGTTGATAGGAAGAGTGGAAGAGCACGGAAGCACATCATGGCTAACAGAAGCTAGGATGACCACTTATCGGGAACATTCCGTCCTATCGCAGTATGTGGCATGGCTCTAAGGCTGCCCGGGGGCATCAGCAATCCAGCTCAGTTCTGGGATTTCTTGATGGCCCATGGCGACGCCCGCGCACGCGTTCCCCCATCTCGATACAATATCGACAGCCACTTTTCCAGGGTTGACAAGGATGGCTTAATCAGCACCGAGTATGGATACTACCTAGACCACAACCCCGGGGACCTCGATACCTCGTTCTTCAGCTTTACGAAAGCGGAGCTCGAATACATCGACCCTCACCAGCGTCACCTCCTAGAAGTGGTAAAGGAGTGCTTTGACAGTGCCGGCGAAGCCCACTATCGCGGCAAGAATATCGGCTGCTACGTCGGCTCCTTCAGCGACGACTGGACCGAGATCCTCTATCATGATCTCCAGATGTACGGCAAGTATCCGCTCGCCGTGGGCGGAGACTTCGCCGTCCCCAACCGCATCTCCTTTGAATATGACCTACGCGGGCCAAGCATGAGCGTGCGGACGGCCTGTTCCTCGGCGCTGGTGGCGCTCGACCAAGCGTGCGCGGCAATGGCCCGCGGCGAGTGTGATGCCGCTATCGTCGGTGGCACCCAATTTATCCTGTCGCCTACTATGACTGGGATCATGTCGGCCAGAGGGGTACTATCTGCAGATGGGGCCTGCAAGTCCTTTGATGCCACTGCCAACGGCTATGGGCGCGGGGAGGCCATCAATGCAGTGTACCTCAAGCCTTTGGCGGCGGCGGTGCGCGACCGCAATGCAATCCGCGCCGTGATCAGGGGCACTGCAACCAACGCTGATGGCAAATCTGCCGGATTCACCGTTCCCAGTGCCGATGCCCAGCAAAGGCTGATCCGGCAGGCGTATCGAGTCGCGGGGATTGACGACCTAACCCGGACACCCTACGTCGAGTGCCACGGGACAGGGACCTCCGTGGGAGATCCCATCGAAGCGCGAGCGGTTGCCGACACTATGGGCGACGGCCAGATCTTCATCGGATCGGTGAAGCCAAATGTGGGACATTCCGAGGGGGCATCCGGTCTGACTTCCTTTATCAAGGCGGTCCTGGCTCTGGAGAACCGCACCATCCCACCGAACATTCGTTTCACCGTCCCGAATCCAAACATCCCGTTCCGCGAGGGCGGGCTGACGGTGCCAACAGAGCCAATCCCTTGGCCGCGAGATCGAGCTCTCCGAGCGGGCGTCAATAGCTTCGGGCTCGGCGGTGTCAATGCCCACACTATTCTCGAGTCGGCCGAATATCTTACTCCAGTGCATCCGCCATGCAAGCACGACGATCGGGGGCCTTCATTGCTATGCTTTTCGGCAAACACCCCAGAGTCGCTGGCAGACCTCATCCAGGAAAATCACAAGTTTCTGGCGAACCATCCCGAGTCCCTGTCTGATCTTGCATATACACTGGCGGCGAGGCGGGTTCATTTCCCTTTCCGAGCTGTATCCATGGTCTTGAACGACCGGTCGCTTCGCACTTCGGTCTTCTCGCGCACTCCAGCTCAGCCGCAGGACGTCGTCTTCGTGTTTACTGGGCAAGGGGCGCAATGGCCCGGCATGGGATACCAGCTTTATCAGACAAACCGCTCCTTTCGAGAATCCTTACAACAGTCGGACCGATTCATCCATGAGTTGCCAGAGGCTCCGCCATGGTCGATCGTGGAGGAGATCCAAAAGCTACCGGAGGACAGCAGCCTGCACAAGGCTTCGTACTCCCAACCCATCTGTACCGCCGTCCAGGTCGCGTTGGTAGATGTCCTCGTTGAGCTAAATGTTTCCCCGGTTGCAGTGTTAGGTCATTCTTCCGGCGAGTTAGCCGCGGCTTATGCTTCCGGCAGAATGACTGCTCGCGAGGCGATGATTTGTGCTTTCTATCGTGGTGTTGTATCCGAGGAGGTGAATGCGGAGGGAGTCATGTGCGCGGTGGGAATGGGGACAGCAGAAATTTCACCGTTCTTGAGACCTGAGGTCGCCATTGCCTGCGAAAATTCGCCTGCGAGTGTGACTATCTCCGGCGATCTGATTCCTCTGGAAGAGACCATGAAAGAGATACAAGCCTCCCACCCTGGGGTGTTAGTTAGACGCCTCAGAGTAGACACAGCCTACCACTCACCACATATGACCCAGGTGGGAGCAAGGTACAAGTCTCTCATGGACTGTTACTTGAGCAAGGACACTCTTGATGTGCCGCGGAGGTCAGTGGCCTTTTCTTCGGCGGTTAAAGGCCGGTTACTTCCAGCCTCAGAGACACTTGGATCCGATTACTGGCAGCAAAACTTGGAGTCGCCAGTTCGATTTCTCGAAGGCTTCCAAGCCATCACTAACAGTCTTACACAACCACTTCTCTTCCTTGAGGTTGGCCCACACTCAGCCCTAGCAGGTCCGATTCGTCAGATCCTCGACCAAACGTCTCTGAATCACCAATATCTATCATGTCTGTCCCGGACCAAGCCCTGTGATGAGACTTTCCTCACACTTATCGGGGAGCTCTTTGCGCGGGGTCAACCTCTAGACTATCAAGCACTTACCGATCCGGACGGGACCGCCAGGGTTCTTTCAGATGTTCCAAGCTATCCCTGGCATCACCCCACCGCCACCATCTATGCGCCCCGAAGCATCAAAGACTGGAAATGGTCAAAGTACCCCAGGCACGAACTGCTCGGTATCCGGGTAACCTACAGTACAGACGATCAGCCAACCTGGCGCAACGTCCTGTTCCATGCCCATGTTCCCTGGCTTCAGGACCACCGGGTGACGGGGAATGCGGTTTTCCCTGCTGCCGGCTATCTTGCCATGGTAATAGAGGCTGTGCGACAGGTTGATCACACTGAAGCCAAGGGATTCCGCATTCAGAATGTACGGCTCAGTAACGCCATGGTGTTGGACCGATACAATACGACGGAGATCATAACCTCGCTGCGACAGCAATCCTCTATGAACCGCTACGACTTCACCATAAGTTCACACAACGGTACGTCGTGGGTGGAACACTGCGCTGGGCAAGTGCAGCGCGGAGCTCGTTTCTCTCGATTCCAAGAGCCCGACTCTCATCCTGATCCCCCGGCTCGCTCGGTGAATCCAGCCCGATGGTACCGGACTCTGAGCCGAGCCGGGGTCGATTACGGGGCCAGCTTCCAGGGCGTGGAGTCGCTGCGCTGCTCGACTTCCCAGCATCGAGCCTCTACCCGGGTGGTGTCAACACTGCCGGAGACCGTCTACTATCCCATTCACCCTACGATGATGGATGCGTGTTTCCAGGCAGTTTACCCAGCCAGATATCAGGGGCTGGACTGGGAGATCGACCGGCTCCCGGTTCCTACGGAATTGGGAGAGGTAAACATCGCAGATTGCGCCACGGGCCTGGAGTGCACGGTATGGGCCCAACCGCTGGGCAGAGGCGTGGTTAGCACAAGAGGCTGGGCTACTGCGCTCGATGGCTCGATGGCTTTGTCCTTCGACGATACATTTCTACGCCCTGTGGGCACTGAACATCCAGAAAAGCGTGGCTCTGGAAAGGGAACAAGGCTTCATTGGCGAAAGGAGTTTGCCTTCCTCTCTCTCTCTGATCTTGTCTCGTCTCCGCCAGGGTTGAGGGATAGTACGATCCTCCTGGATCAGCTTACGAAGGCATGTATTGCAGACAGCATCGCCTGTCTCGAGCTCCAGCAGGTGACTACCGCAACCACGCCGCATCTGCAGAAGTATTATGACTGGCTCCGACAGCAGCAACAAAGACTCGGCATTAAGTCCAAGCCCGGGGTCTTGGCGGAGACAGCAAGCGAAGCGGCGGCGACGTCGGCGGCACCCTGTGCTGAAGCTATGGTCAAGGTCGTCACCAACATCGTCTCCATGTGCAAGGGTCAGGTCGATCCTCTGGAGCTGTTGATGAGCGATGACACCCTGCTGGAGATGTACAATTACCTGAACCAGGTCGACCGCGGTCCGCTGTTCAGGACTCTTGGCCACCATCATCCGGGGCAGCGCATCCTTGAGATTGGTGCCGGGACAGGCGGAACGACAGCCCAGATCCTCCCGGAGACACTCTACTCCACCTACACGTTCACCGATATCTCAGCGGCCTTTTTCCCCGCCGCGCGGGGGCGCTTCAGCGAGTATCCAAATATAATCTTCAAGACCCTGGATATCACGTCGGATCCCATCAGCCAAGGGTTTCAGCCGGAATCATTTGACCTGATCATCGCCTCGAACGTTCTGCATGCTACGCCCAGTCTCCACGAAACGCTTGCCAACGTCCGGCGCCTCCTCCACCCCGATGGAAGGCTCCTATTGGAAGAGCTCTGCGGTGAAACCAAGTATGCCAATATCGTGACGGGCGTCTTGCCGGGGTGGTGGGCCGGGGAGAAGGATGGCCGAGCTTACGAGCCGTACGTCGACCCCATGAGATGGGAACAGGAGCTGCGAGACGCTGGCTTTAACGGGCTGGATGACCTCGCGTTCGATACCACGCCCCCCTTGCAAAACATGGCATATATGCTAGCCAGCCCCCGCGTCACCGACCCCGTGGCTGTGACAAATAGTTATCGAGCAGCCGTGCTACTCGCCGACGCCGATTCCACCGAGACGGCAATCATGCTGCAGAAGCAGTTCCGCGCCCGCGGATACGAGGTCAAGATCCAACCTATGGGTGCACCTCTGCCGGCCTCGCAGGACGTCATCGTCCTGGTCGACACGGTCGAGCCGTTCTTCCATGGTATCAACGAGTCGGAGCTCCTCGCCTACCAGGGGCTTCTGCGTCAACTGCAGCAGGCGCACTCCGGTGCTCTGTGGGTGACGCGATGCAGCCAGATGGAATGCCGGGACCCCCGGTTCGCGACCACCATCGGCGTGGCGCGCACCTCCCGCGCGGAGTTCGGCCTCGATCTCGCCACCTGCGAGGTGGATACCATCTCCTTCGCGAGTGTCGGCCTGGTGGTCGACGTGTTCCGCCAGTTCCAGGCGCGGACGCATGCGGGGCCGGGTCTGCGCGAGATGGAATATGTCATCCACCAGGGCTCGGTTTATGTCGGGCGCTTGCTTCCTTTCTCCCTGGATGAGGAGATAAGGAGATCTGGGCAAGTAGATTCCGATATTCGCTGCTCGAGGCTGGTGCTTGATCCGGAGACGTGGGATTGGGTCGCTCAATCACACCCGCCCGTGCTTGAACCCGACGAGGTTGAAATTGACGTTGATACGGCCGGCGTCAGGTCTCTAGTAAGTTTTTGTTATCATCCCATGTTCTCACAGCCCTCCCCTTTCGCCTTCTGTACTCGAGACTCCTGTACCTAATACTGATGGCTGAAGGGGTCTGCCCATTCGCTCGGAGCTACCAATGCTTCCAATGCCGCGCCTGGATGTGATACTGCCGGAGTGGTACGACAGGTGGGCTCCCAGGTCCGGGACCTGTCTCCTGGTGATCGCGTCGTCGCGTGTGAGCCTGGAGCGCTGGCCACGTCAGTCATTGCTCCACGCAGCAGCTGTGCAAGGATCCCCGACGATCTGTCTCTGGACAATGCCAGCACCCTTCCGTGGGCCTTCGCCACGGCGATATACTCCCTGATCCAGGTGGGACAACTGAATGAGACGCACGTAAGTTACTCTTCTCACCCACAAATTGACAGCAGGACACAGTTAGACCAAACTTTGAATTGACATGCATGTCAATAGACTGTTTTGATCCATTCCGCGTCCAGTGCTGCCGGGATGGCTGCGATTCAAATCAGCCAGATGCTCGGTGCTAAGACGTTCATAACTATCACCGATGACGAGCAGGCGCAATACCTGGCGAAGGAGTACGCCATCTCACGGGAAAGGATCTTCGACTTGCACAGCGGTTCATTCGTGCAAGCGATCAAAGATGCTACCCACGGCCGAGGGGTGGATTTGGTGCTCCACGCATCTCCGTTGTCGAGTGAGTTGTGTGCAGCCGCATGCGCATGTCTCGCAACGTGTGGGAAGCTTGTCATCCTCGCGAGCGATGGCTGCAGCCAACTGCCTGCGACGCTCTGGGTGCCGAATGCTTCAATTGTCGCGGTCGATGTGCTTCATTACATGAAATTGCAACCGAAAGAGGGCGAAAGGTCTGTGGATACCATCTACCTTGCCACACATACTCCCGTAAACACACCGTGTGGATGCTGAACTTCTATCCCTCGTGACAGGTTACTAGATCAGGTGGTTGACCTCTACACCCAAGGCAAGATCCGCCCGCTCACACCAAGGGAAACATTCCCGGCTCGAAAAGCGGAAGAATGTTTCAAGCTCGTGCAAAGTCAGCCGCAGCACAACCCGCACCAGCTAGGGCTTTCGTTCTCCCGCGAAGTCGCGGCACCCACTCCGACCCTCCCCGCAAGAACCGCCAGCTTCCGCAGCGATGCCTCGTATCTGCTCGCCGGCGGCCTCGGGGGCCTGGGCAGTGAGCTGGCCCGCTGGATGGTCCACCACGGCGCGCGACACCTTATCTTCCTGTCTCGTAGCGCCGGCACGGTGGGACCGCACGAGGACCTCTTCCGAGAGCTCCGCAGCCAGGGCTGCTCAGTCACTGTCACACAGGGAAGCGTCTGCAACCCCGACGACATCGAAGCTGCCATTGCCAGCACCGCCGCCACCCCCGTGCGGGGGATCTTCAACATCGCGATGGTGCTCCGCGACGCCTCGCTGCTGGGCATGTCGCTGCCCGAGTGGGAGGCCGCCACCGCGCCCAAGGTGAGCGGCACGTGGAACCTGCATGAGGCGGCACGCCGACACGCCCTCGACCTGGATTTCTTTGTGCTGTTCGGCTCCATGTGCGGCATCGTCGGCATGCCGGGCCAGGCCAACTACGCCGCGGCCAACACCTTCCTGGACGCGTTCGTGCAGTACCGGCACGCGCAGCGGCTCCCCGCGGCCGTTGTCGACATCGGCGCCGTCGAGGGCATCGGTCATGTTGCCCTCAATCCGGCCATCCTGGAGCGCTCGCGCTGGCTCGACGGCGCCGTCATGTCGCCCCGCGACCTCTTCCAGGCCATCACCCTCGCCATCTCGGACCGTGGGAGGCCGGCGCATCCTCCACCTCCCATTCCGAATCCGCAGGAGTACGTCAACTCCGCACAACTCATCACCGCCTTCCATCGCACCCCACATTTTCGGGACGCCATCCGCAACCGTGCCTCCTTCGTGGACCGCAGACTAGCCGTCTACACCAACCCCACCGCCGGGGAAGACGACTACCACGACGCAGCAGACGGCACCCTGGCGAGCGATGTCAGCGACAGCAGCGATGCAGCCCTCCGCCGCTTCCTGTCGAGCTTGTCCCCGACCACCGACGCTATCACGTGGGAGGCGGCGGAAACAACAACCTTCCTGGCCACGGAGATTGCGCGGTGGATCTTTGACCTGCTGCTCAAGCCGGTGCAGGACGCGGCGGAGATCGATCTGGCGCGGTCGCTGGTGGATCTCGGGTTCGACAGCCTCGCGGCGGTGGAGCTGCGGGCCTGGTGGAAGGCGACGCTGGGGATCGAGATCAGCGTGCTGGAGATCATGGCGGCGGCGGATTTAGCGGCGCTTGGGGCGCATGCGGCGCAGGGGTTGAGGGCGAGGATTGGTTCAGGGGCTGGGGGGGGTGGTGATGATGGTGACCACGGCGGTCAGGGATGTTAGGCTGGATGCTTTTTTTCTTCTGGGTGGAGAGAGGTGGAGGAATGAGAAGGGCTTCGGAGGTCTAGGTATTGATATGACTGTACACAGATTAAGATGCAGCCTTGTGGGCGTAGACTTCGTTCCTGCTGCTAGGAGCATAGCTACCGCTCTTTTGATGCCCTGAGACTGATTGGATGTCGTAATGTCTTCCTTGAGGGCTTTCTTTTTCTCTTCTCTCTCTCTCTTTGTGTGTGTGTGTGTATGTAAGAGAGAGCGAGAGAGATTGCTTGTTAAAGCTACTCACAGTACACTCCACCATAGACACCTTCCTGAGCCATATTAGGGCTTATATATTGCTCTCTGAAACCAGAGATAGGACATAACAGCATCATAGTGAACAAACTCTTGAACGGGCAAAGATAGCGAGATGTGTAGAAGAGCTTCGAGTAATCTCTTGGACACGTGTTAGGGGACAGGGCTTCGGACAGCAGCTACTATATCAAAAACATCGAGCTTCCACTTTTCCACCATCCAACCCCCATCGAACCATGATCCGTACATCACACCACCTTTTGAACCAACAACAAACATAACAAATTACTCTCCATCTCCCACCCTCCATTTCTTGCAAGGTCCATCCTCCAGATCCATCATCCACAACAGCCAGTCATCATAGTCACCATAGTTCACCATACCCGACGCCTCATCCTCCCCATCCTCGCCAACATCCACTCCCTCAGCCGCGCGTCCCTCGTCTTGCCCGACGTCCTCCAAGCCAACCGCGCCAGCTGCGTGGTTCCCGGCGCCAGCGCCCTCAACTCTCTCGTGACCAGCATCGTAGACCTAGCGCATCTATGCAGCTGCGCTCATCTCCTTCCTCCATGGCAGACACATCGACCTCACTAGCCACCCAGTCCCCAGAGGATTGGGGGGCTGCTCACCCCCTGACCGAAGGTCGTTGTATGGATTCTTTGGGCTGATTTGGTTGGTTTTGGCGTTGTTTTGGGGTGATGTTGCGGATGGGGGCTTTGGGTGGGAGCGAGCAAGGAGATGGGAAACTGTGCAAAGGCTGAGGCTGAGGAGGCTGGTTCGATGACTTGGAGAAGAAGATGCGCGCGTGCTGCTTGGGAGTGGGGCTTGCAAGGCGAGTTATGCTTGACGCATATTGACGAAAGGCGCGCGCTTGTACAAAAAGATATTAGATTGGAAGGGTGTGCGAGAATTGTTTTTGTCATTATCTCACGAATGACGGGCTCATCACAATGAAATGATAGACTTTGGCTAGGTCAGACGAACAAGATTAGATCTACAGAGAAAACAAGTTGTGAGGGACAGTATCGGCGCTCTCTTGGAAAACATGCTGACCAGAGTCCGAGCTGCATTCGTTATCGGATTGCCCACGCCAGTTAGGTAGCTGCACTTGCTTAAGGATATGATCTCTCGTCAATGGCCCCTCATTTCATGTCTATTTGGCGGGGGAAAAAAAAAAACAAAACAAAACAAAACAAAAAACACAGGTCGTCTACGAAGCATGTCGGCTCTCCAAGAAGAGAGAGAGCCAAAGGCAAAAAAGGATGACCAGACTGGGGCTCGATCCCAGGACCTTATCGGTGTTAACGATACGTGATAACCAACTACACCATCCGGCCAATTGATATTATAAAGCTACAATTAGTGCTACATGTTTTTTAAATTGCAATCAGTAACGCCGTCAAATCACTCGCATATCTCGACTCTCCGCATATGCAGCATCTATACAGGTATCTACAAGGTGACCAGTCATAGGAAAGACTCACTCGCCCGAGCCAGCGTCTACACTCTCAATAGACAGCAATCACAACAGCAAATCCAGGCAGCAACAGCACGCAAACGTCGAAAATAACCCTGCGCATTCTCCCCGCTGATGTTTTTCTGTGTGGCTGGTGCGGGCTGTTGCGGCGGCATCGGAGCCGAGTACCGCATGGACTGTGGCGGTGCAGCTTCCGGCGGGTAGCCCGAGACAGGGGATAACCCGAGGCTGGGGGATGATAAGTATTGTTGGGCGGTCCGGCGGTGGCGGCGCCGAAGGCGGTGCGCTGTATTCAGGGTGGTTTGGGGGCGGTCCGGGCTGTGTTAGGAGTTTATGGTCAATTCGAGCACTCGTGGGACTCGGACAAGGGGAGAACAGCATAGCTCACTGGTGGTTGGTATCGAGTCTCTGTTGTTGACATGTTGTGTGGATTGCAGTGACTTGATGTTGGTTGAGGTATGATAAGACCTTGTCGTTATGTGGTAGAGCTAGAAATGGGTGAAATATATACAGCGAGAGCGCTGCCTACGCTGAGAATGAAGTATGTCGGAAGGCTATAGAACCTTAGTGACGAGCGAAGTAAAGGTCTAGATATCTCTCTGCATGCGCTAGGCATCATTCTCAATCTCCTAAGTTCCGGAATTCTGCGGAAGTCCCTACGATAAGAACATCAGTGCCTGCGACTTGATAAAAATTGACCTATACTTGCTCCCCCAGGGAAACGACCAGGGGATCGACCCGCCCTAACAGCATAAGCTTTGCGGAAGCACCGTGCCGATTTTCTTGGCTCGAGTTAGGCAGCCATGAGTATGATGTCATGCAGGGAGTAACCCTTTTCCGCCCGATATATATTGTCAGCCTTTACCCCACCACCGTCTCGGTCTCATCTTACCACAGAATTCCACAATCAGAAAAAATGCCACCACCGCCACCAATGCCTCGTGTGCCAGAGGGCTGGCGTCCTCAGTTCGATGACAGATACCAGGAATGGTGCGAACTCTTCCTCCGACCAAGATTGTGCTCATGACTACGCAGTACTAATAATCCGGCCCAATAGGTACTATGTAAACCTGCACACAGGACAGTCACAATGGGAACGCCCCGACCGACCAGCCCAGCCTAACGGCCCTGCACCACCTCCCAACGGCCCACCCCCCAGCTACGATGCCAGCACAGGTCGCAGGACCCCAAACAATGACAGAGGCTCCCCGTGGCCGCCGAACCGCGACAGCCGGAGCCCCTATCCCCCGCAGCCTGGCTACGGCTACAACAATAACAACCCGTACCCGCCCCAAAACTACAACACCCCGCCTCCGCAACCCAACGCCTACAACCAGTATCCCAACCAGTACCCCAACCAATACAACAATCCATACCCGAATCAATATCAGAACCCCTATCCGAATCAATATCCCGCGCAGTACGCTCAGCCGCCCATGCAGCAGCAACCACAGCCCCAGCCGGAGCAGAAGAAGAAAAAGCGAGGGCTGGGGATGGGTGGCGCCGCGGCATTGGGTATCGGGGGTGGCCTGCTGGGAGGGTTGCTTCTGGGCGAGGGGATTGAGCATCTGGAGCATGATTTTGATGGACCGCCTCCTGGGGATTTTGGCCCGGGGCCTGATTTTGGTCCGGGGCCGGATGATGGGTTCTGGTGAGGGTGGCGTGTTGATGGGCTGTATAGCGAATCCTTTCCCGGATAGGATAATGTTCGTGGATAGGGGGTCACATTACAAAGACAAGTTTGGAGTTCGTGACGGGATTTATGGACTATGTTTATGAAATTTCAATGATATCCTTGAAGAGAATGGAGACCATCGAATGTAAAGAACCCACAGTGATCATTACTATGAAGCATTCTTCTGAGCGATGGTTACTATTCTTGTAGACGTTCTATTCCCGCATAATTTATGTCTGTTCTTGTTATCTTTCAACCTTACCAAATCTTCCAAAATATTAATAAGTGTAAGATATTCATAAAGACATAATACTACCTAGTTTTATAGAACCCTTCGAGCGTAGCGCTTTTCTTCACATGATACCAGTCTTCGTCGTCCTCCTGTAAGCATAGACTGTCCTTGATAATTCTCTTCTTTTGTGTTTGTCTTTGATCTTTCTCTACAGTGTGTATTTTCAGAGAAGCCTTCATCTTAGCGCTGGCTCTACGATTACACACTTGGGAGGTCTTTGGACGGTGGTTACATCAGAGTTTTTTGCGGAAGACAATTCCGGGGGGGCATGAGGTTAGTATGTCATAAACTCCGCAAAATCTGAGTCATTGAGGCTGCAATAGGCCGAGGGAAAGACATAAATATCACCGGTCGTAATCTCAAATAGTACGACTCCCCATCAAGCCAACAATGTTCCCCCAACTCGACTAGCATGCCCTTCGCGACGCGATGGATAATCCAAGGTCCCCGACTATGGGCCTCTTAGAACGCAACTCTCAACCCGTCCCAAGCGATCTGATACAGAATTCACATCCAATGGCTCACAGGACCTTCCGTATCCCCGAGATCCTCGAAATCATCCTGCTGGGTCTGGACACGAAGACACTGCTCCTTTCGACGCGAGTGTGTCGCACGTGGAACGCCCTCATCAGATCCTCCCCAGGCATCCAGAAGGCACTATTTTTCCGTCCAGCCGATCCTGTACCCGGCCAGGCCAAAGCCAAGAACCCCCTCGTATAGGAAAAGGTCTGGCACGACTTTCTCCACCAGCGCCTCTTCTCGCGTCTCGTAGGTGCCGCCTACTTCTCCGCCTTTCCACTGATCGCATCGGAAGAGATTGACAAGGCCTATTTACGCCCCGAGGCAAGCTGGCGCAGGATGCTGCTCCAACAGCCCCCGACCTCATTCGTGTATGATTGGAATATCGCTAAAGTATACTTGCCCCGCGACAGCACTCTGGATCCTGGAGGCATTGATTGCACCCCGGACGGGGACTTTGTTCGACTGCAGCATGTCGCGGCCTATATTCATTCCGACTTCCTCTTCCCCGGCGTATATCCGTCGATTTTCTGGGCAGATGATCCAGCCGTGCCGTCGGTTCGTCGCACGGTTGAAGTGAGAAACACCGGCTTTTTTCTCTGGCACTACCAGGAGCAAGACTTCATTGTCATCACGCAAAGGATGTTCTGGGCTCGTCACCCGTCTGTAATTCTTCCGCCTTTGAACCGGGTCGCGTTACGTTCGCCGGGTGTTTGGAAGCGGGTGATCAACCTTGCTCAGCAGCACTGACCCGTAGGGATGCAGGTGTAGGGATGCCGATAGCTGACTCTTTAGATTTTTTCGTAGAATCCTTGCTCAGAAAAGAAGTTTGACTTGTTAAGATGGAGATGTGCGCGTCGCTTTCGTCCTTGCGAGGCCAGTTGGCGGCGCGAGTCCGTGGCCAGTTGGCGGCGCGAGTCCGTGGCCAGTTGGCGGCGCGGGGCGGCCCAGTTTGTATGGGGGACGGCGCCCCTGGGAGCCGCGCCTGCGCCGCGGAGGGTTTGCACGCGCCTCGCGGGCCCGGCCGGGGCCGGTGGTGCGGCAGGGGGGAGGGCCGGCGGGGGCGGTCCGCCAGTTGGCCCGCCGGGGCAGCGCGGTGTGCGGCCGGGCGGGGGCGGCGGGCCTGGGGCTGGGGCTATGGGGGATTTGCTTCGCAGGAGAGAGTACTTTCTGTGAGCTTGGATGTGATTTTCTGCACAGGCTAATGCATTCAATTTGGTACTTTTCTATTCTGCGCGTATACATGTTTCACTTCCTAATTTTGTAGATTCACCTCCTTTGTCCTTGCCATGCCGCAATGATTCCGGCGCAGAATAATATCACTAGTTCGAGATATGCTTAACATAACACTATTGCGAGGTAAGTAACAGAAATTAAGTACATAGAGTACCCAGACTCTCTTGTATATCCGTCTTGTTTTCTTCCTCAAGAATTCCCAGATTTCTCCTGGACTATTCAGTCTCGCCATTGAGGATAACTTCGGCGCAGGACTTGTAGAACTCGTCACACGTTAAGTGAGATACACGGAGTCATTTCGCCTTATTCCGTTAGGGCTGTAAATCTTGCACTGTGGAACGCTCTGGTATCTTTTTACCTTCTTGTTCTTCAGTCGATATGAACCTCATAGTTAATGGACTTTCTCGCGTTGAACTCTGCCATTTTTGGAGTCTTGTCGGTATGGCTATATGCCCATGTAGTCTTTTTGCAGCTGATCCTGTACAGCTGGCAATGCACCTTGCATGTACTCCTCAATCTCCTGGGCATATGGAGGGTTAGATGCTATGAGCCTCGTCTTGGGCGACAGGACTTCCGGGGCTTCGATATCATTAACAAATCTTAACCGATCTAGGTTTTCAATCTCGTCATCTAAATTGACATTCCAGCCGCTCTACTACCACAATTCTTGGTATATCCTGTGTCTGTATACACCAATCCTGCTGTAGTATATGTCAACTGTCTGTTCCTTTTTTTGGTGATTGAGCATGGACAAGCTTACCGTAATACCTTATCCATCCAGCAGTACTTGACGCGGCATGTCTCGCACTCTGGACTTCTTCATTGGTCACATGTATGTGTTTAGCACCAGTGCTTTAGTTCTCTGTAATGTACTAAGGCGCTACATATCTCTTGTCTGACACTGAAACCAGCCGAAGATCAGAAAGCTTTCAACCTGAGAGAGAGAGATTAGTAACCACGGAATCCACTACTAAATGCAAAATGCAACAGATATCAACGGGCAACAGAATCCGGAACACGCAATGGGCCCCATCTCCGGCTGAAGAAGCAGTAGGCCGCTTGCAAACAATTCTTGCACTTCCGCCCGATTTTCTACTGATACAGTCGCGGAACGCCCTTTTGTCGGAGGGCCGCGACAGTATCTATCCACACGCCTGGTCAAGCGCTGGTCACCGGCCAACCCGAGACACGAGGATACCCTTACAGAGCTTGACTAGAATAGCCAGTTGCGTATATTCCGACTAGTCACTGTACAGTACAGACTGTACAATAGGCTTGCGGATTCACGGCCGCTCGCGACTAGACAGGGGCTGCCTGCCTGTCCAGTGGAAAAAACCGGATATAGTACAACTACAGGTACTGACTCCTTGCGGCTGGTGAAGAACGCTGCGAGGGTAGCTGAATAAGTTTCGAAGCAAAAAGTTTCAGATGCAAGTAGCAAAGAATAGCCCTCCGCTCTGTAGCTCTGGCAAGTAGGCTTATTGTGGCATTCTCTTTCAACTCCTTTGATGCTGATATGTCCCTGGTGAGCCCGGATGTCATGTTCGGGCGGCTACACTTCCCCTTCTTGAGCTATTTCTCAGGATTGGTTTCGATATCCGCTAAGTTGATAACTGACTCCTCGTTATCATCAAGGATTACCGCGAGGTTTGAGCAGAGAACAAGGCACCTTGCTCTTCTTCTTGTTGCTGATCCTGAACGACCCTGGGTGTGCCCACTGAAGGTTAGGGAAGTATAGGGATTATGGGCCCGTGAGTCGCAGGGAACACAATAATGCTTTGTATGAGTAGAACATATTACACAGCCCTGGACCGAAGATCGCTGGCATCGCGGATTGGGAGGGGAGCAACAGGTGGAGGCCACGCGGTCCTCTGGACACCAGTCTGGTCTTTTGTTCGTTTGTGAAAGTTTGTGAAACATTCTGAGGCTGTTTTTGTGGTTTGTCAAGCATATTTCAGATACAGAAATATAAATAAAGAAGACTTTCAGTCGAAGTTGGAAAAGCCTCCGGCCTTCTTTGCAGGAGTTGTTTATTGGCAAGGATGGATGATAAGAAGAGAGAGAAGCTGGGAGAGAGAGAAGAAAAAAAAAGATGAAAGGCTGGAAGAGATGTAGGTGAGTTCTCAATGGAGTATGGTGAATCACGATGCTATAGTCAGTGAATATTCAGCTTGGAAGAAGAGTAGAAAATGGCTCAATGGATCTGTGAATCAAGCCAGTGGATCTAGTTAATAGGTCTCTTTTCAGGAAAGATAAATGTAAGTGAAGAAGTATTGTCTATCAAAGGTTCCTGTGTGAATAAATATCATTCTCTCTACCCCTACGCCCACCTCTCTTCCTTGTCCCACCTCTCTTCCTTCTTCCACCTCTCTTCCTTCTTCCACCTCTCTTCCTTCTTCCACCTCTCTTCCTTCTTCCGCCTCTCTTCCCATCTTACATCCTTCTTTACCTATTTTCAACTCCTGCAACCCATGGCATAAGCTATAGTCTAGCATCTAGCTAGACTGCTATTCATGCTGTACTGGGATAAATACTTCTTCATGAAAGCTGAGATCATATCCCATTGTCGAAGGTGCCTATACATAAATATCTTACTAAATCATGTGCTTGCCAGCTACCATGATGACATCGATTAGGCATCGCTTAAAAGTATTTGTTCATGAAGGCTTTCCTGCAACCACAAGCCACAAACCCGCAGCTGGCGCCCTGAGAAAAACCCTGCCAGATTGAGGCATAACAGCTAGCTATGGCTGGAAATTCGTCGCCATTACCCTGAAGAACGCAGCTCACGCCAATAATTACACCCCTGGTCTCTCGGTTTACATGGTGTATCCAAATAAGCATGAATCAAGCGCCCCTCTTGCCTCCGGAGTGGAAGGCCTAATTGTGCCGCTTCGCTATCTCCTCAACTGAACAGGCAAGTTGCGCCTGTCTATGAGAGACTCCCAGCTCATATACGCATTCATATAAAACCACGAAGAAACAATTCTCTTGAAGCAGGAGATGCCTCCCGCAAACAAAATACAGCACTGTGCCCTATATCTCTGAGGTGATCCGAAGGTCCAACACTCAGAGTATGACTTTAAGACAGTGCTCCTTCCATCTGGCAGGAGAGTTGGTACGAGATTCTTGACGTCCTCCTGAAATGTTGACTGCGTTATAGTATACCTGGTTGAAAATATCTATGAATATTGAGCCGATAACCATTGCTTGATCAGAAGAGGGAAGCTGCTAAGAAGTATAGACACTCCGCTTCACAACTGGCATGTGAGGCTGACTGTGCGCGTTGCTTTCCGTCTAGCCTTGAAAATGTCCTTCACTTCCATTATCGACTTGCGTGACATCCGCGTCATCTGGGAGTTGTCCACCGATACCGCCATTCCCTCAAATCCAGCCTCCCCCTTAAACTGGATCTTCTATACTAGGCAGACTCGTTGCCTGTTCATCCTGCCCGGGTTATTTCCGAGATTCTCGCCTTCATCATTAAGATAGAAAATGGCTCCTGTATGTGCTCTCTATTCTTTGCTGCTCTGCCTTGCCCAGTCCAAGTTGATGCTAACCAAAGATTCTGTTTGCAGGTCGCTGTTCCAGTTAATCCTATTTTTACTGACGGGACCGCAGACGCCTGACGCACAACGCGTAGTCATTTCTGGAGTCCGGCTAGGAAGTATAAGATGTATCAGATTGATACAGAACATACACCCATCACGGATCAGAAAGCTATTCCCTGCGTTTTCCTTCAGCGCAGCCTCTACCTCTGGGAGTAAGCCATTCTTCTTCACAACTAAATAACAGCTTACCAGCGTCGATGCAAGCCTTACCTCAACGACACAACACCCTGGTAGAAGCTAGTACATGATCCTCACGCAACGAAAGATGAACTGACTCAGTTTCTGGAGGTCACATAGCCTGCTCCGGGCAAGTAGGCTTTCGCACACGGCTTAGCTAAGAATGCAACCGGCTACTTCAACAGGTTATGAGCCCTCATGCCAACCAAAATTATCGAAAACGACACAAATTTATCCAAAACAATATTGAGAATACAGACACGTTGGAGAAAAACTCCAGTGGGAATTTAATTTTACTACCGCAAAGTGGTGGAATAATGTCCAGGACATCCTCCAATCGTACGTCACGGCGCATAAATACTCTAACTAGCAAGGCCAAACAACAAGCTACATACCTTGAGACCAAGAGCCAGACCCCGAACAATGGCAGAGTCTATCCTTGTTTATCCGCCAAGACAAACATGCCCCCATGCCAGCCATATGCCCGATTCAGGCGGCGGCCAATCCGTCGAGCCATGGTATATGGCATTTTTCCGCTAGGGTGCGGTTCATGGAACTGGATACTTCGTTCCACATTGAAACCCGTGGGCTGGAACTGCCAGACAGAGCCGTAAAGCTGGATGCCCGCGAAACCGATCGACTTCATAGCATGAAGAAAGTCATTCCAACGCACCTCGCCCGGCGTCGACGTCAGCTCTGGGTCATGAAACAGACTCCGAAAGACCTTGAGGGAGCGCGCATCCACGGAGAATGCTGGCTGAGTCTCTGCACATCTGGGTTCCAGGGGCGCTTCGGCGTCATGATCCTGTGTGGAGGCGGACCGTGCTGTTCCGCGAGTTTTGACCTTGGTCTTGGGTCGCTGAGCTGTGCTATTTTCATCGGCACTACTTGGAAATAGCCAATTGGGCAGAAATGAAGTATACGGATTGGTGCTATCGCTCTTGGACTGCGATGCGGGTTGCGGTCGAGGCTGAGGCGTGGGCTCCTCCCATTCTGGTGTCCGTTGCAGCCTGCGCGATTGAGAGAAAAGGACCTCGTGCGATGCGGTGCCTGGCAGACTGTCCGCCAAAGCCTCGTCAATCAGCCTCCAGAACGCATCCAATCTGGCTTCCGCCTGCCGTAGTATCTCCACGTTCTCCTTGGTCCGGCGCTTCTCAATCGGATACGCGAATCTCCCTCCAGACGGGTCTCCCAGAACGGCAGCCTGACTGGCGTCTTTCGTCCCGAGAATCGCTTCATTAATCCTGTCAGTGATCTGACACATTGGCTGAGTCGTTTTCTTGTAGTCTTCTTCAAACCACTTGCGCGCCACGCTACTGTGAACCCAGCTTCGCGCCCATGGCTGATACAGTACCAATTGCTCGAGACACTTCGCAAGGATCGAGAGATCGCCGATAAGGCCAGCCAGCCAAGGGGTGATCAGATCTCGTGCCCCTGGCTCGTTCTCGAGCAGGCGTTCGACCTCATCCATTATCAACGGCGCACCGGCTAGTGTCAATACCAGCTGGTTATCGAACATGTTCTCAAGCAGCCAGAGCAACTTCTGCTCCACAGCCGTGGGTTTGGCTCCAGGTCTTGCCCCGACGGCACCTTGTGGAAAGTCCGGATCGTGGGGTTGTCGGCGGACGAAGAATCTGCGGAAGGGCGGGGAGGGACGGAAGGTCGCTCGCAGCATGTGCAGTGGATCGGCGATTGCTTTGTGCAGGTCGTGACGAAACCGTAGCAAAGCGGTTAGGAACTCCTCGGGTAGATCCTGCGATGGTGAGATCTGGGCTGCATATTGGTGCTGCAGGGATACCAAAGTCCGGGCTTGTTGGCTTAGCTCGGTAAAGGTCTCAACATTCACGTAGGCGTTGCCAACCACGGGCGCCAAAACCCGCCCCCAGAACACGTTCTTCCGGCTGTGGCTCAGATCGGAATGGTCGCGACCCCGCAAATCCTTCAGCATTTCGGGGCGATGCTCTTTCACGTCGAGGACGGCGCTGGCAAAATATTCGGGGTCTTCGCGTAGGGCCCAGAGGTGGTCTTCCGCGGCCGAGGTGCGGGCTGTAAGGAGCGACTCGATGCGACTCAGGTCGAGCTGTGCAGGCACACGATAGGGACCTTCTGCTGCCATCAGTCTTAGAGATTCAAAGACGCTCAGTTCACTCTCAGACTTGATATGTGGCGGGGGGAGGATGGAGAAGGAGTCGAAGTCGTCCACGGGAATATCTGGAAGCAATTGGCGGCAACACTGCACAAGGAAGGTCAACAGTCTCGCCTGAGCTTCTAGAACCAGCAGGCCGTGCCCCGGCGTGAATTGCTTGAGTACCTTGCGCCCAAACCCTTTATCATCATCACAGAGGACAAGCTCGCCATACTGGCGAGTGTTCTCATCGAACCCGTTCAGAGCCATGTAACAAGTACTCTCACCCATCAGGTAGTCTGGAACAAGCATTTGGCTCACCAGCCCAAAATTCATGGCGACCGCGTCGGCCGCCGCAAAGCTCGATGGTGGGTAACGGCCTCTGGAGTTGAGAAGCAACAATAGGGCCTTGGGGCTCACCAGGTCCTCCTGATTGATATACGGCCACACAAGGCAGTCACGGAACCGCTGTCCCCTCTCTGGTTTCCCGTTGCACGCTTTACGCCAGACATCAAGATCGGGGCGATGAACGACCGGCATATCTGGCCAAGCCTCGAGCAGGACTTTGAGTCTCTGCTGGCGTGTTCGCTTCAACCATCGCTTCGCGAGAGTGGCCTCGTGGCGCTCCAGTATCTTGTGCAGGGTGTCATAAGCGGTATAGATCGTCTCAGATCTCGCCTCGATGTCTTGTCGGACATCGCTTCCGGATCTAAGCGTCAAATTCTGTCCTTGTCTAGAGCAAGCCACAGCCCATGTCGTCATCAGCGCTGTCTCCTCAGTCCAGTCGATGTTGTCAAGGACGTGATTGATGTCATCGGTAGCCTGGACGTGCTGCAGATGATAGTCCGATTGATCATCCGTTGTTGAATCCATTTTCGAAGACCGATATCGATTTTCTTTCTGGCTATCAATAACCCGGTGTTGTGGGATTCGAGTTCGAATTTGTCTTCCTATGGACCTTTATATACTGAACGAGAACATGTGACCGCCTGCCCTGCCGCCTGGTACTGCCGCGTGCCCTAAAGGTGATCTTCACAAAGATCGGGAATTAGCGTGAACATTTCGCCACAGGAGCGGAGAATCACACACAGACTACAAAGTGAAACAACCATACATCCCTCTTTCTGGTGACTATCATGTTGCTGGACCATTTCTTTGTACCTTCCAGGTGTTTTACTCTTCCGACCACTCACACCCCTACTCTGATTCTTGCCCCTTTTCTACCCTAATCCGGACGATGGAGCCATCTCATAGAATGGTGATGTGGCCTCTCTCGACGTCGCTTCTACATACTAAGTATCATGTTGTGGGGCACAAGAATGGGCAGCTAGCACAGTACATGGATGACAACTATGGCCGATATGGCTTCCTCACCATCTACGAGAGGACCTGGTTCGTCAAGCGTATCGGTGACATACACTTCGCCATGTCACCTCCAGTTAGCGGTAAGGCTTATTCCTCGCTACCAAAGTCTCTTTGAGGGACTGCTTTCTGGCAACTGCTTTGAGGGCGGCAGATGCTACTGGGAGTCGGTACAAGCAAGACTCTGGTCTTAATCTGGTGAGCTTCTGACCCTTTCCAATCCATAGCCTTATTGCAAAGTTTCCTTTGAATAGACGCTCCGCGCAACTCGGCCACTGGAAATGTTGGAATGCCAGCCAATGGATCTTACACTTCACTTGATAGCACGATCTCTTTCAGCTCAATAGGCTAAACAGCCAAGGGCTTATACCCATCGAAGTTCAGATCTGGCCGAATGGTGATGGTAAGCGCGGTCGTTGCCACCGACATCCGGTGTGAGGCTTACCGGAGCAATAATATCGACCCCGTTCTATGCGGGTCACCACGACGGGAGATTATGCGGGAATCCAGCAAGTGGTACGACTCCCGACTGAGCACTGCTGGAAAGCACAGGTGCAAACAGAAACTCGATGAAGCCCTGGAATTGCCTAAGGAATACAGTCGGAAATCAGGAATCAAGACTCGAAGCAGATCGCAAAAGACTGGCGCAAGCCAAAGAATGTGAACGCAAGAAGCGTCCAGAATCTGCCTCCGACCCGGACTTCCCCGGAGCCACAACCCGAGTTTGATTTCCACCATGTCACAGTCTTGTGTTTCGATAATGCGGACCTTACCGACCAGCTGGCACTTGACGCCTGGATGAGAGACAGACACTTAGCAGAGAAGCTAAAAACTCAAAGCTACGGCTGCCGCGGGAACTGGGTATATGCGAAAGACTAAACAGCATATCAATTTCTTCGGAGCGAAGATGATAGGGACAAGAACGGAGCCACAGGATGGCAGACTTCCGCGACCAGCCTGGACCGGAAACTATCTAAGCAGGACGCAAAATGTGTCGCACACGACAAGTGCGAGAAGTTCCACATTCTTGTGGACTACTCAACACTGGAAATTGATGCCATCGCTTTCAACATTTCACGGTTGGCCAAAGACGTCACCCTTGATAATGGCCATCTGAACATAGGGCCGGATGCAACAACATGAAGGAACGACCTGCTAAGAGCAGTAGCCTCTCGGAGCGAAGCACCCAGGTAGTCAGTCAGCAAAGACCTGGTGATGCAATCCACTACTAAACTCGATGACAAAGACTATCCCAAGGCGGGTTGAATACTACCCTTTAAAAGAGGGGCTGGGACATCAACCCCGATGACGATAACGGTGACTTAGATCGCCTTACCGTTGACAAGAGTATCCAGCCTGTGGAAGATCGTCCAGTGAAGCCGGGCTTCTTGATCTTAGTCCACCACTCTTTCTTATATAGAAGAACACATGCAAGATGCCAGTGCAACCTACGCAAAGTTGTCAGCAAGCCATCTGTATGCCCAACAGCTGCGAAGACAACAAAGAGTTCCTAGCAACATAATTGACGGTGAGCAAACCCCTCGGCGTTGGAAATCCCGATTGGCTAATAAATAAAAAGACCAGGAGAGTGTTGAAGAATTGCCAGACGAAGCGAGTCAGCCGCCCCCCCGTAAGAAGGTTCAACGGTAGAATGGGAGCTATCTTTCGCGACAAGAATCCCAGACTTTCTTCGCAAAGCACTGTGCCCTCAATAACGAACCTAGAACCCTCATCAACTCAAATGACTCGAATGGAGTGAACAACGCTTCTCTTAAAGACCTAAAGCAGGAGATAGTGACACTGTATAGAGAATACCAAGTACAGCTGGCGCCAGGCCTGGTCGAGAAGTTCGGAGATTAAGAATACTTTCATTTCCTGAATCTACTGAGAACAACTCTTGTGTGTCGGGTCATTTCAGAAGCAAAGGTTTGCACCGGGATAGCTATTTGTCGGCTATATCAGCCAAGCATATGTTGCCAATCACAAATACCACTTACTAAGAGAGCCATAATGATAGAGCATATCAATAAGCCAGACGTGCCTTGCAGACGGTTGCGTTGAAAGCAGACACGCGCACATATCGTCGAAATAATAGGCACGTTTCTTTCTTTGTGGTCGTCAAAGTTATCTGGCCGATGCGATCAGGCTGAAATTCATTGTATAGAGCAATATGGAAGAGCTGCTACCCTGGAGCGTGCGATTGGCTTTCATGTTGAAGATTCCAACGGGGATCAGAGTGACCGTCCGTTCTCACTAGGGATCCTTGGTTACTGCCCTGATTGGCGACCTCATGCGTCCATCACAGGTTTTCTTTCGAGGAAATGATGACATCGCGAGAGAAAAGAAAAAGAAAAATGGATAGAGAAGAAAGTCTCCAATCTGTAGACATAGATTGCACATTTCTGGCGTAATTCCCAGAGAGTCACGATACTATTGGCTATAGTCAGCAACATCTTGCTTCATCCGTGATCTTCTCTCTGCTTTCCATCTATTTATTGACTCTATCTATTCATCAACTCCATCATCCAGCAACTTCATACTTCCAGCAATTTCATCATCCATCTTCATCATTCAACACCCCAATCCGCAAACCCCCCTCCCATCTATCATCTCCATCGCAAAACCTTATCACCTTCACTCTCCCTACTCTATCCACAAGCCAACATGTGTGCTCCCATTATCCGCGAACCCTTCGAACACGAGGAGGACATAGAAGAGGACGAAGACATCCGCGACAGCGACCCCATCAACCAAGAGGCCGCGGCGCTGCGAACGTGGAGAACGGGCACAGCCCCACCTATCTCCAACCGGCCTGACCAGGGAAGTGAAGAAAATTACAGGGACATGGATGCAGAAACCAGAGATGGCCAGGGTGGAAGGGAGAGCCAACCTGATAGTAATCGAGCTGGCCGGTTAGAAGCATCGTCTCTTCCCAGAGATCTGTTCTCTTTTTCGAGCCCGCATTCTGGGCCAAATGTTGGGATAATGATTCGGCATAGCTCTGAAGGTGAGGAGGATGATTCTGATGAGGAGGAGGATGAACAAGAAGAAGATGAAGGTGTTGAAGAGGATGAAGAGGATGAACAGGAATATGGCGACGCTGACAGCGACCCTGGCCACCACCAACACCGATATGGGGAAGATGAATATGTGTGCATCACCCCCGAGTGCCCTGAAAGACTTCTCCTCATTCAAGAACGACTAGGGATCCGCCGTGACTTCTTCTGGGACGCGATGGTGACAATGCATAACAAGTATGTGCACTTGTTGGATGTGTCCGAGATGGGGGACGTTGCGCGGGGACACATTCGTCAGTGACATCCCCGTCCCCTGACCCAGAACCAAATCATACTAACAAGTGGAGTATGCCAGCTTCTGAAAAGCCGTGGGAGAGTGAAGACGCGCGACTGGAGTGGGCAGGGTTCTTGAATCGAATACCTGAATTTGTTTGCTGTGATGCCGGTAAGTCTTGGCTGCTCTCTCTTGCCTTCCCTCATACACTTATACCGTTCAACATTCTGATCATATGCTGATTCTACACAGACAACAATCTACCTTGCAGCATAGACGATATCAATGACTTTGACGCCCTGCGGGCTTGGATGCTGGAGCTGCTGCCCTGGGTAGTTGAGTCACCCCCTTTGCCTATAAGGTTAGCCTCTAGAGTACTCAACTTTTAGCACTGCTGGACTGTTCAACTCGCGATTGGTGGCTACTCTGGAAGGCAAGATGTCATAGACTGGACTGGTTGGGTATGTGTATAGAGGTTGGGGAGTACTGCAGCTTCTCTTGGCGTGCAATAGGCGCACTCATAGAAAAAGCCATATCATGTCTAGGAATAAACTGCCTTTTATCTCGCAAACAGGAAAATGGCAACAGGCTACTGCTTAGCGAGGTCATGATCATAGAATCCACTCACTCCTTGGTGTATGCTTTTGAGGGCTACCATACCGTGCTGAAAGCAACCCTATAACCCCATCCTGTATCCGCACGGCAATCCGGGTGGGTCACAACGGGAATCGAACGCCCTACTCCGTACAGAAAACGAAGTGACTGGAACCACAGGGTAAAAAGAAAAATGTAAAGCCCAACGCGGGGGTTGAACCCGCAACCTTGAGATTAAGAGTCTCACGCTCTGCCGATTGAGCTAGCCCGGCTGGGGTGAAGGAAGAAAGAATCGGATTCTATAGCCGAACGCGGGGGTTGAACCCGCAACCTTGAGATTAAGAGTCTCACGCTCTGCCGATTGAGCTAGCCGGGCTGGTTGGTGATTGATGCTTGCAGCTAAGATAACATACCCTTCATTATTGCATACAATGGTGTGCATACCCGCCGATTCCAGATGCACTTGGTTCAAACGCTAGAATCCATCCCTTTGTATAGGACTGTAAATTGATGTTGCTGGTCACGGTATAACTTACTAGCGCCTGTTAGATAATGTTTTCCTGTTGGCTCTAATATCTGCAGTGGGTGGGTAGCCATGCGCTGAGGGGAAATGACCCTGCAGTGTGTCGTGAGTGAATGTAGCCCAGGTCCAGCTGGTTTTCAAACATATATTCACCAGATGGCTAGAACCATGTCCGGCCTAACAGCCCCCATTTTTTTTCTCTCTAAAGCAAAATATCTTCTCACCGTGCTCAACTCATCGATTGTGGTTGTTTTAAATCTCCATGTCTACCTAGGCATCTCAATATTCAAACGCGAGATACAAGAACATCGCCATACCGGACTCGAGCACAAGCTATTTCCTTGCCTGACACTGGTGGACTCACATCGCATACCGCCACTTAATAGTCATTGTATCTAGGTGTGACAACTGATATACTTCTTCTTAAGAAAATCAATGGAGATGATCCGTGACGCCAATACCAAACCCCACGTCTGCAATCTTGTAAGTCTATAGGATCTGTACTACCTATCAGTCAGACCCACTATATAACTCCGAGTCGAATCCCTCAATACTCAAACTTCAATCGTAGTACGGCAAGCTACTCGTGCCAATTTGCAATAACCCAACTTCTATACTATTTTTGTATATATCAGCTTTACTGCCCAATATACCGCTTTCCCCAAAAACCCACCCTAATGTGAAAGCTTAATATAGCAATACCTTCGGCCTAAGATGTCCTAAAACCCTAATACCCCTAATAATCCTAATATAACTTGTTTTTAGTAGCCTTGTAAAGAGGCGGGTGTTCTTAAAGCAGCAGGGGGGCTTAGAGATTTTAAGGGAAGGGCCTACCTGAGAGGTGCTCAAAGAGGTGGTTGGTAAGGCTTCGAAATACCAGCGGATTTGAGGTTATTGCAGATTGGCACGAGTAGCCCACCGTGCGTAGTGTTGTGCTACGGTTAAAATTATCCCGAAGTAAGCTTCGCCTCAGATGCTTCCAGCACTGCACTTATCTACAACAAACATAGCCCTCCTACCATGCCCAAAAGACCAATCTATTAAACCTCCCGCCGCCGCCGAAACTGCACCATCGGCCCATCCCTAATACTAATATAACTATCCCACAGCCCAAACACCTCCCTCTCCTGCTCCACCACTGTGTCATCACCATCACAAGCACCACAACTACCCCCCATGACCCCCGTCCGATCCCCCTCGACCAACCTCAAATCAAACGACCACACCGTCCTCGCAATAACCAAGTACAACTCCAACAACGCAAAGTTCTTCCCGGCACAACTCGTCGTCCCCACCGAAAACGGCAAACAACTCGCCCTCGCCCTCGCCACTTCCTCCGCATCGACTCCCGCCGCGGGATCCACGACCCACCGTTCAGGACGGTAGACGTCCGGATCCGGGAAATAATCCGGATTGCGATAAAAGCTCCAGTGCGCGACGCCGACGGTCGTGCCCTCGGGAATAAACTCGCCGGCGATGGTGATCCCGCCTGCCAAAACAGTGCGGGGCAGCTCCGACGACCCGGCCGGGGTGATGCGCATGGCCTCGTCGACGCAGGCGCGGAGGTACGGGCACGACGAGAGAAGAGCGGGGCCGCCGCGAATCTCGTTGGCCGAGGGGAAGGTGGACCGGATTTCGGACACTAGCTTGCGGTAGGCGTGCGGCGTGCGGACGATGTAGAAGAAGAAGCCTGCCATGATTACGGAGGTGGTGTCGGAGCCGGCGATGGTTAGCATGATGGCCTCCGCTTCGAGGGCCGCGCGCGTGTAGCCGGGGAGCCCGGTGGCCGGATCTTTGGCGCGCAGCAGGTAGTGTAGCATGTCTGGCCGAGTGTCCCCGTGGGCTTCGAGCTCGAGGCGCTGCGCGAGGGATTCGTCGACGAAGTTGTAGAGGAAGCGCACGTTGGGGGGCGTGATTTTATTGAGCACCCAGTCGAGGCCGCGGGGTTTGAGCCAGACGAGGGCGTTGAGCCACGGGCAGTGGCCCAGCTGTTTGGATTCAGCACATCAGCTAGCGCGTTAACAGGTTATGCAGTAATATGGACATACTGGATATAGTATGCGTAGGAAGAACGCGATGATGTGTGGAATCTGCCGATACTCATTGTCCCCGGGTTCTTTCGTGTTCACAGCGCGCCCGAAGCAGAGATCACACAGTACATCCAAGACCAGGTAATCGCACACCTCGGACATCTTTCTGGGCTCTGACCAGTCCGTGCCTTCGTCGTCGACGAGAAGCTCACACCAACGGGCCACGTGTGACTCCAGCAGCGGCTCCATCGAGCGGAGGGATTTATCGGAAAACACCGTGTTCAGGACTCGTCGTTTCCGAGCATGCAGGGAGGGGTCGGTGCCTGTGAGCGTACTCTGATCATTCTTGTGCCGTGTCATCATGTCATAGAACTGAGATCGCTTGACATTGGCTCTGGCGTTGAAGATGTCGCGATAGGCCTCGGGTGTCTTGAAGAGCAGCCCATCGGGGCGGAAGCGAACCACTTCGCCATAGATTTCATGGTTGCGGGCAATCCAAAGGTGTCGTTTCCCGGTCAGCGACCAGTAAAAGTCGGGCAAGGACGATATCCTTGCAAAGAAAGGCCCCGAGAATTTGGCCAAAGGGCTGAAGTGCAGGTTGTACACAACCAAGCCCACTGTCTATTTAGAGGCGTCAGGATCCGGCGCTGAAGGGGCGGATAGGGGGCCAATCGGAGGAGTCAACAACTAACATAGCAGAGTAACAGGCTGGTGGTAGCCAGGATCCAGTGGTCTGACACCAAATTTGCCAGACCAGCGACGAACATGTTTGCGCGCACTGTGTTTGCCGGCAGATGTTCCTCGGAGCTGACGCGAAGTCAATTTTATACGCTGACTCCCTTGCCGACAGGTCAGGTTGGGCCCCCACACAAATTCAGCCAGACACGAGGCTTTTGCATATCCGCCACTCTTTCAGCTGAGAGGAATTCTTGGTGGCGCAAGAATGCTTGGCGAACACCTATGGCGTTCGTATCTGAGGGGCGGCGTCGGCTATTCCGGCCAAGCCTTGGGCAGATGATCCTCCCCGGCCGCTTCCTAGCCCTATTTTTGCTTTTTAGTCTGCAGAGATGTGGGGTCCCTTCAGCTTAGCCGCAACCATTGTAGACCCAAAGTCGGTCCAGACTTCGGACTTTCGATCACCAGTCCGAATATAAATCATGCACATCGCCGCGATGAGCATCTCGATGGAAAACCGTGTTCCGCAGCGATCAAAACGACCCCACCATCATGCCGCTGTTGAAATCAGACCAATCTGTCGTCAAACCAGAATGCCGTGCACTATACGACCAGATATGGCACGCAACTTCACGGACACTTGAATTGGCACAGTCGGCACTGATGCAACCTTCACCACTCTCATTGACTCTCGAGGAACGAACGCAACTCACCTATCGAAGAGCAAAGGCTTTGGCGGATGCACATAGTACTACCCACCCCCCTCCCCCCCATGCCATATTGGAGCAACGTGACTGACTGAAATAGAGTTGACGGTGAAGGATGTGGCGTACTTGACCCCGAGTTTCTGGAAGCTACACACGGACATGATCGGTGCTATGGACGGTGGCGCGGTCACCCTGATCAGCATCCAGTATAACCTTTTCGTCGGCACGGTCGCTCCATTTGCTGCCACAAGGCCTGACTTGGCAATGATCATGCAGCAGGCGATGAAATTCGATATCTCGTGCGTGCCCCACCCTCTTCTCTTCGATTGATCCTTCGACGGAGCTAACTCATCGACCACTTTTTAGTGCACAATTCATGCTTACCGAAGTTGGGCATGGCCTAGACGCACGGAATCTCGAAACCACAGCGACCCTGCTTCCAGACGGTGGCTTTGAGCTGCACTCGCCGTCAAAGGCTGCTGCCAAGTGAACAACCCCGAACCAAGCTTCTTCCGAGTCAGTACTAAGACCTGCACGCAGATGCATGCCACCGTCCACCCCTCGCAGCGGCCTCCCCACTATTGCTGTGGTCATTGCCCGGCTGATGGTCGAGGGTGAGGACAGAGGAATCCGTCCGTTCCTTGTTCCCGTTTCAGACGGAACTCAGATGTGCACGGGTATCACCTCAAAGTACGTATCCGACGGGATATAACCGATTCTCCATACTCACACCAAGGACCACGCAGGGCCCTACCACCCCGAACGGGCGCTCAACCAATTGACCACGCCTTGACATACTTCGACCGCGTGCAGCTGCCCTCGTCGGCCTTGCTAGGCAACATCGAAAAGTCTCAAAGTGAACGCGATGATTTCCTGGCGACCATCCACCGCGTATCGGTAGGGACGCTTTTCCTTTCCAGTGGATGCATCCCACTTCTGAAAATTGCCCTCTACAATGCCAGCAAGTTCAGCTTCCGACGCAAGATCCTCGGCCACGATGGGCAGCCGATGCCCGTAATTGACTTCCGCACACAACACCTCCCCATCCTCCACGCCATTGCACGAGTCCATGTCCTGCAAGCTTTCCTCATTCAGGCGGCAGTTGGATTCCGGGACCCGAAGGTCGATCCGCGGGTTCGTCACGCAATCGCAACGGCGTTCAAAGCAGTGGCTATCCACGACTTCCAGACCAGCATAAAGGCTCTGAACGAAGGTTGCGGCTGGCACGGATACTATGAGCGCAACCAGATTCTCCAAGCGGAAGTAAGCAGTGTCGTCATGTACAGCTCGAAAAGATTCTCTAACGTCATTTCTCCAGCTGGAGTTTCGTGCCGTGGGCACAGCTGAAGGCGACATCAGAGTTCTTGCCATCCGTATGTCCAGTCCCCCGTGATTGGTGATTACCAGCTGATTATCTCGTGATACAGGCCTAGCAAGCGAGCTCTTGATCGGCCGCTACCAGGTCCCACCACCAAAGGACCCCGAGAGTCTCTTAGCACAGCATGAAGCAGGCTTGTTTGCGGAGGCGAAGGAGTCGCTCGATCTCATCGGCGGGATCCATCGCAGCGAAGCATTCAACCGGGCCATCCTTCCCCTGGCCCTTCCATTAATCCAGGCCGTAGGATATCGGATGGCGATGGAAGCCGCAATCGAAGCTGACATTGACCCCAGGCTGCGGTCCCTATATCAAGCCGGGGTAATCAAGGAAGACTCCGCTTGGTTTAGTGAGCAAGGGGGTCTCAGCAGGAAGGTGCAGCGGCATATGGAATCTCAAGCGGCAGATGCAGTGCTTCCAGAATTAAAAGAGTTTGTGGAGGGCACAGGAGCGCAGTTGTATTGCACTGCACCGATGACATCAGATACCCTGTGGGACAACTTTGTCGAAGAGTTGGAGACGTTCTCTGGCAACGCAGTGTGGCCAAAACAGGCCCAATAGCGTGTGGTTAGTAATTTTCGAAGAATGAATTCATTAGTCATAATATCAGCCCAATCCCAGGTTAATACTCTTGGAGTATATAGAGCCACCTTCCCTCATCCGTCCTAGAATGACGAAGTCCCGAAACCTTTGGCTGTTGTAAGACGAATACTTCCCCGATCCACCGCCGTCATCTTCCGACAAACCAATCGCGTAAACGTCCCTTCCAGCGGCACGTTCCGCATTGACGATGCGGACAGCATCCAAGGTTTGTGCGATTGGAAAACTTCCCTCTTCAAGGATCGCGAGATCCACGCACTTTTGCAGCCAATTCTGTACTTGTAATCCGCATGTAAGATCATCACACCTGAGGACGCAAGCCAGAAGTAAACTCGCAATGCCAATTGAATAGGTATTTCTGCTAGCACACTCGATAATATCCAAGCCTGCTACAGTACGAAGCAGAACGGTCATCCAGGATGTAGTGACGGCATGGTCGTTCCCTGGCCGAACCTCTTGGTCTTCACCGGACTCTGCCCTAGAATGCAGTATTCCCGTGCATTGCATAATTCGCGCTGCACTGTAATATGCATAGTTGATCGCTGCCTCGTAGGATTGAAACAACAGTGAACGTTCAATCTCAGAAAAGCGCCCATGCAGAGGTTGGGGCAGTACATCAAGTGGAAGCTGAGAAGGATCTAGGCGAGAATGCCACTCGTCAAGCTTTCTCCCTTCGGCCTTCAATAATGACACGCATTCGTCGACGGTGCATGTGGCCAGGCTTCGCACACGGGAGTCTGATAAGACCTGAAGAGTGGCGATCGCTTTTAGCCGGTGCGATTCGCACAGAATGGATACAAGCAGAGTCTTCTGAGCATCGATCTTGCGCAGCACCTGCATCAACTGTGGCGACACTAAGAGCGACCTCTGGCTGAGCTGAAGGTTAAACGTGGTGAAGTACATTCTGCGCCACCACATATGGAGTCTCGAAGCGAGCCAGGCGGCGATGAGTTCCTTGCCAAGTGCGTCCTGGGGTAGGTGTGCAAGCTGCAAATCAATGATCTTGGCGATTCCCTGGCAATGCCATCCGAACCCTCGGAAGTTTCCCATAGCAGTCTCCATGAGGCAGAAGAGCACCAGTATGGCCAAGGTTGTCAACGGTGACGATGAAGCCTTTGCTTGCAAGGTTCTTGCAGTTTCGCCAACCGCGGAACTGTAGTACCGCTGGCTGGAGAGTTGGTGAGTACGATTGGGCAAGACGATTAGTCTGCCCTGGTTTGTGTGACCCTCAGGAGAGCGTCGACTGATGTTGCAGGCTGCTAATGCAAGGAGAGATTGTTTCAGGGCATTATCTTCGTGAAGGATAGAGTTGATGCCGTGGGAGAGACGGCCCAGAGCATCGATGCATGAGCTTTCCCAGTAGTCCAGATAGAAGAGTTCACATTCAACGCTTCTGAGGTCAATCATAGTGTCAATGTGCAGGAGAGGCTCGGCTGAAGTATGTTTACGCAACTCATCTGCAGCGCTACCAGGATCTTCTTGGGTTTGTACTTTGCAGACGCTCAACTGGACCACCTGTTTCGACTTATGGGCTGCCTCGCTAGCTTCGTGTACCCGGGCATTGGACGGTGAAGTGGACTGGTAGAATGGCTGCCATCGCACATGCGGAAGGGGTCTCGATACAGGTCGGTGGGCAGAGGCAGTCCGATTGTTGAAGCTGAAGCTGGGTGACACTTCCTCGCAGCTCTTGCCTGCACGAGTACACGCCCCGCATGATGGCTTAGTCTCATCGCACTACGGGGATCAGCGAGAAGGACGAGTTGAGCGAGTAAAAGAACGAACTTTGACGCGGCGCTGGCGACATAGCTTGCAGCCTGTACGCGAGCGGACTATGCTGGTCTTCTTCGGGCGAGGCGGTGCTGGTCTGTACATCGCACGATGTGACCAGATGACTGATTAGATGGCGCTAGTACTTCCTACCAGGGCTGCACTGACGCTTTAAAAAGGTTGCTCCGATGTAATTCAGACGAGGAGAAAGAAACCTCCTATGCAGTGCCACTATTGAAGTGATGATCAAGTTAGAATGAGGTTAGACCGAAGATCGGAGCCGAAGCGAATATCGAATGACTAAGCAGAGACTGGCCCACCTTCTGAATTCGGTGTGCGGGAGCGAGCTCACTCAGGCTGCCACTCCGGCTAACTACCTTTCTCTACTACGTCTCCTCTAGCAACTCCTTACCCGTATTCGTATATACTTCCTTTTCGGCACATCACGCATGGACTGTGGAGAGTTGTGGAGTTTACAGACAAGCTGACGATATTCAGGGATACAATCCATGCATCCTCTCCATTGTGAACGCCCTATGTCACTTTTAGCCGCGGTGACCCACTTACCAGATCCAGTGTACCGCAGCGAGAGCTGAGGCCGACTTTCAAGTTACATAACAACAGACAACTCCTCTCGGACTGTACCAAGTCTACAATATTCTTCACCTGAGCATCACTTCATAATGGACTTCCCCTCGTTCCTCACAAGACCTTCCCCCTCCATTGCGGAGCTAAAACAATTCTATGTCGGCAAAGACATCAACGACGTGCCCAAACCAGCCGTCGTGCTGGACGTGGCCATCATCAAGAGACACTGCCAGGCCATGCTAGACGCAGCTTCAGCGCTGAACGTTGGATTCCGCGCCCATGTCAAGACCCATAAAGTCAGACCCATCCCTTCCATCCCATTCCATTCCCACACCACGCTAACCGAGACCCCCCCCAGACTCCCCAAGCCACCCGCCTCCAGGTCGGCGAGTCGAGCCCAGAAGTCAAGCTGGTCATTTCCACCGTCCTCGAGGGCGAGATGCTCGTGCCCCTCCTGCAAGAATTTCAAGCGGCCGGGCGCTCCGTCAATGTGCTGTACGGCATCCCCCTCGTGCCATCACAAGTGCCCCGTCTCGCCGCGCTGGCCCGCCAGCTAGGCGAGAAGACCATCGCCGTGATGATCGACCACCCGGCCCAAGTCGATCTCCTCGCCACCTTCCACAAGGCCTCCGGCCACGCCGCCTGCGTGTTCCTGAAGGTCGACTCCGGGTACCACCGCGCGGGGCTGCCGCCGGCCAAGCTCAACAAGAACGGGCTGCTGGAGAAGATCGCGGCCGCCGAGAAGCAGGGTCACGCGATCCTTCTGGGGGTGTACTCCCACAATAGCCTGAGCTACTCGGGGACTACCTCGGAAGAACTGATGGCGTACCTGAACGAGGAAATTTCCAGCTGCCGGGACGCGCTGAAACAGAATTCCCAGCTACTCCCGACCGATAGGGAGCTGGTCATCAGCGTCGGCGCGACGCCGCAGGTCGTCTCATCGCAGCACCTGTTGCATCAATCCCTCAGCTCCGGAGCCGAGGCGCTGAAGAACCTGCTTCACGACCCGGACCACGATGTCAACGCGAAGGTCAAGGTCGAGCTTCACGCGGGCGTGTACCCGTTTCTCGATATGCAGCAGCTGGGGACCAACGTGCACAAGACACGGGACGCTGAAAGCGAGATTGGCATCGCCGTGGTGGCGGAAGTGTGCAGTGTGTATAACATCGGGGAGCGTTCGCAGCCTGAAGCGTTGGTCGCGGCAGGCTCCCTGGCTCTGGGGCGAGAGCCGGCCGCGTCGTATCCTGGGTGGGGGCTTATCAGCGCGTGGAGACGGGAACCGGGCGCTTCCCGACTACTGGTGCAGCGCATCAGCCAGGAGCATGCCATCGTTTCTTGGGAAGATAAGAGTGACCAATCAAAGATCCCTCTCGAAATTGGCCAGTCCGTCAAGATCTTCCCCAACCATGCGTGTATCACCGGTGCCTTGTATGGATGGTATTTGATTGTGGATTCCAGTGAAGATGGCGATGGATCGAGGGTTCTTGATGTTTGGCCGAGGAGTACTGGATGGTAAACATAGGACGAAATCAATAATATTTCTTTATGCTTTGGCAAAAGCTGCGATCATCCATTCACCTATAGAAATCTATCGAACCCTCATGATAGCATTGAGTCGATACGAAATCCCCACCGCGGTCCCGGCGGCCCCAGTGACCAATCAACGTCTCCAGAATGGGCCAATTCCCCCCACATTCTTCTCTTATCATCATGCATCACAACCTCCGCTCCAGGCTACTCTTCCCCCATCACTGTTCAGCCCGGAGCGATCCAGGACTAGTCTCTTGGACCCCTATTTCTCTCACGCTACTATTCTTCAGGGCTTCTAGAACACAAACTCACCTCAAATGCCAGCGACCAGACGGCTACGCACCGAGCCCATCGTGCGGGTCAGGACGGGGTGCTGGGCCTGCCGACGGCGCAAGAAGAAGTGCGACGAAGCGAAACCCGTCTGCGGGGGCTGCCTGCGCAACAAGCTGACCTGCCAATGGCCATCGAGCGTACTTGGGGTCCCCAGCTCTGCTACGCTTGCTGCCTGGACTGCCCCTACTCCCACCACTACATTCTGCACCGCGAGCCATGCGCATGCGCAACAGCGCTCAGAGCCCATCTCCCGCGCGCAGACCCGCGTCTCCTCCTCCCCTGAGACACCCTCATCATCGTCGTCGTCGTCATCATCATCACCAGCAGCAGCAGCAGTATCATCGTCAGCGTCCCCTGATTCCGTATTATCTCAGGAGGAGATCCCGCGCGAGATGGAGCTGCTCGAGGACGAGCACGGCCGTTCCAACACTACCCCGGGTGTCACGACCATCGCCTCACAATCCACCGCTACAGAGCCCGCTCAAAACAACACAGCAACAACAGCACTGACGACAACAGGCCACGCCCTCCCCCGCGCGATGTCGATGATGCCCAACCACGGGCTCGACGCGTACCAGCTGCTGAGCCACTACATGGCGACCACGGCGGACTGCATGGCCAACGGGTCGACGCCCATCAACCCGTTCCTGGTGCAGATCGTGCCGCTGGCCTTCAGCAGCGACCTGCTGCTGCAGCTGGTGCTGACGCAGAGCGCGGCGCACCGGGCGTTTCGGCGGCTGAACGACTCGGACGAGGTGGCGCAGAGCCACTACACGAAGGCGCTGCAGCTGTTCCGGAAGGGGGTGACCGAGTTCATCGACGGGAAGGAGTCCAACCCGCTGATCCTGACGGTGGGGGCGTTGGTGATGTGCTTCACTGAGGTATGCCTGACTACACTACTGTTTACGTTTACGAGTACACTTTGCTCTTTGCGTGTATGATTAATGCTCGAATGCAGACGGCGAAAGGCGACATGAACGGCACGATCTTCGACCACCTTTCCGCCGCGCACTCCCTCCTGATCCGGCTGCTGGCCCACCACCAGGCCGCGGATGCGGCCATCCCCAAAGACCTCAGGGACTTTGTCATCGAGTACTACACCTACACGGCGGCTGTGAGCATGATCTCCATCGACGCCCGCGTCAGCCAGCAGGTGCTCCTGAATTTTGAGCTGGAGCAGAAGGCGCGCCAGCTGCTGGAGGTCGGGTACGTGGGCAATCTGTGCGGGTGCTGGCTGGAGCTGTTGTTGTTGATTCCCTGCATCTTTGACCTCGGGCGGCACTGGATGATGATGCCGGTGGATCCTGAGAGTGGCGAGCAGTCGGTCATCGTGCCGACGGCGGACGAGATCGCCATGTATGGGTCACTGCAGGCGCAGATCATGCGCTGGGCGCCTCTCTCGTCCGTTTCGCCGGAGGTGTTCCTGGCGGGCCGCATCTTCCAGCAGGCGATGCTGCTCTACCTGTACACGGCGCTGGGCGGGCCCCGGCATTTCGCGCGGTCGAAGACGGGGATGCATCAGATGCTGGTCGAGACGGCTATCTCGGAGGCCATGGCGTATCTGACGCAGCTGTCGGCAACCGCGCGCATCAACTCCGGGCTCTGCTGGCCCATCGCCGTGGTCGGGTCCTGCCTGTCCCACTCGGACCACCAGGAGAATCTGCGGCAGCGGTTGACGACGATGGTTTCTACGTTCGGACTGGGGAACATGCACCGCACGAAGTTACTCCTCGAGCACATGTGGCAAATGCCCCTGGAGGAGGCGGGACCATGGAACATCTGTCGAGCGATGGAGCGAAATCAAATCTGGATATCGTTTGCATAAACAAAGAAACTACCGTCCACGGCTCTCGATTCTAAATATACACTAATTTCATGACTCATCGCAGCATCCCCCTTCCACAAGACCAGCTTGGAAAAGCGCAAGCGTGATGGGGCTTGAATCCTTGCTCTAAGAAGCCTGGTTCTTCGGGGCCTCAGTGGCGGGACCCTCCGGGGTGACATAGGCCTTGGTCAGACCGCCGTCCACCACGAAGTCGGCAGCGTTGACGAAGCTGCTCTCGTCGCTGGCCAGGAAGATGACGGCATGGGCCTGCTCGATGGCCTCGCCGAAGCGACCGGTGGGGAAGTGCACCTCGCGGCGGAAGCGCTTCTCCTTGTCGTCACCGAGCCAATCCTGCAACAGGGGGGTGCTAGTCTTGTTAGCCAACGCTCTTCACCAATCCCAGTCGGCACACAAAGAGGATAGGAGACTCACTTCAAAGGAGCAGGACACAGCGAGTTGAAGCGGAATCCTACAAACCAATTAGCATCAGCATCAACGCCCAACCTCTCAACACCCGAGAGAAACATACCCTCCCTAGCATGCACAATCGCCAGCTCGCGGGTCATGGCCAACACCGCGCCCTTACTGGCCGTGTACGCCAACTGCGGCGTCGCCGCGCCGACCAACGCCACCATACTGGCCGTGTTGATCACACTGCCCTTCTTCTTGCCGTGCTTGCGCAGACTCTTGACAGCGTGCTTGCACCCGAACCACACCCCCTTCACGTTGATGTTCATGGTCAGATCCCAGATGTTCTCGGGGGTCTGCTCGCTGTCGCCGTCCTGGGCGTGCATGATGCCCGCGTTGTTGAACATGACGTCCACACCGCCCCAGGCGTCGAGGTGGGCGACGGCGGCCTCGACCTCGCTCTCCTTGGAGACGTCGACGGTGCGGGTCTCGACGCGGCCGTCGTGCTGGGGCACGGCGGTGCGCACCTTGGCGAGCGCCTTCTCGAGGCCCGGCCCGCTGACGTCAGTCATCAGGACGGAGGCGCCCTCGCGGAGCATGAGAATGGAGGTTTCGAGGCCGATGCCGCTGTTTTCCGGGGCAAGTACGAGGGTTAGCGAGCTTGTCTTGCTTATTGACGTGTTCATATTTCGATTGCAGTCCAAGGGAAAGAGGGGATAGCATACCCCGCCGCACCAGTCACGATAGCATTCTTGCCTGCAAGTCGTCCAACCATTGTGTCTGTCTTTCGTTTCGAATTCGGTCCTTGCGTACTTGACTGTGTAAACTCCGTAAATCGGATAATCCACCGATTAGTTCCCAAAAAGAAATTCCGAAGTGCAGGAGAAGATTGGTTTGAGAAGACAAACAAGAAGTGATGAAGAAGGTGGAAGAGAGCCAACCCGCTTTAATAACTCCCCTCCCCTCCCTTCCCTCGCCGAAAGCTACTCTCCCCTACCCCACCCTCACCGCCCGGGTACCGCGCTTCGGAGGGTTCCACGTGTTACCTGCGCGGCGCGGCGCGGCGCTGCATGAAGATGAAGGAGCACGTGCCGCGCCCTGGGAAACTTGGTTCAGACGATGGAAGCTCTACTCCACGATCACTTCAAGCTCCGGTCGGAAATACTATTTGCTGGGGATAACTAGGAGCGCGACCGAGTCTCGAGAGATGGAGGGGTAAGGAAGGGTGCGGTGTTGAGCTTCCTGGCTGGCTTTGCCATTAGCGATAAGCGATAAGCATGCGACGGTAAGGCGGGTCCGTGCTTGCGGCCGGGGGAGCGCGGTCCGGGACCGCGCGGCGGTTACTTGGCTTATCGGGGGCTTTGCTGGGGAGGATAGTTGGGGGATGGGGTTGGGGTTGGGGTCAGGGTTAAGGGATGCCCCAAGTATCCTGGTTCTTGAGTAGTCTGAGTCTTGATTGGGGCTTAAGATTACTTGTATGTTGATGATAGGCGCGAGCTGAGGCTGGGGATGAGTAAGGGGGTAGAGCTAACTTACCCTCCACTTCCCTAAGACCGAATATCTATGCCTAAGCCACACCACACCACCGCTAGTCCCTACTCTTCCTCCTTATAGATTCCGCTTCAGCTCCAGACCTCTGACAGCCCTCCTCTTTGAATCAAGAAGCCTCCAGCTCCACCTGCGGAGTTAGAGCCTATACTACTACTACTACTACTACTACTACTACTACTACTACTACTACTACTACTACAGCTTCGATTCCCCGCCCCAATCTAGGAAATAATTCAAAACCCTTACCAATAGCCTGAGATAATAGCAGTATAAAGCTGCGCGGCTTTGTTACTGGGGAGATTAGCAAGATAAGGTATTACAATATATAGAAAAAGATTGGGTTGGTAGAAATCAGGGCTCAAAAAGTACTTGTTATAGTAAAAAGGTTAGTCTTTTTTTTCTTTTTGTAAAAAATTATTTATATGGAGAATCAGGAGAGCAGGGTAGGTATACAGTATTATTGCAGTAATTGCAAGGCCTAGGGCTCCTCTTAGGTTCTGTGTAAAGCTGTTTTCATATCCCAGATCTTAAAGGTAGTCTTGTATTGAGATTGAGTCATGCTACGCTCTCGGGGCGCTGACCAATACAGCACTTCGCCCTGTTCCCGTGTAGTCTCCACAAATAAATTGATATTGGAGCAGCCTTTAGTCTTCTATTTATACTCGGTTAGAGGCGACTGAATGATTAAACATTCAATTGATTAATTGCTGGGCTTCGCAACGAACGCTCTCATCGGACAAGCAAAAAGAGAAACGTACAACCCTAAACGAAAACCTCCGGAGATAAAACGACTCCATATCAAAAGACGACCCAGCAGAGTGATATTAGCAATTATAATAACCTTCGTAAAGCGACCCTAGTAGTTCCGGAGCCACGGGCACCGGGAAGTATGCCACTGTCGACACAGAACGCATTTGAATGCTCGGGGATCCGCTGAAGTCAGTTAGCACGGGTACAAAATTCTTCGTGACTACACTATGGCCGAGCGTACTAGGCATGTCTGGATCAACATACGGTGATGTCGCAGCCTTCGTAGCGGATCCAGTTGTTTGTGAGTCTGACTTCGTCGTAGACGGTGAGACAGTTGAAGAATGCGGTGGCTGAGAAGTTTTTTGAGCCTTTAGTCGCAATTAGAATGATACTGTTTGCATGTGGTATGATAGTCAACATACACTCTGACTAGAGGGGTCTACTCTCACAGCCTTCTTTGCTTTGGAAGTCTCCCTTGCTTTGCTGCCACTTTCAGACTTGGGACTGGATTCATAGGTTTGGTAGCTCGAATGTGGTCTCATTACAGAAGTGGCAGCTCGAATGACAACTTACGGATCCATTTTCGATGATGACCATTCGAGTTAACGAATTAAAATGCCAAAGTCACACACCACAGAGAAATGTCAGATTGAAGGGGTGTGTTTGACGTGGTTTGAAAAAGCTGTAGCTAAAGGTTTAACCATAGTGGCAAGAGCAGAGATGAGGATGCTGATCCGCCTGCTTCTTATGGACAAGAGAGTCAATTTCTAACTTCTTTGCATGAGTCACTATGCAGATATATTCTGCGTCTCATACCGGTGATAGCGGCTCTACATCACAGGTCGGAAGAGTCAGCTATAGTGTTCGAGAGAAGCAAAAAGCCACCAGTCCAATATCAGGCCATTGTCGTCGCTAGCATATTGATATGACCAGAGACTTTACAGAAGCTGTATAAAAGCTGCATTGTTCTTGAGTGGCAGCATACAGAATGGATAGACCTGCCTCATACGCTTGAGCCTCAGTAACCTCGCTGTGAACTTTCATCGCACAGCTGAAAGTCCAACGGTATTCTTGGCCTGCCGTCTTATATGATTGACTTTATTCGCCTTGCGAACTACCGCAAATATGCAAGACTTCCCACACGATCGTTTCTGCAGCAGATGTCTTGATGCAGGGTTCTATCATAGTGATATATGAAACTCCAGCCTCTCTCAATCCGAATACCGCAGGTCCAAATCTCGAACGCACATAGTACCTTGGGATCTGGGAGTTTCGGAATGAGCTCATCGTAGCCTACGATTAGAAAGAACAGAATTAGAATGCATTAGCCTTCCAATCATAACATCCATATGAGTCTCTGTTCACCTCACATAGCCACTACTCTATCGACGTTTAACCATTCTGATGAACTCAATTATCACGTATCGATCAGAGAATTCCCACCCTTCAGGACCCAATATTTCAAAGTACTACAGGATCTACTATGTAGGTGCTTTTCAATAGAGCTCCTGCCTGTCACAATTGGAAATGTCGGCCTCACCGGGTATAAAGACCATAGTTTCTCTTTTTCTTTTAGGCAGTGGTAAGCTCCCTTCGGCAGTCCGCTCCTTCCTCGATATCCTACTGTCCTTTGCAGTTTTGAGGATGCGGATGCCGAGAGCCTAGTAGTGAAAAGTAAACGCAGGTCTGATTTGTTGTTCTTCTTCTTTTCTTTCAACCGGGGAACATCTCAAAATGTCACCTCGGGAGTAAGTATACAGTTCTTTGCTTTCTAAATTGATCTTCCATTGTATTTTGGATATGTACTCGAACCTCGACCCTGTATTATTCTTGAAGACTCTTCTGTGTCTTAGTACTAATCGAGCCCTGACCAATCATTGCACTCATGATGGCGAGAACTTCATGGCTTTCAGAGTAGCTCCACAGTTTGGTTCAGTGCTACCATCTGGTCACAATAGGCGCGTCGAGTACTTCGACTTTTCGGCATGCTACATACCATGATGCGCGTTTGTTCAGATTGGATAATCGCTAATGGAAAATCTAGGAGGAAGCCGTTCTGGGCCTGCTTTCCCCCCTCTCCCCCTCTTGGACACGAGCGTATGTTATGCGATTTATGGGTTGAAATTTAGACATAAAAAACGCTGATGAATTCGATAGCCGTCGACTCCGCCCACCTCGTCCTTTCCCCTCAACTCTACTCCTCCTTAATATGAAAACTCTTCAACTTGTAGAACCCATCATAAGCCTTGGGACCCAGCGTGAACCCCAGGCCCGAATTCTTCCACCCAATCCACGCGAGATCCTAAATCCCCAAAGATTAGCACACTTGTCATGCCGATGCATCACGCAATCCTGGCAACATACCGGACTAGGATAATCGCAACGGTTCAAATACACCGTGCCCGCCTCGACATCATCAATCAACTCCTCGCCCCTCTTGATGTCTTTGGTCCAGATGCTCGCCGTCAGACCGTAGTCACTATCATTCATGAGGTCGACCGCTTCCTCATCCGAAGACACCTTCATGATAGGGAGGACCGGGCCGAACGTCTCGTGCTTCATGACCTGCATGTCGTGCGTGGCGTTGATCAACACCGTCGGCGCCAGGTAATTGCCCTCGGAGGGGAGGTTCTGGAAGGTGGGGTTCGCCGGCGTGACGTCCACCGCACCCTTGGACAACGCATCCGCGATGTGCGACTGGATGTTCTGGACGGCAAGGCTGGAGATAACGGGGCCGGTGGTCGTGGACTGGTCATGGGGGTCGCCGACTTTGTAGCTATTGATGCGAGAATATTAGCCACTGGAATTGGAATTCATGGAGGAGCCCTACCCAGCCAATTCCTTCTTCACCTCCTCCACAAACGCATCGTGCACGTCCGCGTGCACGTACACCCGCTCGATGGCGCAGCAGCTCTGGCCGGAGTTGAACACCGCACCATCCACAATGTTGGCAGCCACGGAGGCCAGGTCGGCGTCCGGCCGCACGTACGCCGGGTCGTTGCCGCCCAGCTCGAGGTTCACCGGCACCAGACGGCGAGCGGTGGCCTCGCGGATGCGCAGGCCCCCCAGCGTCGAGCCGACGAAGGAGATGAGCTTGATCTGGGGGAGTTGGGCGATCTCGTCGAGCACGTCGGCGGAGCCGCAGTGAATGACCTGTAGCACGTGGTCGGGCAGACCGGCCTGCACAAAATAGGAGGCCAGCCGTTCGCCGAAGATGGGCGTCTGTGGGGAGGGACGGAGGATGACGGTGTTTCCGCTCAGCAGAGCGGGGAGGAGGGCGTTGACGGTGATGAGGTACGGGTACTACCCAGCAAAAGTGCGGTTCCTGGTTAGCGATCGCAAGATTTGCCACCGACAGGGACGGGACAGGGACAGGGTAACTCACATTCCAGGCGGTCGAGATCAGAACAGGACCAACGGGTTCCTTCTTAATGAATCGCCGAAATCCGCTCTCGGGGGTGCCGGGGAGGTTCTTCAGGCTCTCTTCGGCGATGTTGAGCAGGTATTCGGCGCGCTTGCGGAAGGTATCGATCTCCTTGCCGGTGTAGGCGATCGGGCGGCCCATTTGCGTCGTCAGTTCGGCGGCCAGGGTGTCTCTGTCTGCAACGATGAGATCCAGCGCCTTCACGACGATCTCCTTCCGTTGCGCGAGGGTCGTCTTCTTGTATGTGAGCAATGCATTCTGGGAAGCTTGGACGATTTTCTGGGCTTCTTCGAGAGAGGTACCGGGGTGCTCGAAGATGACCTTGTTCGTGGAGGGGGAAAGGGTACGGATCTGGTTCGTCATTTTGGATATGTTGCGTAAGTCTCAGTCTGTGGAAGCAACAGTCGACCTGGGTGAGTTGGAATAGAATGAGAAATATAAGGATTGGAATAAGTGAGAGCTTGGGATGAAGAGTTGCAGTTGTTATAATCGGGCGATAAGAGGTGGTGGAGGGGCAAAGTGGGCACGCATGTGATTGGCGCGCTCTATCGGTCGGGGCGCGGTCTGGCGGTGGGGCTCGACGTAAGGATGCATGGGAGAACACAATGGAACCATTAGGTATGCTATTCAGGACTAAGTTATCTTACAGGAAACAATTCTATCCAAATCAATCTAACATCCCCAAGGCAAATCGTGTCATCGTTTCCGCGACAAACACCCCGTCGTGCGGCTTATCGACCCGCGACATGCCATCCTTGTAGAAGCTCTCTTCGAACACACCGCGCTCATGGCGCATCTTGAGAATCGAGCTGACCATGAACCCATTATACTCTGGATGGCCTTGAACCGTTAAAATCGTTTTCGGGATATACAGGCCTTGGATACCGCAGATCAGACTGCTACCGAGGTTCACACATTCCGGCGGAACTTCGAAGACTACATCACGGTGCATCATCTGCAAAGACTGTGGACTGTTAGTAACATATCTTCCTGTGTTGCATTTCCGCCGACATACAATCTCATTCTTCCCAAAAAGCTGCCTCCCTGCACTGGTCAAGTAGAACGGCTCGACGGCAACCTCCCACCCAGAGACACTGGGGCCAACGCGGGCCCCCAGAGCCCGCGCAATGATCTGGTGGCCGAAGCAGATCCCAATCATAGGTTTGTGATGTACGGTATAGCAATCTTGGACGAAGCGGAGCAGTGTGAGTATCCATGGCTCATCTTTGTAGGAGTCGTGTTCTAAGCAGTGTCAGCACTGTCTTCGGAAGGGTAGTGTGCTTGCCTTACTGCTGCCGGTCAAGAGAACGATGTCGAAGTCTTCGGGTTTGGGGTACTCGGCAAATGGTAGCACGACATTGGTCTTTGTCATTTGCAGTTTTACAGGAGTCTCAATCGTCTGCAGCCCCTCGTTCAGGTGATTCTCAAAGATATCCCCGTAGGTGCCATATTGGGCGAGGATGGGATCCACGGGCGTGTCGCATTCCAGAACAGCGACTCGAAGAAGTTGGGTCATCATGCTGGTGGTTGTAATTTTGGTAGCAGCCAGCCGCAGCGAGTGCGTAGTGAGGCACTGCACCGATCTTGGCTTTATACAACGCACGAGGCGACTTATCGGAAGCTATACCACCAACCGCGGTTAGAACAAGTTCCTATGGGCTCCCCGTCGACACCTTAGGCAATACACGCAGCACGGGACTGTTACGTAACAGCCGTTGAGCCATGGCATCACGTGCTTCTTCTCCAACAGCGACCCCTCATGGGCGATAAGCGATAAGCGCGGTTCCGTGGCTTGCCCCGCAGCCAGCGCGGTCCGAGGTGTTGGGGAGCGCGCGCGGTAGCTGTACAGCTCCAACTCGCCGTCGCTTCCAAGTTTCGGAGGCAGTATCGCCAAATCGGTGCCTACCATTGCAGACCGCCAATGGAGTCCGTTGCCGCGCGATGGAGCTCCTGTGGAGCTTCGTGCCATGCTGTCGCAAGCATTGCGGCCGCCGTCGGGGTCACGACTAGTCCACGGTCGCTATTGCAACTTCCTTTAAAGCGCTCCCCTCGCCTTTCCTTCCTCTTCTCTAGAAGCTTTCAACACTTTTGCAACTCACTATAGAACATACTCGTCGAGATGACGTCCACACACATCACCGCGGAGGACCTCCCTAGCCTCCTGGCCAACGACATCAAGGTCAAGGTCGCCGGCATCGACTGCGATGGCATCCTGCGCGGCAAGGTCATGTCCACGGAGAAGTTCCTGGGCATCGCGCAGAAGGGATTCGGCTTCAGCTCCGCCGTGTTCGGGTGGGACATGCAGGACGTGCTCTACACGACGGACGCGAAGATCGCGCCCGCGGACTCGGGTTACGTCGACTTCATCGCCATCCCGGACCTGAACTCCTTCCGGCGCATCCCGTGGGAGGACAACATCCCGTTCTTCCTCGTGCGCTTCGCCCAGAATGATCAGCCCGTGTCCGCCGATGGGCGCAGCATGCTCCGGTCGATATGCGACCAACTCGCGGCGGAAAACTGCCAGGGGATGGCCGGAGGTAAGGGCATTTCGCGTCTGCAAGCTGTGGGTGACTGGGCTGGACAACGCTGACCCTGAACAGTGGAGCTAGAGTTTATGAACTTCCAGACCCCCTCCGAGGACGGGTACGGGGCCAATGGCTCCCAGATTCGCGACATCGCCGCCTTCCTCGAGAAGAATGCCCCGGGGGCGTTGCGCCCGCTGACGCAGGGCAGCTTCTCCTACAGTGCCACCAGACCGGTCGCATACAAGAAATACTTCTACGATATTTTCGACACCAGTGCACAGTTCAACTGCGGGATTGAGGGCTGGCACACGGAGGGTGGACCGGGTGTATATGAAGCAGTGAGTTGACCGTGCTCGTGGAGGGGTTATGCGAATGCTCACAGCCACAAGGCGCTTAAGGTGTCCCCGGTCAGCGAAATGGCAGATAAGGTGTCTCTATTCAAGTAAGCACGCCCCTCAGCCCCGGGCTACAGACCCAAACTCACATATCTAGACTGCTGGCCAAATCGGTCGGCCTCGAGCACGGCATCACGCCGTGCTTCATGGCCAAGCCGATGCAGGGTCAACCCGGGAGCTCCGGCCACATCCACGTCTCGCTATGCGACCTGGCGGGTAAGAACCTCTTCGCGCGCGAGACCCCCGACACAAACGCCCCCTGGGCCGATGCAGCTGGACTGTCGGACCTGGGCCGACAGTTCCTGGCCGGTCTGCTGGAGGCGCTGCCGGACATCATGCCTCTGTTCGCGCCGACCATCAACTCCTACAAGCGGCTCGTCGAGAACTTCTGGGCGCCGGTGAACATCAGCTGGGGGCTGGAGGACCGGATGGCGTCGGTCCGGCTCATCACGCCGCCCGTGTGCAAGCCGGGCGCCACGCGGTTCGAGGTGCGCATCCCCGGCGCGGACCTGCACCCGCACTACGCGCTCGCGGTGATCCTGGCCGCGGGCTGGCGCGGCGTGCAGAAGCAGCTGGAGATCCGGGTCCCCCCCGTCTCGGCCATGAAGGCGGCCAACCAGCAGCCCGAGCTGCTCCCCAACACCCTGGAGGAGGCGCTGCGGCGGTTCAACGCCCCGACCAGCATCGCGCGGGAGATCCTGGCGCCCGAGTTTGTGGATTTCTTCACGGCCACGCGCGAGCACGAGCTGCGGGTGTGGCGCGAGGCGGTCACGGATTGGTAAGTCTTTGCCCTTTGTGCTAAGCAGTGCCTGTATTGACTGGTGGTTTAGGGAGTTCAAGCGGTACATCGAGACAGTATAGGTACGGCGAAAGTTGCACTGTAGATTATGAAGAACATGAGAGATGAATACCACATACATACCACGTACACAGTCCCTGTGTAGATTGCCTGTTTCCAATTCCATTCAGAAAAAGTTGAAGCATTGCTCAGAGTGTGTGGGATATGTTTCATTATGCATGAGATCAACTGTATTAATTAGACTTAGAGCAAGAGTAAGAAATTATCAACCACCACTACAGCACAAGAAAAACACGCGAGTCATCGCGCACAATCTGGAATCAAAAGATAATTCAAAACCATCAGATACAGAATGCAAATGTCCAGGGTATAGAAAATGCCAGTTGAGAAATGGTGTCCGTCGGGTTCAGTCATCACTTTTAGCCTCGGGCTCGTCCTCGACGGTGGCAGCGGTGGGACTTTTGCTATGCCCGTTACTGGGGGTTCCGTTCTGTTCATGCTCATCGTCATCATGCTCGTCGCCCACCGCGCCGTCGTGCTCGCCGTCGTGGTGGTGGCCGTTCTGCTCCCCGCCGTCACGCTGCACGTTCTTGCCCTTGCTGTCCCCGTCACCCAGCGGCTTCTCGACACCAATATCGCCCGCCTCCGTCCCGGATTCCTCGACCTTCCCCCGTTGCTTGGCCCGGGCCCGCCGGATCAGCCGGTTGTGGTAGTCCTTCTTCTCGGCCTCCGGGTCCTCCTCCACGATGCGGCGGGCGGCCTCGCGGCCCACGACGGGCAGGCGGTCCACGCCCGGCGCCGTCGCCCCGGGGGGCACGTACTTGGGGTCCAGCAGGCCCAGCTGCACCAGCACGCTGGCCTGGTCCCAGTACATGTGCTCGGAGTACAGGCGGCCCGCGCGCAGGCTGATGATGCTCACGAGGATCACCTCGACGCGCTTGTTCGTCGGCGGGATGCCCGGCAGCATCCACGGGATCTCCTCGGAGTGCTCGAACGAGGCGTACAGCTCGTCCACGACGCGGTCCGCCCCCACGGTCCGTGAGATCAGCCGCAGCCGCATTGATGGCGGCAGCTTGCGCAGGAAGTGATGTTCGTAGAAGCGGCGCAAGGCGTGCGCGCCGATCGCGCCGCTCATCGTCGGCGCCATCGTCACGGTCGGGTTGAGGTGCGAGACGTACGGTTCTACCGTGCCTTTGAGGTTCATGGAGAAGAAGCGCGCTAGATTTTTGAGCGTGTTAGTGTTTGTTGGAGAGCATTGCTCGGGTTGATCACGTACCCTCCAGATGCTCCTCCCATCGCGACTCCAGATCCAGGTCCTTCCCGAAGGCCTTGCGCAACACCTGCAGCGTGCGGCTCCATGCCAGATCCGACGCCAGCCGGTCGTATTCTTCCAAGTCACTCTCTGCGAACCCGGGCTGCACCGAGGCGTACGTGAACGTGGGCCAGCCGATGTTCAGCCGCTCGCCCGTGCCGATGCCCGGGTTGATCTTCTTGGTCGTCCGCTTCTTCTTTCCCTGCAGACCGAGTGCCGTGGGGATGGTGACCATGTCCACGGTGTTGCCGGCCAGGTGGCAGAGCACCCGCAGTTGGACCGAGTAGCGGTTGCGGGTGTCGGGGATGGTGGTCGGGTAGTAGGCGATCAGAGCGGCGAGACGGCTCGCGTTGGTCGGCTTGAGGAAGTAGTCCATGCAGAAGGAGGCTGCGTCTCCGAAGGCTGGGTGGAAGATTAGATGCCACGGCGAACCGAAAGGGCTGGGCCTCCCACGATGTGCTTACCGATGATCGCATAGTTGTCCCCCACCCCCAACCCGTCTTTGACCGTCCTCAGTCGAGCAGCGTAATCCTTCCCGCCGTTGTTGAACGGCACATACACGACATCGAACCCCTCGTCCGCCCACGCTCGAATGGTCTGGGTGTCGAACTCTTCGGTCTCGGCTGTAATGCACACCCGCGCCGTCCCCAGGTTCGCATTGTTGTAGATGAAGCCGGATGCCCCGGGAGCGTTGATGGATATCGAAGCCATTGTCATTGGGCCTGATCCTTGTGGTTCTGGTGTTGTTATTCTCGAAATCAATAATTATAATGTCTGCCTCCAACGTTGAGAACAGGGTGAAAACAAAAAGAAGGTCTGACAGCTGCCTCTCCCCCTCTGCGCCATGGACCAGGATCTACAACATTTTATGGAGTGGTGGACGCCTACGTCACTGCCTGCCCCCAACCCGTTCCGCATACGTCATTGCCGCCCGGGAAGCCAGGATCAGCTGATGGTCAGGCCTATATGAGATTGGTAGCCCAGTTGTTCGTCGCCCAGTCTGCCAGTTCATTCGAAAGAGTTCGGAACGTCTGGATGCTTTTCCTGGTTTCTGCGATGTTGCTATAGATGTGTTGTTTTTGTTGAAGGATGGTTCCGAACGGTCGAGCATTCCTTGGGAATGGCAAAACTTAAATGGTGGTCGTGGTGGGAATGTTGCACCCTCAGGCAGCGATGGAGAGTGCCTGGATCGGGCTGCATCGGGCTTAGGCCCGTTTGAAGCTGTCGCTGTCATCGGCCTCGCTCCGATGGCCGGACTGGGTTGTATACTTGGCTTAGTAGTAGCCTGGGGCTGGGCCTCGGCACTCACCGCCAGAGCTCCGGTCAAGCTCTCCTTGGTGCACTGTCTTTCTCATGCTGGGTTATGACTGTTGCACTAGTTGACGTTTGCTAATTATCGCAACACTACCCATCCCCCCGACTGTGTTTTATCTTGTGCTGGTTCGGTTCTCAATGGCTGTGTTGCAATTATATGAAAAAGACCTTTGCAGTCACACCTGTGCGATATAGCGGTTCCGTTATCTTTGGAGATTGGAAATGCCGCAAGATTCATCGAACAGTCCTTGTTGCAATTGCACTCAACTATGGCGACAGATTGTCGTGCAGAGCTACCAGGAGGAGCTTGTGAGCAGACTGCAATGCATATCGCATCTGATAAGAAGCCCCCAGCATTTTAATTCGCGGTAAGTCGGGGTAGAGCTGAGTGATCCCCCCGGGAAGTCCGCAACGGGCTGCAGGAGAGAGAGGGGTAATTGGTACTCCGTAATGCGAAAGATCAATGCTCACTTTGTGTACATGATGTACCGAATACCGAATACCGACGTACAGGAGCAGCTACTCTACGGACTGGTCGTGGATGGCGTGATGCCTTCCAGAATACATTATCTTTCATGCAGGGTATTCCGGGTATTTCCAGAAGAATGGTCGATGGCGGGATACAAACAATCTTTATTTGAGGTCCGGCCAATTGAGTCCGGCAAGACCGCTTAGCTGGCAGGCTCGATAAGCTAAGGGGGTACTAGCTAGCTTGGGGTTGACTGGAAAACCCTAGGGTAAAGAATGAATCATCTAGACCCATCGGCCGTGGTGGAGCCGGGGTAGAGAGTCAAAAAAAAAGCTCAAGACGTCAGGTGCCTTTTGGATTTCCCCTTCCATTCCTGAACACTGGGCAAATGCATTGATCTTCTCCACCACCAGATAAGAACGATAAGCTATAGTTAGTTAGTTTAGACGGGGTTATTTACCCACTCCAAATCCTGTTTTTTTGTGTTGTGCTTTTCCAAAATTCCTCCCTCTTGTTTTCCTCTCCAGCCCTTCATTCACAATTTTTTTTCTCTAGAAGTACAGTGAAGTAAGGTGGTGGCTGGCGAGAGAACTCTCGAACGTTCGGCAAGTCCACCAACTGGAAAGCCAACCACTTTAACTTTCCTGCCGACCTTCCCCCCCCCCAAGCCTTCAAGCCCATCCTTCCCGTTTCCAAGTTCCCTGTCAATTCGTCGTCGTTGATTGTCCTCGTCCCCTGGCACCAGCACCAGGCTCTCTAGCCTATTCGCTTTCAGACCAATCGCGACACTTATCGCTTAGCTTCTGGTCACCGAAAGTACAGTGCAGTACCATGTCCTTGGTCCAGCACGTCTCTGCAATTGAGGGTGCGGACCGTGAACCCGATCCTCACGATGATAGCACTATCACCACCGCCGTAACCAGCGAACACTACGGATCCATCCGTCGCAAGATCAGCTACGACTTCTTCCCTCCACCACCGCCCCCCATCGAAGAAGAACTGCATTCGGGGACTCCGGCTTATAAAGTCCCCACCGCCACGCGACTAGGTAGGTGGTACAAGACTGGAGTTTTCTTTTTTGCTCGAATGAATTTCCCTGTTGACCCCGTCTAGCCCAGGTTGCCGTCACGATTCTGGCATGCTGGTTCGCTGCAGGCATTGTCTTCGGATTCGCAGCGCTCAAGCCGGTCTTGATCGCGGAGGGAGTATATAGGGAACTGTGCACCGACGAAGAACTGCGCGACGGTGTCGACGTGTGCGTGGAACAGGATCTTAGGTGCGTATGGCCCTTTCCACCAAATTCGCCCCCCACCCCTGGGAGGATAATCCGCTAACTCGGGCAGACTCAACTTCTTCTTCACCGTCAGTTCGATCACAGCCAACGTGTCTGCCTTGCCGGTCGGAACCATCCTGGATCGCTATGGTTCTCGTGTCTGTGGCTTCGCAGGTTGCGTGCTTCTCTCCATCGGCTGCGTGCTGATGGCATATTCGTTCTCGGAGCCCGGGTTCGACGGGTACATTGCCGCGAACTTTTTCCTCGCCCTGGGGGGAACTTTCATTTTTGTGCCTTCATTTCAGATCGCCAATGCGTTCCCCAAGTATGCCGGAACCATTGTGGCCCTGGTCACCGGCGCCTTTGATGCATCGGCAGCTGTATATCTGTTCTACCGTCTGGCGTATGACGCCACCGACCGGTCCTTCACTCCCCAGACATTCTTTACGGGGTACCTGCTGGTCCCCGTGCTTATATTCATTGCCCTTATTACTATCATGCCCGCCCGCGACTACCAGAGCGCGCATCAGTTAGAGATTAGAATTGAAAAGGCGGAGGACGCGACCCGCGACGTGCACGACTCGGATGACGACATCGAAAGTGACTCGGAGCTCCTGCGGATCCGCCGGGAGCGTGCCAAGCGCCGTCTCAACAAGATCCATAAGATTGACGAGGTGCTGGGCGATCGCGACGAGCGGCTGCAGCGCGAGCACCACGAGGAAGAGCGCCAGGCGACAAGCGCGGTGTGGGGCGCGCTGCATGGCCAGCCGGCGCACAAGCAGATGCTGACCCCGTGGTTTGTGCTGATCACCCTGATGACGGTGCTGCAAATGCTGCGGATGAACTACTTCATTGCGACCATCTACGCGCAGTACGAGTACATGTTGCAATCCACCCCGCTGGCGGCCCAGATCAACAGCTTCTTCGACGTGGCCCTGCCGGTGGGTGGGGTGGTCTCCACGCCCTTCATCGGGATGCTGCTCGATAACCTCAGCGTGCCCTCCATCCTCGGTATCATCGTCGTGCTTACCACCGTGATTGGCATCTTCAACTCCATCCCCGTGTTGTGGACGGGGTATGTGACGGTGACCCTGTTCGTGTTGCTGCGGCCACTCTACTACTCTGCTATGTCGTAAGTTCTTGTCTCGGATATTGACTTTGGATCGGATCTGATGCTGTGATTCGTAGGGATTACGCCACCAAGGTGTTTGGGTTCGCCACCTTCGGGCGCGTCTACGGAACGATCATCTGCTTCTCGGGGCTCGTCAATTTCTCCCAGTACGGCCTCGATGCTCTCACCCACGGGCCTTTTGATGGCAACCCTATCCCCATAAACATCTTCTTCGCAGGCGCTGGGTTTGTCGTGGGGACGGTGCTGGTGGCCTTTGTCTACCTTGCCGGAAGACACATGAAGGAGGAGCAGCAGGACATGGAGGAGAGTGGCGAGCGGCAATGGTTGATTCCGGAGGAGAGCGAAGAAGATGTGTATGGGTCTACTAGATAGTCGGTTGTGCCGAGGTTCGAGGGAACGGAGCTGGAATAGAAGTGCGCCCAGATAAAAGCGCCAGAATATGGGTTCTAAGGGTATCGTGTACATTGTTATAGGGGTGGGGAGTGTGGTTCTGTGGATGAGGCGTTTTTTGTGTTTTTCTGACTCGGAAGAGAAACGATTGATCTGTGCATAGTAATAGGTGCTAGGTAGTTTAGGTTATATAGGGCATCGATTCTGATTTGCTTGAATAATGCGCTGGAACCCTGCCCGACCAGGTCTTTGCAGATATACTCCAAAGGTAACTTCCGAGCACCACGCGATTCCGGCCAGACCGTCTGTTTGCCACGCCAGGCCATGGCAAAGAGTCAGTTGTTCGTATCCGCTCTTGGTCGGCCTGCCAAGGGGACTGCCAAGGGACCAGTCCGGATGGTCTTGATGTCAACCGTACTGAACAGTCGTCCACCCCCGCATTCTTTCTCCCTTCCTCCACATCGGTTGTTCTCTGGCTCCGGTTTTTGTGGGGAAATCTCCCTTCCCCGGACCATTCCAAGTTGTCTTCTCTCCTTCCTTTCCAGTTCTCTTCCCCAGACCGAGGTAACTTGTTGATATCTCGAGCGGCTATTGGACTCATTCCTCCTGAGGGTCCTCGAAATTAAAGTTTCTTATTTGGCAGCGACGCCATCAGCTGGGCGGATCTGGGGTCTCTGGAGGGGACAGTTGACGGAGTCTCTTCGTCATGCAGCCGCGGATGTGGAGAATGACAGAAGAAGAAGAGGGGGGAGGGGGGAGAGTAGGATGTGGGTTAGGTTTCCGCTTGACTTGACTTGACTTGTTTTGGTCTGCTTTGGTCTACTACCTAGGCTTTCTTCCTTATCTTGGTGCGACATATAACTACGATCCACGACCCCCGACCGACCCTGCTGCCCCCTGCGTTCTTGCGATTCTTCATTGCCCATCCCCATTGCTTTATTGTCTTGGAAGTTGGGTGCTCTATCGATAGTCTACTCTCTGCAAATCTCCTCTTTTGTTTCCTCCTCTCCACACGAGCTTCTCATGTCTCCCCCCAGCAGCGAGAAAGGAGGGAGCGTGGATCGCATCGAGGACATCACTCGGGCCAACCCCAGCCCCGACGATGTCGACCACGATGAAGAGTACTCCTACGCGGAGCAGCGCAAGATCATCCACCGGATCGATCGCCGGCTGGTGACCATCACGGGTCTGGCGTATTGCATTTCCTTGATGGACCGCACGAATTTGAGCATGGCTGCTGTGGCGGGGTGAGTTTTCTGGCTTTGTGTCTACTACCGCGCGATGAGCTGCTAATTGTGCTCTTGTGTACTACAGCATGACTAAAGACCTGCAGTTGACTGTTGGGACACGCTATGTGGGTGACTCCGTGGCTGAATGGGCTGGCCGATGTGCTGACTGGCCGGTAGTCGGTGATCGTGCTCATTTTCTTTGTTCCCTACGTGATCTTCCAGCCGCCGATGACGGTGGTGACCCGCAAGTTTGGGCCGACGATCTTCTTGGGTAGTATTGTTATCTCTTGGGGGGCGATTCTGGTGGTGAGTCTTCTTGTATTGTTGTGTGGATTGGGTGAAGGTGGACACTGATGATTGTCGTTCCAGGGAATGGGGTTCACGAAGAACTGGAAGCAGATGGTCGCTTGTCGATTCCTCTTGGGGATTTTGGAGGCTGGTGAGTCGGCTCTTTCCTCTGGGCGGAGGTTGGTGCTTACGATGACAGGCTACTTCCCCGGCTGTGTGTATCTACTGTCCAGTTGGTACACGAGATGTGAGTGATGTGCCCGGTATGTGTCTGGGTTTATGCTGACGACCGCGCAGTCGACGTGCAAAAGCGCTTCTCGATCTTCTACCTCATCGGCTGCGTCGCGTCCGCGCTCGCCGGAATCCTCGCTTTCGGGCTGATGCAGATGGAAGGGCTGCAGGGAATCCGCGGCTGGCGTTGGATCTTCATCATGGAAGGTGTTGTATGTATACCTTCGGCATGCGGTTGACGGCTGGCTCTGATGAAGCTGTAGATCACCGCGGTAATCGGGGTCCTCACTCTGATCTTCCTGGTCGACTTTCCCGACCGAGCCCACAAATCCTGGCGCTTCCTGAGTGAGAAAGAAAGCTCGTTCATTGTCCGGCGCATCAACCGCGATCGGTCGGATGGTCACGAGGAGCCCTTCACGCTAAAGCGGTTCTTGTCTCCCGCTCTGGACCTCAAGATCTGGGGGTTCGCTTTGATTTTCTTGTACGCCCCCATGGCCTATCCTTCGATTCCGAGACAAAGCTAACAGTCTATAACAGCTGCACCACAACGGTTACCTACGCCATTGCATACTTCCTCCCCATCATCCTGCAGCAAGGCATGGGCTTCAGCATCGGCGCGGCGCAGTGCCTCGCCGCGCCGCCCTACGTCTTCGCCGGCATCGTCATGTTTGGAGGGGCCTGGGTGGGCGACAAATACCGGGTGCGCGGGGCCATCGTGGTCTTCAACGCGCTGCTCTGCATCATCGGCCTCCCGATCATGGGGTTCGCGCACGGCAACGCGGCCCGCTACGTCGGCGTCTTCTTCAGCGTCGCTGGCGCCAACTCGAACATCCCCGCCGTGATGGCGTACCAGGCCAACAATGTGCGCGGCCAGTGGACGCGGGCGCTGTCGAGCGCCACCCTGGTGGGCTTCGGGGGCATCGGCGGGATCGTCAGCAGTTTGGTGTTTCGGTCGGAGGATGCGCCGGGGTATCGACCGGGCATGTGGACTACGATCGCGTGAGTGATTTTCTTGGTTTTGGCCAATGACCTTTGCTGACCTTTCTCGGGCAGGTGCAATATCTTGATCCTGGTGATTGTGGGGGCGCTGAGTTGGTGGTTCCGGAAGTCGAATCGGGAGGCGGGGCGCGGGGAGAGGGTCATTGAGGGGGCGGAGGACTTTAGGTATACCCTTTGAGTGGATTGATCGGTGCCATTTGAGAAAGGAAATACTATGTACCTAGGCAGGAATCCTGGCACCCACCATACCTTGCAGATAGTTCACCCTAGTTAGTATTAACCTTACACGCAATGAATATGATTGAACGCCTTATCGTGGTTCTTCCCCGGACTAAGTGAACTTAATCCTGGTCAGCTGCCAGCTGCCAGCCGCCAGCCTCAGGCACCCAGCCTCAGGCACCTGGCCCGCAGCCTTACACCTTATCTTATCAGCGGCCATTTCCCAAGCAGCAATCCGACTAAACCCGAAATGGTACATGGACCGGAGCCGGCCGGATTCCGAGGCCGGGGCAGGCGGGCTCCATTGGCGGAGATTAGCGACTCCCGATTAACAACTCCCTTTAAGATCCACCATCTATCCCCGTCTTTACTTCTCTGCTTCGCTTTTTTTCGATTTGTTCGGTTTGGCTTTCTGTTGGACTGGCTTTGTGCTAAGTAGTGAGTTGTTTGTTTGGCTGCTGTGAGATAAGTTTGAGTTTGGGCCTTGCAGCGTGCAGAACGTGGTTTGTGATCTGGGGACGGTGAGTTGTGAGTTGAACACCTGTTCGGGTGCGTTTGCATACCTGTTGATCTGGGGTTGTGAACTCGGCTGACATCATAACAGAAACATATCCTCGGTTAGCTCTGGATATTCGGGGAAAAAACGTCGCATAATCCAAGCGCGCCCACTGGTTAAATCCGCTATCTTGAGTTTGTCAAATCCTCATTCCAGTCTCTACAATGGTATCCCCCATGTACACCCTCTACGTGGGGACGTTCATCCAACTCCCCCGGACCACCTCTCCGGACGAGAAACATGAGCTCGCCATCACCCGCGGCGCCCTCTGGGTGTCTGCCGCGGACGGCAAGATCAAGGGGTTCGACTGGAGCATCGCGACCGAGTCCGACCTGCAGACCCTGCTCAAGCGACACGGATGGGTGCTCGAGGGCGCAGGGAGCCGCACCAGCGTGCGCGTGAAGCTTGTACGAGCACGAGAAGAGGAGAACGAGTTCTTCTTCCCTGGCTTTATCGGTATGGCACCCTACCATCCCCCTCCCTTCAGTTCCCCCGTAAACCTCATTCCCAATCCCAGAAGAAGACTTCCCGGGGGAGAACCCCCGGACCCCCCTTTCTTTCAGCTCCCCGGTAACCCGCATTCTGGGACTTATGGTCGAGTGTTCCTGGGAAGTTGAAAGAAAGGGGGGTCCGGGGGTTCTCCCCCGGAACGGTATATTGCCCCAGCACTGGGGCTTGAGGTTACCGGGAAGCTGAAAGAAAGGGGGGTCCGGGGGTTCTCCCCCGGGAAGTCCTCGGGACCGCCTCGCCATCATGCACACCTGGCTAACAAGAAGGAAGACACCCACATCCACGCCCCGCAATACCCGAACACGGGGCTCTTCGGCAGCGCGACCCTCCTCGACTGGCTGCAAACCTACACCTTCCCAATGGAGGCCTCCTTCGCCAGCCCGGCCTCGCTGCCCAGCCTGCCCCCGCCCACCGCCTACCGCGCCTACTCGCAGGTCATCGCGCGGACGCTGAGCCACGGCACGACGACGGCCTCCTACTACGCGACCATCCACGTGCCGGCCACGAACCTGCTCGCGAGCCTCGCGCACCAGCGCGGCCAACGCGCCCTGATCGGCCGCGTCTGCATGGACAACCCGGGCACGTGCCCGACCACCCTGATCGACGAGTCTCCCGAGGACAGCATCCAAAACACCGAGGCCGTCATCGCGCACATCCACTCCCTCGCCCCGGCCACCTCAAAAGAAACCCTCGTCAAGCCCGTCCTCACCCCGCGCTTCGCCCCCTCCTGCACCCCCGCCGCTTTATCGGGTCTCGCCACCCTCGCCAAGCGGTACAAACCCCCGCTGCACATCCAAACGCACATCGCCGAGAACGTCAACGAGATCGCGCTCGTCCGCCAGCAGTTCCCGGACTGTGAGAATTACGCTTCTGTATATGATACCGCGGGGCTACTCACCCCGCGAACCATCCTGGCGCACGCCGTGCACTTCTCCGCGGCGGAGCGGTCCCTCGTCGCCACCCGCGGCGCGAAGGTCAGCCACTGTCCCGCCAGCAACTCGGCGCTGGGGTCGGGGATCTGTCCGGTGCGGTGGCTGCGAAGGGGCGGGGTGGTCGTCGGGCTGGGCAGCGACGTGAGCGGCGGGTATAGCGTGGGGCTGCTGGAGGGGGTGCGCCAGGCGTGTTTGGTATCCCGATTAGTCCGCTTCTTGCATCCTGCAGCAGAGGAGAAGGGTGAGGACGGGGTGGTCTCCGTCGAGGAAGCGCTGTACCTCGCCACGCGGGGCGGGGCGGCGGTCGTCGATCTGCCGGATCTGATTGGGGGGTTCGAGCTGGGGATGGCGTGGGATGCGCAGCTGATTCATCTGGGGAGGTTTAAGCCGGCGGGGCTGTGGGGGAGCGAGGGCGCCACGAGTAATGTGGACGTGTTTGGGGCGGAGAGCTGGGTCGAGAAGGTGCATAAGTGGGTGTGGTCCGGGGATGATCGGAATGTGAGGGCGGTTTGGGTGCAGGGGCGGTTGGTGCACGGGGGGGAGGGTGGTGATGTTAAGGGGGGGTGGGGTGGGTGGAAGTGGGTGTGGGGTTTGGTTGGGGTGGGCGCTGCTTGGGTGATTGTGAGGAGGGTTAATGGATGAGGTGGTTTGATTCTGTCGGCGGAGCTGTATAGAGTAATGTACTTGTTAATCTGTGCAAGTGGAGGGGAGTATGGGGGTTCCCCATAAACCTAAGATGCTTTCTTGATTGATAGTTGTAATAGTACTACAGCGGTAGGTATCTACTGAAGGGGGGTATGGGGGTTTCCTCCCATACATGCAAAGATATTTTCTTAGCAGGTATGAAGTAGGACAGATGCGAATTTGACTCGAAGAAAGTGTATAGAAAGTCTCCCCCATAACTTGAAGATATTTCTCAGTATTCTAGGCAGGTTAAGTAGCTTAGCAAGTAGCTACTTTGAGCTGTGTGTCTCCCATCAGTCCCAAGATGACCTCCTCAGGCACTCAAAACCTTTCGGCACTTAAGCAACAAGCAATGCGCCAATAACCAAAACCCATCCTAGTAGTTCCTCAACCAAGGACACCGCGCCGTATGCCACTGCCGACACGGCGCGCACTTGAACGCGCGGGGGTTCGCTACGAGATCTTCAACAAGGGTCTATCTTCATTCCACGGTGGATATACATACTCTGCCAGTATTCTTCCGAAGGTGGCGAAGGGTTTGAAGCGGGAGGTTCTCAAGGCTGCTAGGCCTCTCATCAGTTTGGGGTTGTGAGGTGTGCAGTTCACATACGCGCGGCTCAGAGTGCGGCGCCTTGGCTGCTTTGGATGTATCCTTGGTCGTGAAAGTGCCTTTGGTTTTGCGGGGAGCAAGTTCTTTTGTCTTTGCTTCAGGGGGATACTTCGTTCGTGCGTCAGGGGGTGTCTTGATGCTTGGAAGCCTCGTTGGCTTTTGCTTTCAGCTTTGAGGTGTGGTCGTTCCTGTATGCGAATAGTACTTGTAGCCCACACATGGCCAGAAGGCTGTGAATGAGACTTACGATGCCGTTTTCTGGGTTGCTATAAGGTGATCCTGGAGGTAGAGTTCGAATGGAGGTGTAGACAGGACGTCATCGTACTAGGGACTATATATGCTATAGTGGTGCGAGTCATCGTCTAAGTGTTTTTGAATTGTTTCCGGTGTGACCCCGTGTCGACGTCATTGTAAACTCGTGAGCAGCAGTCTTTGAACTAGTAGAGCAGATTGATTAGCTGGTAAGATGCCAACTGTCTGGTATATAGGGTGATGATGCAATGCGGGATGTGTGCATGAATGCGGTAAGCTTATATTCGTCTACCACATCCAGGGTCCCTTCCAGAGTCCCTTCCAGGGCAAAGTTTCAGCTAGTCAGATCGGTAGTATTTGGCGTCAGATGACTCGTGATGGCTGGTAGATATATAGGTCAACTGATGATAAAGAGAGAGAGCGGACCTTGGTTGTCTTGTATTTGGTTTGTCAGCAATCAGTCGCCAAACTCTACAGTGTCTTGCATGACGATCTCCTCTTGAGCTTAATTCATTAGTCACTTATCTCTTTGAGCAGCATCTTGTCTACAGCGAAGCTGGGAATGACCCCGAGGGTTGTACTGTACTGTACTGTTGCCGCGCTCACATGACCGGACCTGTCTACTCTGTATAGACCATCGCACCTGCCGTGCCGACACTGAGGCAGACATACTCCCTTTCATCCATCGGTTCGCCGTTTGCTAAACTCGTTCCTGACCCGATCCACCACCACAACCATAAATCGAGGTCGCAAGATGTCACCCAGCACAGAGACACCCTATCTAACACCCATTCAGTTCCAGCAAGCGGAGGAACAACTATTTGAAGCACCGTCTCGAGGCACGAACCGAGACCCACATCCGTCTGTCCACCCCTGTCACACCAGCCGTGCGGATATATCAGTGAAATCTCAGCCATGAGTCGACACAGCCATGAATCCACACCCGGCGAGCCATGTTTCCCAGAATATCCGTCGGAGCAAGCTCCGTCATCAGCCAAGACAAATGTCCGTCCACCACTAACGGGACCTGTTCCATCTCCAAGACCCTTCAATCTAACCGAGCGGAGGATCGGCAGACGCTCGAGCCCAATCACCATCCACATTGAACATCACCACAAGAACTCGTGCACAAAATGCGCAATGCGCAATGCGCGATGCGCGATGCGGAAGTGTATGTGCTTTTTCTGTTCACAAACTGGCAACTCGGATTGCATCTCAAATCACCTAAAGCAGGCACAGAGCGTACACCTCGCGTACAACTCAAACTACCGACGTTTCACCTCCGCGACCCCCGCTCCACCCCGTTCCACCATGCGACACTAAATCCTGAAGAGATCTTGGCGCGGCACTTGCCTCTACTCCCGACACGGACACACGGAGTCTTATACTATTCTAACCACTTAAACACCCGGCGTGCCTGAGATTGGTGGAACAGATGTCATTCCAAGACTTTGGCAGGGACCGAGCGCTGACCTGCATGACAGGCCGTAGAGAGCTCTCAGGAGCAAGCAAAGCTCTCCTCCCTTGGTATTTATACCCCGATCACCAGCACTAGTACTGTACCTGCTGCACACCGACAATGCTCAAAGCGTCGCTTCTGTCGTTCGTGGCCTTCACGGCCCAGGTCGCCAACGCGGCCTTTGGCATCACCACCAGCTCCAGCGCCTATGTCATCGACACCAATGCGTCAACCCAGCTGAAGTTCACGGTCAGCCGCAGCAGCTGCGATATCACTTCCATCATCCACTATGGCACGGAGCTGCAGTACTCCAGCCAGGGCAGTCACATTGGGTCGGGTCTGGGCTCGGCGACGGTGACCGCCGTGCAGTCCGGGGACTACATTAAGGTGACCTGTGTTACGGACACCCTGACACAGTACATGGTGGTGCATAATGGGGATCCGATCATCCACATGGCCACATATATCACTGCCGGTTAGTTGGTTGTCTCGTGGGACGTGGTTAACATGGCTGACATCTGGCAGAACCGTCCATTGGCGAGCTGCGGTTCATCGCTCGACTGAATTCAGACGTGCTACCGAACGAGGAGCCGTTTGGCGACGTTTCAACCACAGCTGACGGAACTGCCATTGAGGGATCGGATGTGGTATGTAACTTTCCGACCTTTGACTGAGAAGATTCTGACATAAATAGTTCTTGGTCGGCAGTGAAACTCGTAGCAAGTTCTACTCGAGCGAGCGGTTCATCGACGATCAGCGACACTGTAAGTACTATCATCTAGGGTGTGAGGTTTTACTGACCTTACAGGCATCGCCGGGGATGCCCACCGCGTCTGCATGATCTTGAATCAATATGAAAGCTCCTCAGGGGGTCCTTTCCACAGGTATGTTTCCAGCCAGGTCAGATGACATGGTACTGACAACACAGGGATATCAACTCAAACAACGGAGGAAGCTACAATGCCCTGTACTGGTACATGGTAAGTAGCCTTCCGACGTCGGTGATTGGCGCTAACCGTCCAGAACTCCGGCCATGTCCAAACCGAGTCCTACCGGATGGGTCTCCACGGCCCCTACTCGATGTACTTCAGTCGCAGCGGCACCCCCAGCACCAGCATCGATACCTCATTCTTCGCGGACCTAGACATCCAAGGCTATGTGGCTGCCTCAGGCCGAGGCAAAGTGACCGGCACGGCATCAGGAGCAGACTCCAGCATGGACTGGGTGGTCCATTGGTACGCATCTTTTCCTGCACAGTGGTCGTCAACTAATGAGGATAGGTACAACGATGCCGCGCAGTACTGGACCTACACCAGCTCCAGCGGCAGCTTCACCTCGCCCGCCATGAAGCCCGGAACCTACACCATGGTCTACTACCAAGGCGAGTACGCGGTCGCCACGAGCTCGGTCACCGTGTCCGCCGGATCGACCACGACGAAGAACATTTCGGGGTCCGTGAAGACCGGCACTACCATCTTCAAGATTGGTGAATGGGACGGACAGTACGTACCCTGGCTGCAGGCACTGTACTAGTACTGACCTCACAGACCAACCGGCTTCCGCAACGCAGCCAACCAGCTCCGCATGCACCCCTCCGACTCGCGCATGTCCTCCTGGGGCCCACTGACCTACACGGTGGGTAGTTCGGCTTTGACTGACTTCCCGATGGCTGTATTTAAGAGCGTCAACAACCCTGTCACCATCAAATTCACTGCGACATCCGCGCAGACCGGCGCTGCGACCCTGCGGATCGGAACGACCTTGTCGTTTGCCGGTGGACGGCCCCAGGCGACGGTACTACCCCTTCTCCTGGGAAGTGTTTTTCAGTCACTCACTTGCAGTAGATCAACAGCTATACCGGAAGTGCACCAGCCGCGCCAACAAACCTGGATTCTCGGGGCGTAACCCGCGGTGCGTACCGTGGGCTGGGCGAAGTGTACGATGTGTCCATCCCGTCGGGGACGATTGTTGCGGGGACGAATACAGTAAGTTGGCTTGCGTTGGATTGATTGGCTGGCGTTGCTAATGGAGCGTGTAGATTACGATCAACGTGATCTCTGGCAGTTCAGGGGATACGTACTTGAGTCCGAACTTTGTAAGTTTCTAATTTGTGGTTGTGTTGAGTGAGGTATTTGCTAACGAGTGTAGATCTTTGATTGTGTGGAGTTGTTCCAGTAGCTGGTTGGTTCGGGGGCTGTTTGGTGCAGCCGGGAGTAGATAGCTGTACTGGACAATTCTGGTCGTATGTAAAGACATCATACCAATTGAGATTCGAATCCTATTGTAATCTGCTGTCAACGTATTGTTCTGCTTGAATAGATGGTGTGTGATTCAGCCAGTCTACTCAGCACCGTACAACTCTCTCTTCCAAGCACAGTCGAATGGCATTGGTTATTCTGTCTCTTACAATAGTAAGAGGTAGCTGTACTTCCTCCTCTCAACGCTCGGTACCCGGCAGAGGAAATAAGTAGATGCATGCGAAGAATGGGAACCAACTTCTCAAATACCCATTTCCAGGATAGGTATATTGTGAACTACTTATCCTATCAAGATAAGGAACTTATCAGAGAAGGCCCCCATCAGCTCTCTTATAATAGAGGAAGTAGTTATAGTATTGTGTGAACAGGGTATCTTTGCTAAGGTAACCGAAAGAATCACCCCCCCTGGTAAATCAACGGGTCGGTCCGTCGATTGCTTAGGGTGCACGTGAGCTACCAATGCCCCCGTCCACGGTACACACAGTCCTTCCGACACTTTGACTGTAGACTGTTTACTCCATGTACTGTAGGAATCTTACATCATTGTATTCACCGGCCATCATTTATCTACCACATTTCATACAACCTATCCTAGCAGCAGCTCACTGGTTGCCGCTGCCTCTTGGATGTCTGTAATACCCTTGATCACCCTCATTTCTCGACGACCCTATCCACAACTATACAGTCTTCTCCGCATCCACATCCCAACCCTCACCATCCGCCACTCCCCGCCCAAGCAAATCTCAATACAGACTAATCGAAGACGTCGAAGACCTGCACCGTTATTGCCCCGGGGGCTATCCTCCTCTACAGGTCGGGGGTAGCTTAGCTGACGGCCGATATCAAGTGGTCGACAAGCTCGGGTACGGGGGTTACGCGACGATATGGCTCGCCCGTGATCTGCGGACAGGCAGATACGTCGCCGTGAAGACGATGACCGCTGACGCAAGCAATGACACGCCGGACGCTACGCTTCTACACTCTCTCGGGCCATTGCCACCTCGACCAGGAAAGGAAGTTTTCCCACCCCTCTTGGACGAATTCTGGGCTGCTAGTCCCAATGGACAGCATCGATGCATCGCCACTCCCCCGGCACGCATGGGCTTGTTCGATGCCAAGGAGGCTTCAACCTTCGGTCTGTTTCGGCCCAGGGTCGCGCAAGCGATGATCGCCCAGCTCATTCGCGGGGTCTCGTTCCTCCACAGTCTGGGGTTTGTACATGGCGGTATGGTGATGTCCCTTCCTCAATCAGCCTCCGCTGGCCAACGCTGACTCGCCGTAATTCCCCCTGAAGATCTGCATCTAGGGAATATCCTTGTTCAGTTTCCCAGGTCCCTTGACTGTATCGCCCCCTCAGAACTGTACGAGCGGTACGGCGAGCCCGAGTCCGAAGAGGTGGTTCGTCTCGACGACAAGCCCTTATCAGATAGTGTTCCCGCGCGCGTGTTCATTCCCGGGTGGTTTGGCGTTTGCAGTGATGACCTCCCTCTCGGCGAGGAGCAGATCACGCTCAGCGACTTCGGGGAATCCTTCAAGCCCCGCGAAACGGCGAGGACCGCCTCCAAAACCCTGCCGCTCCTTCCACCCCCCGAGGCGAGGTTTTCCGACGAGCCGCTCTCCTTCGCCTCGGACATCTGGACGCTCGCTTGTACCATTTGGGAAATTCTCGCGCAACGGCCGCTGTTCGAGACGTTCTTTTCGAGTCCGGATCGTGTGACGGCGGAGCAGGTCGAAGTGCTCGGGAAGTTACCGGATTAGTGGTGGGCGAAGTGGAGCAGAAGACTGGACTGGTTTGATGAAGAGGGGAGATTGGATCTGGTGAAGACGGGGAGGGCTGGGCCCGGTGGTGGGTGTAGGTCCTGGGAGCGGAGGTTTGAGGATAGTATCCAGACGCCGCGGGCTGAGGTGGGTTTCGAACGCGTGACGGAGGAGGAGAGGGCGGCGTTTCTGGGTATGTTGCGTGGGATGTTAGCTTTTCGGGCTGGGGAGAGAAGCACGGCGCGAGAGGTTTTGGAGTCGAGGTGGATGGGGGGGTGGGGGATTCCGGCTTCGGAGGAGAGTTGGGGGGGTTTCGGGCACGAAGGTGGAAAAGAAATGAGACAGATCACCCATTGCGCCTACAGCCATTCAGGCGAGCCGCCGTTGCGGCCACGGGCTTCCCACGCTACGCCCTGATAGAGAGAACTCTGGGACTTTCGGCCTTCGCCAGAATTGCTGACTTTCTTGAGAATCGTGACAAGCTCTGGAGAGTCTGGAGCCCCTTCTTACGGGCCTTTTGGAGTGGCTACCATCATCGCCGCGGTGACCAGGCGTGTGACGCAAATTTGTAGCCTATTCACCTTTCTGGGGCCTTCTCGCCTTGACCCGATGTATAACAGGAATTACACCAAGTTGGAAGCATAGGAGATGCTGCGGCTCTTGTGTTCTCGTGACAACGTTTCTTTCTTTCCTCTACTTCGTTCTGGCTGCAGTAGCTGCTCCGCTTCCCCCCAAGCCATGGATCTGCTCGCACAGGCTATGCGGGTTGATCGGCATTGTATCTGGTTGTAAATTCTCCTTACTCCACGAACCTATCGGGGGGTAATTCCTTTGTAGCTAAAGACCGCTTGGTGATGTATGTGAACTGATTATGTTGTGGTGCCCGCTAGGATGATGGTCCTTTCATTGCGGTATACAGGTTTAGGGCATCGCAATCGCAATTGTGCCAAAGGATATATCCTTCCGGAATCGCTATATTGACCAAAGTTTCTAATCAGACCCAAAGCTGAATGTATCAGCTTGTGCAAAAGGCCTCCATTGAGTGACTGATCAAAGGCGGCTGAGGTCCTTCGATTTACTACTGGGTTGTTGAACAATGGGGAAAACAACGTGGAAAGTAAGGTAGACGATGACACTTAGCCCGGAGGTGTTACAATGTCTTCGACGGGATGTGATGTTGGATCCCTTTGAACGGGAATTCTTTTGCAGGGGTTTTGTGCTCGTATCAATAAATATATGCAGGTCTAAGGAAGGTCTGTGGATGGGTGGATGGCTATATGTGCTGTCACTGGCAGAATCCTAGTCCAGCTGAAGAGACGTGTCCCGCCAATGGATGTGGTACAGGAAGAGTGGAGAGACCGATGGTCTTGTTGCTTGTGAGAAACATATTCGGAGGTGCAAATGACGTTCTCAGTCGGCTACCGCTTGACAGCTGACGATTGGTCTAGCTCCCTGAAGGCTCCATCGGTTTCCCGCGGAGTGCGCATTGTACTATCTCTCAGCATTGAGTGGGAATCTTGAGGGTATAAAGATATTGATGAATAAGTGACCGCCTCGAAGGCAATCCACGCGACATTCAGCTTGTAAAGGTTAAGGTTTGCATGACGCCGACAGAGTCACCAGGTCGGACAATGCGATTGTTGTTTTCCTGCTGTCCACATTTCCAGTGGCATCTCAAATCTCGGAACACAGCACAGACGCCAGATCTCAGTATGGGGATTAACATCAGAACCGCAGAATAGAGACTTAACCCCGCCTCAGAACCTGGCAAATCAATTTGGTGATGTTTTCGTCAATTCCGGCCAGGGGTTGGCCGAGCCCCTGTCCAACATTCCAGCGAGAGAAGCCGAACACAGAACAGCGGCATCCCTGGTTACCTATGCAGCCGCCGCTGTTTGTTTGTTCTACCGTCAGTCAACAACCACAGCATGACTCAATTTGCTTGGCAGCATTGGAATCGTGGCCATTTCGTTGCGATATCCACTCTGTCATATAGGCAGCCGAAACCGTCCTGCTCGAAAATATGTTTGTGGAGCGTATATATAGCGAAAGGGCCGCAAGATGGCGCCGATGGTGGCTGAAATGGCACTCGCGCTCTGTTCTATGAGCATCTTTTCTTGCATTGTGCCAGCTCATCGACACCTACCAACCAAGCAAGATGTATGTGAAGCTATCATGTCTTGCCGCGATTGCGATCGCCTTACTTCCATCCTCGGTGGTCGGACGGGGAAAGAAGATCCCCTTCGGTCGGGACGTACAACTCCTCGCGGAATTGGGGATAGAGCCGGATCTTGACCGTCATGAGTACGCAAGCATTCATTCAGCCGTCTCACACACGGCGATGGTGGCGATAAAAGACGAATACATCTCGGTAAGATTGCAGAGGTTTTGTGCTCGGTGGTACGGATCTAACGTCCGTAGATCCCGATCGATCACAATAACGCATCGGCGGGTACATACAGAAACCGATTCTGGGTCAGTGACGAGTTCTATCAAGCTGGGAACCCAATCTTGGTTTACGACGCCGGGGAGACGGAGGCAGCCTCGGTCGCGCAGGCGCACCTCACTTCGTCGCTGTCATTCTTCCGGTCAATGCTGGAGGAGTTCAATGCCATGGGGATCATTTGGGAGCATAGGTTCGTCTTCTCACACCCAAGAGCTTTGATCGGCTCAACGCACTGACAGCGTCAGATACTATGGCAAATCGACCCCGTTCCCGGTAGACTATGACACTCCGCCAGAGAACTATCAATACCTCACAACCAAGCAAGCGCTCGCAGATCTCCCGTACTTTGCACGGAATTTCAGTCGCAAGGCCCATCCTGATGTCGATCTCACTCCCGCAGGAACCCCCTGGGTCATGATCGGTGGCTCATACGCTGGCATCCGCGCGGCCTTGACTCGCCAGGAGTACCCAGATACCATCTTCGCTGCCTGGTCCTCTTCGGCACCGGTACAAGCCCAAGTGAACATGACGAACTACTTCGACCAGGTCTACCGAGGATTGGTGGCCAGTGGGTGGACCAACTGCACCAAGGACATTCGTGCCGGGCTAGAATACATCGACGAGCAGCTGTCGAGTAATCAAACGGCAGGGTCGGTTAAGCAACTGTTCCTCGGCTCGGAAGCCGAGAAGAACTCCAACGGGGACTTCACAGCTGCTCTGGTGGCCATGTACGGGAGTTTCCAGTCGTATGGCATGGACGGGGGCACGACCAGCCTGGGGGCTTTCTGCGAGTACATGGAAACCGACCCGAACACCAACCAAACCGCCGGTCCCGATGGGCTGGCCCCCATCTACGGCAAGCAGTACGTGGCGGAGCGCTGGGCGGCTTGGCCCGTGCTGACGGCCTTTGTCAACCAGAACATGGACACCAATTGCAAGGGCGAGAATACCAGCCTGCCGCTGGAATGCGATCTGAGCAAACCGTACGGCGACCCTTCGACCATCAGCTGGACCTGGCAGTACTGCACGGAATGGGGGTTCTACCAGGCCAACAATGCGGGTCCCCATGCGCTGCTCTCAAGCTATCAGACCCTCGAGTACCAGCAGCATATCTGCAATCGGCAGTTCCCCGACGCGATCAAGAAGGGGCTATTACCGGCCCAGCCTCTGACGGACCAGACCAACCGCGAGTTCGGCGGGTGGACCATCCGACCCTCGAACACATATACCAGTGGAGGGGAATTCGATCCGTGGCGGACCTTGTCCGTCCTGTCAACCGAGGCCACGGCGCCCCAGGGCGTTCAGTTCTCCAGCGACATTCCGTCGTGTGGGGTGACGACCAATGAGAATACGGTCTTTGGATATATCCTGGAGAACTCGGAGCACTGCTTCGACTTTCAGATGCTCCCCACGGCCGGGAAACTGTCACGCGAGATGTTCACCACGGCGCTGTTGCAGTGGCTGCCGTGCTTTGGAACAGGAGCGGGGACGTCGACCAGGAGTTGAGCGAGAGAAACGATCGACCCAGTTCAATGTACATATTAGGCCACAGTCAGATGGAGAAGATTAGGAGGAGAAGGAGCTGGATGAATGGATGAAAGGATGAATAATACTCCACCCTGATTGAGGCTGCCGCTTCCGTCCTTCTAACCCTTTTCGGAGATGCTTGCGATGTTCCCCCGGGCTCCGAGGCCGTGAGCCATCAAATGACGAATGATCCATGATGCTTTATGCTCTTTTCCCACTTTTCCTTCCCAATCATTGCTGACCTGCTCACGTTAGCCTTTCTTCATCCTCTTGCCCCTCCAACTTTAAGTGCTAGGATGTCCTGAGGAGGCACATGGAGGCATTTTGTGACATGTGTCTCCACCGAGGAATCACTATGCCTAAATGCCCCTGCCGTATCTTCAGCGGGCACTGAGTCGGGTATAAATAAGTATAGCTGGAACCTGTACGGAGATAATTTGCTGCAGGTTTGCCTCAAACCCACCTCAAATACAGCCCATCTATTCATCACTCTTCAATCAGCCAGGCCGTTCTCTTCCTTCCAGGCATACCTCCAGCGTCATGCTGACTCTAATCGCTCTGGTCAGCGGGGCACTGTACCTGACATATCAAATCCTGCGCTCCATCCAACAAGCATTCAGAAACCGCAGAACGGCAAAATCGCTGGGCTGCGCGCCTCCCCGGAAGATCCCATCTGATCCTCTTGGTCTCAAGAGTTTCTTCGAACTCGCACGAGCAGCGAAGGACAGCCGCGTGGTCGAGTATATTGCGGGTTTCTACGAACAGTATGGACCCACGTTCAGCTTGACCGGGCTAGGAGGGGTCTCGATCCTGTCCACGGTTGAGCCTGAGAATCTGAAAGCCCTCCTAGCCACCCAATTCCACGACTTCAGTCTGGGCACCCGCCATCGCGAGTTCTATCCATTGCTTGGGGACGGCATCTTTACGCTGGATGGTGCGGGCTGGTCGCATGCCCGAGCGTTGTTGCGGCCGCAGTTCACGCGGGATCAGGTAAGGACAAACCATACATCTCACGCACCTCATGGCCCAGAAACTGAACGTGGACAGGTGGCAGATCTAGATCTGATGGACAGTCACGTCTCCCGGCTGATCGAGCTGATTCCGAAAAATGGCAGCGATTTCGATATCCAGCGCCTCTTCTTCTTGTTGACCATCGACTCCGCGACCCATTTTCTGTTTGGCGAGTCGGTCAACGCGATGCACTCCTCTAGCCACACCGGGGTTCTGGAGAAGACGGCTGTCGGAGATGCGCAGGGCTTCGCGGAAGCATTCAACCTGTCGCAGGAGTACCTCTTCACCCGTAACCGGTTCATGGACCTGTACTGGCTGGTCAATCCCAAAGAGTTCCAGGATGCCAACAAGCGCGTGCATGAGGTCGTCGACCACTACGTCCGACTGGCCCTTGCTTCAAAGAACAACCCGGACAAGACTGCCGACAGATACATCTTCGCCGAGGCGCTGGCCGCCGAGACTGATGATCCGAGGGTCCTGCGCGATAATATGCTCAATATTCTGTTGGCCGGACGTGACACGACGGCCAGTCTGCTGAGCTCGGCGTTCTTCTACCTGGCGCGTCATCCCGCGGTCTGGGACCGGCTGCGGCGGGCTATCGTCGAGGAATTCGGTGATAGTGTGCATCCGCGGGCGAAGATCACGCAGGCGCGGTTGAAGGACATCCCATATCTGCGGTATTTCCTGAACGAAGGTAAGCCAGAATCAGTTTCCTTGAATGCGGTTTGGGACTGACGACTCGACTAGTCCTCCGTCTGCTGCCCCCCGTGCCACTCAACTTCCGTGTCGCTATCAAAGACACGTCACTCCCGGTGGGCGGCGGCCCGGACGGCAAGGCCCCCGTGTTTATTCGCAAGGGCCAGCTCGTCACGTACTCGGTCTATGCGATGCATCGGCGGGAGGATCTCTACGGGCCTGATGCGCAAAGCTTCCGGCCAGAACGCTGGGAGGAGAACGCCATCCGCGGGTGGGACTTCCTGCCGTTCAACGGCGGACCTCGGATCTGTCTTGGTCGTGAGTTTTACATCCCATACTCCCCTATCAGGTAAATGCGGTGGCTAACTTGCTGGCTGATAAGAGCAATATGCCCTAACCGAAGCGAGCTATACCCTGGTCCGCCTGCTGCAGCATTTCGACCGGATCGAAAATGCCGCACCGGCGGTGGAGGAACCCCGGATCATGTCCAATCTGACCCTGTCGCATTTGCATGGGGTGGATATTCGCCTGTACCCGGCAGCGGCCTCGTAGGATTTTTGTTTCTGTGTGTGTCGATGTACTGTATATGTTGTTCTAAGCGATATGTAACCCACCTCGTATCGGGTGAGACAAGTCTATATTGTTGCGGGTGAATGCGACTCTCCCCCTCATCATTCTGAGACAAGACATGATGATATATACGAGATACTACATTCTCCTGCATGAGATGCCTCGTCATTTATGCTGTTTGAATCATCTGATTTATGTTCTATATCGAATGTGTGTCTGGTGCCTTGTTGTTCCAAGTCATGTCTCGGAGATGGCCCGGAAGTATATGCAACTCTCCCAACACCGCTCCGTAACCTTCACGGAATCCTGCCATGCGGGAATGCAGATTCCACAACTTGCACAGGGGACGAACGTGCGGGAATTTCCACGACCTTGTGAAAAGTCAGGGCTTCCTCAGCCACGCTACAAGGGAGATTATCAGATGGGATCGTGTGATGTAAGGTCTCCGAGGTGCAGGTGCAGGTACTGCCCGTACCGGCCAGCATCGTCGAACGGAAACGGACGATCATGATGTCAAGGCCACACGCGCGCGCACACAACAAAGCCAACGACGAACGTTGGAGTGATGTATTTATTTTGATATTTTGGGGGAAATTGGAGATCCGATCGGCGAGAAGACCGCGTAGACACGATTCCTGCATGACGGCACAGCCTTAACGTCAGATTATAGTCTAGGGTCCTTCTTCGCGCTGATGCTGACGGAGGGAGAACAGAACAAAGTGCTTGTTTCTATAATTAAGTCAATCCACTTTTTGGCTGACAGTAGAAAAGAAATGTGTTTTCTTTTCAGGGGACAAGTGCATAGAGTTTCGCTTCAGGTAGACGTTAGTTTATGGGGTAGGATTGTGATGATACAGTCCTGAAGATCCAATGATCATTTTACTTGATACATGAGCAGGGTAAGCGATCGGGATCGACGGGGTAGATGAGGATCGACTGGCTTCAAGTTTGGGATTGTTGCAATGGATGTACTGTACTCTTGTTTTTGTTGAAGCAAAGTAAAAATAGAAGGCAGAGGTTCCATTTTGCAAGTTGTTCAGTATGCTGAGTACTCCATAGGATTCTAAAAGATGGGAGGATTGTACAGTCCTGTAAGCAGTACTGGGTAGAATGTGGTGATGGATCACCAGCCTCTCGAATTTCCACAGCACAGCACAGCACAGCACAGCACATGATGGGGAGATTTCCTCGTTGTGGAGACAGCCAGACAGCCAGACAGCCAGACAGAACATGGAATGTCTCATTCTTCCCCCGCCTTTCTGTGCCAATCACCGTCTGTCTCCGACTTCGCCGCCCATTATCGCTGACTGATTGTGCCCCAGGCCAATCACCACTTGCACTCCAAAGCCAATCGGTCGTGGCCGGCGCCCAAGCTTGAAGGCAGCGGACTGTCCGTGAGTGGGCCGGCCAAGTCCTCGTCTTGCTCTTCTCTTTTGCCTCCATCATTCAACCAATCCCCGTTCAGCCTGCAGTATTCCGTACCAGTGCATTCTGCCCATCGGGGAGGGTTCCTGGGGCAGTGCCAAGTCTCTCTGCACCCAAATCCACCACTAATTCAACCCACCACTTCAGTTCCTGTCTCCTCTCTTTCGTCCTTTCATGTGTTCATTGACTTTGTTCTTGCTTTGGTTCCTCTGATCTCCGTCCTCCATTGCCTCCTTAGGAAATTCGTCTCCCACGGCCTTGTTCCCCACCGGATCTGGTGGGAGTGCTCGCCGCTCCATACTTTAAATACCCGTCATTCCCATTCACATCCCTTCCTCATCACACAGCCTTCTCCTCGTTCTACAACACAATAACTACCCCTGTACAGAATTCTTTTTCTCTCATCTTCAGATCTACACCTAATTCTCGCAATAATGAAGTTCCTCGCTTCTCTCGCTCTGCTCGTCTCCGCTGTTGCGGCCAGCCCCATCCAAGCTCGCGACACCGCTAAGAGCTTCTACCTCAAAACCTCCGGCGCTGCCAACGACGCTCACAACAACCTCTACGTTTACGCCTATCACACAGGCGCTGGCTTCAATGATGCCGTGCTCACCTCCGACACTTCCAAAGCCAGGGCTGTTACCCTGAACGGCACAAACGCTCAGTTCGATTTGGGCACTACTTTCCCCTGGGGTTTCAAGATGGGTGCCAACACCAACTATGCTTGTCAGTTTTCGCCTCCACGAAGAAAAAAAATACCTATTGGGCTAACCTCGTGTTGTAGCATGGGAACCCGTCCAGATCAATGTCGGTTACGGTGACGAAGGTTTCTCGGTCAGTGGTACGAGCCTTCAGTGGTCGGAGCAGAACGGTTTCGGCGGCTGGTTGGGTAAGTGAACCCCGATTGCACGAAGTTTAACTATCTGGACCCTTGTCACTGACAAATTCTCTTTCTTAATTCTAGTCTGCGACTGGTATCACAATGCCCCTCAGCTCTTCTGGCTCTACAAGTACCTGCCGGCCACGATCCCTTCCTCTTGCGATAAGGTCGACCTCACCGTTGAATATACCTCCTAGACCAGGCACGAGGGTTCCTTCATGTTTTACCACCACCACACCGAGGCTCGTGGTTGATGAATCATACGACGCAAAGATAAAGATCCGGAGACCTATTCGCCACCTCCCCGCCAGCTTGACGCTTACAAGATCTGTATCACTACGACGACGGTTAAGACTTTCTTTTTGATGTTAACGCTAATTAATCGTAATAATGACCTGCGAAGGATGATGATGAGAAGCCAAATGTATCTATGTGTGATTCTTGCGATAGCGTGGTGCTTTTGTTGAGTTCTAGCTATCGATGGTTTGGGGGAAGCAACAGTGAGAAATATATACCGAGTACAAACTATCCATACATCTAGTGCATTTTCTATTGCTGCTAGTATCTGCGAGTCCGGAGATAAAGGAAACAATTATTGGCAATAGTGGTTTGTAGATGTGCAGGATACCGGTTGCAAGGAGCGAATGGAGGTGCAAGGGCATGCACAACATTTGCCCAAGATGTGCGTTGCATCATGTCATCCATGATCCATGAGTGAATGCCTGGCTGCCTCAGGCTAGTGACTACCAAAAATAGCTGCGTGTCTCACAAATGGCTTAATCGGGCTAGTCCCTCCCTCTCCTTCTCCTTCTTGCTAGTCTCTCGCTTCTCTCTCTCGCCTCTCGATCTCTGCTGCGCCTGACTGTGGTCTGCTTGGGCCTTTTTTGCTCTTATATTCTCTTATCCTCTGCATCGTCTCCAGACAAGTTTCAGTCGCTTCTCTGTCCTCGTCCTTTGCGATTTTGTTGAGCGCCAGACCCCGTCACTCGCTTTGTTTACCCACCCCGACTCTCGCTGGACCCTGCCGATAATCTATCAGCCGATCTGCATGTTTCAGGCCCGCTGGCCTAAAAAGACCGACCACCCTCTGCAGTTCCATCGTCTTGTCAATCTCTAGGCACCTTTTCCATCGCCATCAACTGCATCATCCGTTTAATCTCAATCGTTCGACACATTGCACCTTCACGTCTGAGAGACGAATCCCCATCACAGCGACGGGCCCACGTCGATCGGACCCTGAATTTCGCCAAGGGGGATCACTCGACCCCTCGGTTCTCACCCACCCTCTCAACCTCCATCGTCCACATAGCCCGCACAACCATCATGCGTTCCCTATACCTCCTACCCGCCTTGTGTATCGTCCTCCTACTGGGGACGATCTCATCGGCATTCCCCTCCCCTGGGGACGAATTAGCGCACGGTCAATTCCTGCGGCGAGCTGGTCAGTACCGCCTCAGCCCCTAAACGCTGGCTCACTTTTCCTGCAGACTGACCATTCCAAAGACACCACAGCAGCCGATAGCGCCACGACCGGACAAGCCGCCACGACCGGCAAGAGTGCAGCCAAGACCGACTCCGCTACCGATTCGGCCACCGACTCGGCCAAGAAGACCGCTTCAGGGACGAAAGCCACCGGCAAAGCCACGGGGACCGCAACGGGGACCGCAACGGGGACGGCCACCGGCACCGCGACCGGGACCGACACGAACAGCGGGACCGAGACGGGATCCGATTCCTCCACCAAGAAGGGCAGCACGAAGACGACGTCGAGCAACTCGACGACCACCAATGCCTGGGCCGGTGGCATCTCAATGCTGACGCCCGCGACCACGACCACGACGTACTACAAGATCGGCAACTCGGTGACGTTCGCCTGGAACTACACCTCGCTGGACGTGACCCCGACGGCGGTCAACGTCATCGCCTCGTGCAGCCTGAACAGCCACAAGTACACGATCACGCAGAACATGACCGTCAAGGAGACCAACAAGGTCGTCTGGGACACCGGAGAGTACAAGGCCAACGCGACGGTCCCGCTGCTGACCGCCTCATACACCCTGATTGTCTGGGACGCCAGCAAGGCCATCTCCGACACGGCCAAGGGCGGCCACCTCAGCGCCGCCAGTTACACCTTCGCCATGTACAGTCCGCAGTCGTACACGCCATTGAATGGTGAGTCTCCTTTCAACTCATTAAAATCGCTTGTTTTCCGTCAGAACTAACTGATTTCCCCTCCGCAGGATTCGTCTGCGCCACCTGCAGCGGCGCCCTCTCCGAACTCGAACGACAAGGTCTGAAGTTCGTGTTCGGCATGGTCCTCATCACGATCACCACCTTCACCTGGTTCGCGGGTGACTTTGGGGTCTTTTCCACATAAGTCGACTATCTGCATCAATATCATGAATGCCAACATCCTATTTTTAGTTTTCTGATTCGCGAATGAAAATGTAATCCATCCTGCATCATGTTTTGGTTCGTGCAAAGCGAAGGGTTTGTTGCTTTTTTTTTGTGCTCTCATCATATCATGAATAATAGCGATCTTTTTTTGTGTCCGTTGTTTCGGCGTGTTTCTTTTTTTCTTGGCCGAGGGTGGTGATAATGTATGTTGTTGATAGATTGATGGTCATCTCATGGATATCTTGGGATTTAGATGTGTGTTTTGTGAATCGTTAATTGTACTGTCGATGAGACCGCTAAGGACTACGGAATAGATATGTGTCCTCTGTACTTGGATCTGCGTATTTATTACTGTATGTGATTATGTACGTGTTGTATGGGTTTGCATATGCAGGAATGCATGCACGCAATGCACGGCGGTTGTTTTTGGCGGTACTTCATTTACTGGGATACTGGGATACTGGAATGGAAAGGTTTGCGAGGAGGGTTTGAGAATATGTGATGATGAATTCTTTGAAACGTTGGGTAAGGGCGTTTGAGGTATGTAGATGAGTTTTGTGTGTATTTGGTGCTTTGATTTTCCATCTGGGTCGTTGTCGATGAGTGGAGTTGACTCTCACTTGTGGCATGCTCTGGTGAGGGCCTGAGGAGGTTAAAGATCGATGCTTTTTGAGGTGTCTTGTTCCTTCCACCTGAGGTTGTTGATGTGGGTTGGTTGGCTGGCGACGGGCTGCTTGGCTTGATGATTCGTTGGATTGCTTGAGCCCGTAGGTTGTCGTAGGGCCGGCGTTTTGCAGGGGCTGATCGTCTGTGTTTGCGTCGGGATTGTGTCCCGAGACAGGTGTAGAGGTTCCTCCGGGTGGGGAGATGTGGTCAGCGCTACCAGGTGTCGGCAGGCTGAGGAGTGGTTTCGGATTGTTGTACAAGGAATATTAAATGTTTGCCGTGGTGTGGTTGATGAAGTTGATGAAGACTAGTCGATGATCATCTCTGCTTGTCGCCTTCACTCCGCGACACAACTGGGGTGATAGGCTTCCCAGACGGTCGTGGACTGCTGCCCGTCCGCAGATGGGATGAGCTTCGGCTTGCGGAGGGCCGGTAACTGGGCCGCGGTGTCGGTCAGTTTGTTGCATTTCAGGCACGGCGTTTGTTTGATGTCGGAGTACGATGCTATCATCTCCTGTTGCTGCGTTAGGTATGTACCGAAGAAATGCCGGGAAGGTAAACTCACCAGCAACTGGAGTAGGTCCCACTGCCGGGGACGCGAGTTCAAGCACTGCATGACCGCCCCCTCGAGCTTGGTGACGGGCTGTCCCGGCGCCGCCTTACTGGCGATCCGCCATTCCGGCACCCCGTGGCTCTCCAACCCTTCAACGGTGTGAACCCGGAAGACCATCCCAGCCTTCACCAGCGCCACCAGGACCGACGCCTCCTCAGTCTTGCTCGTCTGCGTCTGCACCCGCACCCCAGGCACGTTCCGCTGGGCGAACCCCTCCACGATCGCCCGCCAGCCGCCCTCTGTGGCCTGGATCTTCGACCGCTCCGCCTCCTCCTCGACGCTCCGCCGCTCCGCCTGCTTCCCCTGCTCCTCCCGCACGAGCCCCTCCAGCAGCACGTCGTAGTCCTCCTCCCACATCCCCGTCGGCTGCAGTAGCTGGCCCCCGTTCCCTCGGATCTGCGCGTCGACCCGGTCCCAGACACCCCTCATCTCCGGGCTCCGCCACAGCGCCTGGAACTCCGCAACCTCCTGCGTCCCGCTCTCGACGCACTGCTTGAGCTGCTCAAACACCGCCCGCGGGGAGGATGATACGCCCTGCTGCCGGCCGCCGGCCGCTGTACCCGGGTTGGCGGCCGTCATCAGGGGTTCCAGTAACCTTCCTGGAAGCAGAGTGCGCAATTGATGGATCTATTTTTCGGTTAGTGGAGCGAGTTCTCATTCAAACACACGGCAAGATAGGGATTAGATTTTTTTTTTTTGGATTGCTCTCACCATTCCCTCCAGTTGCTGCAGCTTCGCTAGCGATGACACAAGCTGCATCTCGGTGTCCCAGGCGTCATTGTCCGGGGAAACTACGCTGGACTCGCTGATGTTCGCCGTGGGCAGCTTCACGTCCTGCGAGGGCGCGGTGATCATCTCTGGCACCACGATGGGCATTCGAGGCGGGGCGGGGGCGGGTTTGGGTGCTCCTGCTCCTGCTCCTGCCATTTTCCCTATAGTGTAGTGAGGTTTGCGTGGCGATGACTAAATGAGCGCCGTTGAAGGCAATATACAGCCCTTAATGGGGTGTGCTTTTGAAGATTAACACCACAATGAGCGCGAGATATTGCCCAATGGTAAATTGATATAGGCTGCGGTCAATAAAGAATGAGCGATGACTTGGCACGACTTTGCACCCAAGCCTGTTGCAAACGCACACAGTCACTTCGGATTCAGTTTGGCTCTCAAACACGCCAGCTAGATGAGCCTGCGGCTATAAATACAGCAGTTGCCTTGCTATGCGTAAAGAGAGCGGCGGCGGCGGCGGCCGAGAGAGGATGGAGACCTGCTGAGTAACTCTGGCCAGCCACATGCTTCAGCCACAGTTATATCCCTGGCAGAATCTGGGCTTACTTTCCACCGCCCTATTAATCGCCTGAAAAGATACTGTTAGTCACACCCTACGTAGCCTCCCACGTCACAGAAGTGGGCTCTGGCCCGTGTGTTCGCCTCATTAAACTATGGAGTATGCGAAGATGACATGGTCCACCGGATGCATTGATGGTGGTGGTTGTGGTAGTGGTGCCCCCTCAATGGTGAGTTTTGGGGAAGGGTCAATTGGGGATGGGGATACTTCTTAGGCATGAGGGTATTATCTAAGGTATCATGGATTTATATGCCTTTATTCCTTCGGTCGGTACGGTCGACGAAAACGCCTGGGGTTCAGGGACAGTGCTCGGCGCCATAATGAGACCATCAGGACTTTTCAATATCACTCAACCCTCACTAATGTGTATGGTCTTCTTTCGAGACCCTTCCTAGCAACTAAACTACACACGCCCTCCAACACTCAAGGGGGTGGATGCAGACTTCCCAATGGAGGCAGATCGTCGACGGGGGCTGGTCCAGCAGGCAGGCCAGACTGATGGGCAGCAGCATTATATAACGATGTTGTGACTCTAGGATACTCAATTCTAGCAGAGTAGTTTTATCTTCACAATAATCAAAGGGCTCAATGGAGGCCTTCCTGTGAATAGAGCCACGATTGTCCTTTTTTTTTTTTTTCCCCCTCTGAACCCTTGACCCCACTGAAGCATAAGATATACAGACAGGCAGGCCTCACTGCCTATTATTCACAATAGAACTAAACCAAACCTTCTTCTTGCGTGGTCTGCGCCTTCGTGGTGCGCTTCTATTTGCTGCCATCCGATCGACCCTTTTTGACGGGCACTTCAAGCTCTCTCCCCGATCGAATTCGTCATCACCCAACGGTAATTTGGGAGAGGCGAACACATCGTTGAGTCGTGAGATCAGAAGATTTGAATTGGGTCTGTGGGCTGGTTGGTTGCCCTTGCCCGGAACCATCCAAGTGCGGGAGGAGCAGAGCCTGAGGCCCTCGTCGGGTTTCCCCCTCCCTCCCTTCCAGACTAACCAGAGCCAGACAGAGTGACAGACAGACAGTGACTTGCCTTCCACTGCACTTGCACTCAAGTACTGTACGTACAGTACAGACAGACAGTAAGTATCTCCACCTCCACCAGAGCCAACCTTCCCGAACAACTCCTCCTCTTTCCTTACTCTTCTCTCCCTCCCTCTCTTCCTCTCTTCCCCTCCTCCACAATCCTCTCCAGCTGGATTTGATTCCAGTTCTCTCACAGTCATTTTGAGACTGTGCGCATTTCTGCCTGGATTCCTGTCCTAACTGGGACTTCCAGTCCATCTTTTGCTTTTCCCTCCCCCAACCTCCTTCGCGTGTGTCAGCTGCCGCATCGATAGCTACTGGTTACTGCGTCGCACCCACCCCCCGTCCGTCATTGTGTATTGCGACCGCCCAACCTCCGTACGGACACTCCTCGTCGCTCTTGTCTTCCTCCACTTCCACCAACCAACCCAACAACTCAACCGGTCATTCGTAACATGATCTCCAGCGCTGCCTAGATCTATCTCCTCAATTCCTTCTCTTGCCTCGTTCGGTGACCTAAGTTATATATTGACCTGGCTTGCTGGTGTGCCGCGTCGTCTCCGCCTGATTGCGCTACGTGCGTCGGCCGTCCCCGCCTGCTATCTAACGCTCCGATCGTGGTGCATGTGCGCTGTCGACAGAGATAGATGATCATCGAATTCCCGATCTGATCTATCTTTGCTACTGAAGTGGCGTCGCTCACCAGCGTGAAGAGTAATAATGGATTCCCAGTGGCAGCCTTACCAGGATCCCTTACTGGGCCATCCGGCGCAGTTCAACAACGGCCTGACGTCGAATCCACAACAGCACCTCGCCTCAAAATACGGCGGCCAGCCACAGCACTCGCAGCCCCCGGTCGGATACTCCTACGAGCCCTTCCAACCCCCTGCCGGCTCTGGGAAACCCTCGTCGACCGTGACGAACTCCAAGACCGTCTCGATGGTCTCGTCTCCGGCTGCTACGCCACGTAGTCGAGATTATGTCACCGATGCGGATACAACCATGGAGGACGCCGATCCGTATAACCGGGCCAAGTACACTGCACGGCCTGCCCACCACAGCCGGCCTTCCTCCCAGTACTTCTCCCATGAGGAGTCTTCGGCCGCTCGCAGATACTCTCCGGGGAACGTCTTGTCGTCGCCCATGTCTTCGTATAATGCCAGTCCCGGGAAACATAACTCGTACCCATTCCCGCCCGGCCCAAATCAGTCGCGACGCTCGCCGACCAGGGCGCCGAATTACGCCTCACCTCCCCAATCGTTTCAGTCGCCGCCTTGTGAGTAACGTCCACTACCCCCGTACTTGCTGCACACTTCATTGT